GGGGCAGCAGAAGGTGCAGTGGGGTAGGGGCTGCAGAGAGAGTAAGAGGGTAGGGATGATAGGAGTTGTAAGTGTAAAGTGCCTTGGCATGATAGGAGTTGTAAGTGTAAAGGAAGGAGTTTCAGAAGGGGTAGGGGCTGCAGAGGGGGTAGGGACTGCAGAGGGAGCAGGGAGGGGTTGGGGCTTCAGAGGGAGCAGGGAGGGGTTGGGGCTTCAGAGGGGGCAGGGGGTTTGTGGTGGCAGGGGGTAGGGGCAGTAGTGGGGGAAGTTATATCATTAAAATATTTGTAATAAAAAAAATAAAAAAATGAATGATTTTAAAAAATTAAACCCCCCTTACAAGTCTTACCTCTGTGGTGGTCCAGACATCCTCTCCTGGAAAGTCCCTCACCACTCCAGGCACAGGATGACATGCTGCCTGTAACTCTAATCAGGGCAGCTCCGCACAGCTCACTCTGCACTGTGACTGCTGATGTCACTTCCTGCAGAACAAGCCGCACGGAGCTGCCCTGAGCAGTTACAGGCAGCTCAGTGAGGCTGTGTTTGGAGACAGGCACACTGAGGGGCAGCCTAGTGGGGTCTTTGGGAGGGCCCCTTAGCTGTCCCTCAGTGTGCCCTGCACCGAGGAGATGATTAGTAGCAGCAGGGGCCCGCGGAAGGCTGCTCGGGCCCCTTACTGAGTGCAGGCTGGCTGGGGAGATTGTTTTACTCCCCAGCTCAGCCATTACTGCACTGCAGCAGGGGCGGGCCCCCCAGAGCCTCGGGCCCTCGGTCCATGACCGATTTGCCCGAGTGCTCAGTCCGCCCCTGCCTAGGACAGTTTAATTTTTTTTTTTTTTTTCTTTATTCAGTTTCTTCTGAATGATTTTTTATTTTTTGCTCACCTGACCATGTTTGATATGGTCTTGTCCCTTTGGAGGTCAGCCTCCCTCCTCAGGAAGCCCAGGCACATGTAGCCCAGTCTCCATGGAGTTGGGAACCCCTGGGAGCCTGGGTGGTTAGTTCCACAGGCTATGGGAATCCTCTGCCGTCCAGTGTGAGCTGCAGACCTCAATCAGACGATCAGCATAACGGTAAGACGCCCGCGCATGCGCAATGCATCCGACCGGACCCAGAGTGAAGTTTGCCCCTTTCCAAAATGGCGGTTTAGCGATCTCGCGACCGAAGTGCGCATGCGCGATCATTTAAAGGTACAGAGCGGGAAATTTGAAATGGCGGTATTTAGCTTAAAAAACGCTCGTTTCTGTTCCCTTTAAAGATACAGTGCTCTAGTAGACTGTTCTTAAAGCTCTGTAGGTAAGAGAATTACTTATATTTTAAAATCATCATAATATTGGGCTGGGAATACTTTTCTTATTATTTTAACATTCTTAGCCCTACAGTCAGTATGGATCCTTCATCCCCTTCTGCAAGATCAACGAGATCTGCTATAGGTCATAGGTGAGCAATATTTTTTCTTGGTTTCTTCACGTTACTAAAAAGAGTGCACAGAGGGTACAGTCTTATGACTTCTGTATGTTACAGCCCTCGTGACCGGTCCTGTCCCAGATCCCCATCGAGGAGAAGGGAGAAGCCGGCAGCCTGCCCTGGATGTGGAGCAAGGCCTTTGGATAACTGCAGGCTCTGCAGAAAATGCTTAAACATGGCCGCAGGAGAATCTGATCGCCAGAGGTCACCGCAAGCCTCTACCTGCTCAGCCAAGGATATTGCTTATTGGATTAAGCAGGCAGTGGTTGAAGGAATTGCTGAATCCCACAAGATTAAGAGATCAAGAGGGGAAAACTTCAGCATGGATTCAGATCAGTCTGACGATGAATACAGACAAACTTCATCTTACCTGGATTTGGAGCCAATCTCGTCCAGTGAAGAGGAGTATATGGAACAACCTTGCTCCTTGGACTCCAAAGCTATGGAGCATTTGATTATGGCTGTTAGAAGAACATTGGATTTGCCGGAAGAAACCAGAGAATGTTCAGCTTCTGACAGACACTTTGGAGATTTACATAAGAAAAGACCTTCCTTTCCAGTCCACAGCTCTATTAAAGACCTGATGAGGAACGAGTGGCTAATTCCTAGTAAGAGGATTACTAGTCAGGGTCGGCTTTCGAAGTTATATCTGATTAAAGAGGAGGATTCCAGATTGTGGACTACGGTCCCCAAAGTTGATGCTCCTATCATTAAGGTTGCTAAAAGATCCACGCTACCAATTGATAGCAATGCTTCCCTTAAGGAGCCCATGGATAAAAGGATTGATGCTGATTTATCTAAAGCTTTCATGACAGCGGGTTTAGGTTGCCATCCAGCTGTGTCCATTTTGGCTTTGTCTAGAGCCATGCGTTCCTGGTTGCTTGACTTGGAGGATGACATAGATAAAGGTGTTAGTAGACGTCAGATGGCGGAATCCTTAAGGGATATCAAACTCGCCAGTGACTGGCTTTTGGAATCCTCCACTGACCTCATTAGAATTCTTTCTAAGGTTATGGCACATTCAGTCACCGCTAGAAGGGCACTTTGGCTGAGATCCTGGGGAGCAGACCTGTCATCCAAGAATAATTTATGCTCACTTCCCTTTATGGGAGAAGTGCTTTTTGGGAAACCTCTGGATGAAGCGATTAAAAAGGCGGCTGAGGTTAAACAGGTCATGCTGCCACAAGATAGGCGTCCAAAGAAACCTCGTCTGGACCGTAGACCTTTTAGGGATCAAGGCTACTTTAGGGAAAGTAAGACTTACAGGCCAGGTAGAGAATTCTCAAGGAATTCCAATTGGAAGAGCGGCCTGAATGGGAAATCCTCTAGGGGCAAGACGCAGACCTCTTCCTTTCGCCCCAGCAAGCAATTCTGAAGGTGGCTTACTCCAGGTTCCTCGAGTGGGAGCACGTCTTTCATTCTTTCAGAGGGCCTGGGAAATAATTCCAGATGCTTGGGTAAGATCCATTATCACCGAAGGTTATCATCTGGAATTCGACGAATATCCACCTCCACCAAGGTTTATTCGCACAAGGCTTCCAGCCAACATCCAAAAAAGAGAGGTTTTGACTCTTTATGTCAACAATCTTCTTATGGAAGAAGCCATCATACCTGTACCCATAAAAGAAAGATTCCAGGGATATTATTCCCCCCTGTTCTTGGTCAAGAAGCCAGAGGGAAAATGGAGGCCTATTTTAGATCTCCACCAGCTCAACCTTTATTGGAGAGTCAGAAAATTTCGGATGGAATCCATTCGCTCCATCATTCCGGTTGTTCATCACCAAGATTGGATGATATCAGTAGACCTCAGGGATGCATATTTTCATGTCCCTATCATTGTTCACCCATCAAAGGTTTCTCAGGTTTTGTGTCCGGAAGGAACACTTTCAATTTCAGGCCCTTCCTTTTGGTATAAGTACGGCCCCGAGGACCTTCTCGAAGGTTCTGGTCACCAGACATCCTGGTAGTGGCTCCGGACCTAGCATCAATATTCCAACACAGGCAATTAGTCCTCGACACTATCTCATTTCGGTTGGCTCATCAATTACGAGAAGAGTCACTTGCATCCTTCAAGAGAACTGATATTCCTGGGAGCAAATTTCAATACAGACACAGCGATTGTATCCCTCTCACACGACAGAAAGATCAGACTTCAAGATCGGATAAGGGACTTCAGACTAAAGACTTCAGCCTCGGCAAGAGAGTTTATGAGACTTCTGGGGACTCTTTCCTCTACGATAGGACTTGTCAGATGGGCTCAGTGGAACCTTCACCCTCTTCAACAATTTTTCCTAAAAAATTTCAGGACCGACTCGAGGGAGTGGGAGACGCTGATTCGCATTCCTTTTGATTCTGAAGCAGAAGCTCCTTTGGTGGATGTCGTGGGAAAATCTCTCGAAAAGGGTTCCCCGTGCGGGAAATAGATTGGGTGGTTATTACGACAGATGCCAGTCTGACAGGTTGGGGGGCACATTTAGGCAATCAATTTTTTCAAGCAAATTGGCCTCCAAGAACTCAATGCTTGCCTTCCAACATCAGGGAGCTAAGAGCAACCTTTCTGGCGCTTCTTCATTTTCAGCATCTCATCAGGCATTGCTGGGTCAAGTTGAGAGTGGACAACAAAGCGGCTGCTGCCTACATAAACCATCAAGGCGGAACAAGGAGTGTAGCCCTGATGAGAGAGATAGTTCCCATTATGACCTGGGCTCAGAATCATGTGGAAGGCCTGTGTGCCATCTATCTCCCAGGGAAGGAGAATGTAATAGCGGATTTCCTCAGCAGACATCGGATAGAGGCTTCAGAATGGCAACTTTCCAGGAGGATCTTCGCTCGGTTGGTCCAGAAGTGGGGTCTTCCCCAAGTAGACCTCATGGCGACCTTTCGGAATACGCAGGTTCCATGCTTTGTGTCAAGGAGATACCATCCAAAGGCGGTTGCTCAGGATGCTCTATCCATCAATTGGGTATTCGATCTGGCTTACGTTTTTCCTCCAATTCCCCTCATCCACGCTGTTCTGAGAAAGATCTCCAAGGAACATTGCAAGGTGATAGCTGTACTTCCATTCTGGCCTCGTCGCCCTTGGTTTCCCCTGTTACAGAGGTTATCAGTGGACCTGCCTTGGGAACTTCCAGTCTCAGAAGACCTGCTGATTCAGGGTCCAGTGTTTCATCCGGAGCCTCACAAATTCAGGCTCCATGCATGGCTATTGAGAGGAAGTCTCTAGTTGAACATGGCCTTTCGGACCAGGTTATCTCTACCCTGTTACGTTCCAGGAATCCTTCTACTTCTTCTACTTACCATAAGGTATGGGAAGCCTTTGCTCGATGGTGTAATTCCACGGTTCAAGAATTAGGTTCCCCTTCCGTGTCTCAGGTTTTGGGTTTCCTGCAAGCAGGCCTGGAGAGGGGCCTTCAACTTAACACGCTTAAGGTGCACTGCTCTGCTCTTTCAGCTCTTTCCGGTGTTCGTTGGGCATTGAATCCTATTGTAATTCGCTTCTTCAAAGCAGTCATTAGGATCAGACCTCCTATCAAGGTTTTCTCTGCTCCTTGGAATTTGCCTCTGGTTCTGCAGGCCTTGACGGAACATCCCTTCGAACCTATTGATGAGGTCTCTATGCAGGTTCTTTCTCTCAAGACCCTGTTGTTACTGGCCTTGGTATCTGCTAGGAGAATGTCGGATATTAGAGCACTGTCGTCTGAAGAACAGTTCACTACCTTCTTCGATGATAGAGTTGTGCTACGGCCTAGACCTGAGTTCCTTCCTAAGGTGGTTACATCCTTTCATCTGAATCAAGTGATTGTCCTGCCAGGGTATTTTCAGGAGCCATCGTCTCCTGAGGAAGAAAAATGTCATACGCTAGACCTAAGGAGGTGTCTTTCCACATATATTTCACGCTCAGCTGATTGGAGGAAGTCTACCCAATTGTTTGTGATACCTTGGGGTTCTCGTAAAGGTGAAGCTGCCTCTGTCGCAACCCTTCGTTCTTGGACGGTTCAGGCTATTTCTAAAGCTTACAGAGCTAAACAGGTTCCAGTTCCCAAGGACATCAAGGCACATTCCACAAGGTCCATTGCTACTTCATGGGCTGCAGAGTCAGGAGTTCCTGCAGAGAGCATCTGTAAAGCTGCCAATTGGTCATCTTTAAAAACCTTTGTACACCACTACAGAGTGGATATCTCATCTCGTTCTGATTCAGAGTTTGGCCTATCGGTCCTGAACTCTTATAAGCCTTAAGTGGATATTAAACAGTTTTTGTAGCATGACTTACCCTCCCTGAGTGGTTATTGCTTTGGTAATCCCATATGTTAAATGCTGCCATGATTAGCCAGGAATAGAGAAAATTTATTGATACCGTAATTTTCTTTTCCTGGCTATTATTCATGGCAGCATTTGGTCTCCCACCCTCTCTTGGTTTATTTGTCTTGTTACTAGACTGAGATGTGGGGGATACTGGGGTACCTAATATACTAGGGGAAGGTAGGCTTAATTGTTTAATTGATTGTGTTTCCTGTCCTGAGGGTTGGAGGGAGGAGCTAAACCCATATGTTAAATGCTGCCATGAATAATAGCCAGGAAAAGAAAATTACGGTAAGTATCAATAAATTTTCTCTAATAATGACTTCTCCAGTCTCAAAATGATTTAACCCCCTTCATGTCAAACATCTTTAAAATTTAGCACAGCACCCTTTTGCTGTTATGATCTGCTGCAAATAAGGTATGAGATGCATAGCCCAGGTCCAGATTAAGAGCCCATTGGGCCTGGTGCTGACAATTATGATGCGGCCTAATTACAGAATCTTATCAACCAAAACCACTAAAACAGTCATACCTCTCAAGCGTCATGTATCTGATGGAGATGGTGTTAGAGGGAAACTCAAAGGATGCAGCTATAAGAAAACACATACTCTATGCTATTCTCTTTATCTAATTTATGCTTTCATCTTTCAAGTAAATCCATACCCCCTAACAGTGAAGCAGGAAGCCAATGGGCGGGGTAAAAGAGTAGGCCACTGATGCGAATCACGTGGCCAGAACTGCCAAAAGGGGCGAACATGCCCAAAAAGGGGGTATGTCTGTCCAAAGAATTGGAAGGCCAGTCTGGCATCAGTGTCCCTATGTATCACAGTGTCAGTGTCCCCATGTTGCCCAGTCCCCTAGTCTCCCAGTGTCTGTGTCCCTATTTCTCCCAGTGTACCCATGTCTCAGTGTGTCCCGTGTCACTAGGATACTAGGGGACACTGAGAGACATGGGGACACAGTGAGACATGGGGACACTGAGAGACACAGGGACACTGTGTCAGGGGCCCCAACATTTCTGATGGCAGCCCTGGCAGGGAGGGATATGCTGTAACTTCCTATCCCTGCCTCTCTCCATACACAGTATGGACCCCTACTGGCCGGTGCTGGTATTGCAGAGTAATCTCCGTTTATACTGAGAAAATTATTTGCATTTGTATTACCGGTATTACTGCAATACCATCAAGGCCAGGCAGCCTCAAATACCGGTTGTGCCTTAAAATACCAGTCAGGTGGCAAACCTAAGAGTAGTGTGTAAAATATGGGCCAATTGCAGCTCCATCAGCCCCTATGTTAATCCGGCCCTGGCATAGCCAGACACTAGCTTCTGGCAGTGTTCCTGAAGAATCCAGTTGGAAGAAGTAATCAATAGAGGGGAAAATGGAAGGGCAGTAAAAAAAACTGTTCATCCTTTTTTCTCTCTATTGGCCTCTTCTCACTTGATTTGTGAGTAAAATAAACCTTTAGTGGCTGTCCCCTAGCTGTTAACAGGGCCAGCGCTACCTGTTAGGCGGACTAGGCAGCCGCCTAGGGCGCCCCTTGGGAGGGGGCGCCGACAGGAGAGCCGGCCCCCCTATGCTGCAGCCGCCCGAGCGCTCTGTAGAGAGCCTCAGGCAGCTGCAGCTTTGCCCGGGCGGTGCGTCCATGAGGTCGGACCGCACCGCCCGGGCGCAGCCTGAGGAGAGGGGCTGACAGGAGGGAGCACTCAGCGCTCCCTCCTGTCACTCCCTCAGTTGTAGCGTGGCCGAGCCCTGTATAGTCCGCGGGTACAGGGAGCATCTGTCTGCTGTACCCGGCCGGACTAACAGGAAGTTAGTACCCGGCCACGCTACAACTGAGGTGGGGGAAAGGTAGGGAGGGAAGAATTGTCAGAGGAGGGGAGAGTGGGAGGGAGAAGGGAAAGAATAAATTGTCAGGAGGGAAAAGAGGTAGGAGGGAGGAGAATTACTTGAGGAAGAAAGGTGTCAGGGAGGGAGAAGAAAGTGGGAGGGGAGAAGGAATTGTCAGGGGAGGGAGAAGAAACTGGGAGGAGGGAAGAAAAATTGTCTGGGGAGGGAGAAAGAAATTGGGAGGAGGGGAAAAGAAGAAACTGGGAGGGAGGAGGGGAGAAGAATTGTGTCAGGGGGAGGGAGAAGAGGTGGCAGGGGGAGGGATAAGAGAATTGGTAGGGAGGGAGAAGAAGAAATGGGGAGAGGGGAGAAGAAGAAATTGGTAGGGGAGGGGGGAGAAGAAGAAATTGACAGGGGGAGAAGAAGAAATTGGTGGGGAGAGAAGAAATTATTGGGGAGAAGAAGAAATTGGTGGGGGGGAGAAGAAATTGACGGGGGGGTGAGAGTTACAGGGGAGGGAGGGGCAATGAGAGTGGGAAGGGGGAGGGGAGAAGAGTGACAAGGGAGAGGGGGGAGAAGAGAGTGACAAGGGAGGGGGGAGAGATTGACATCCATCACACACACATGCAATGCACCCCTTGCACACAGAAAAACACACAATGCATTACACACACAGACACACACACACACACAAACAATGCAACCCTTACACACAATGCATCCCTTACACACACAGAAACACACAATGCACCCCTTACACACACTCAATGCACCCCTTACACACGCACACACTGCATCCTGTACATACACAGAAACACACCTTGCAGCCCTTACACATACAAACACAGATTCACACAATGCATTCCTTACACACATATCAGGACATCCCCTACACACTCCACCCCCTGTGAACAAACTCATTGGTGGAACATGAAGGTGGACCCTGGGACCCAGACCTTGAGCTGTGTAAAGGATCCCCAAAAAATGGAGCTGCTTCCCGTTCTCCCAGAACATTGATTTTTGTGACCACAGTTACAAACCGCCTCCAGAGAGCCTGTTCTGCACCAGACCAGTGGAGCCAGACTGCAGCTAGAGCCCATCATCATCCTCATCTCGTTGTAAGTAGGCAATCTAGTATATTATTCGTGGCACTAATCTCTAATTTACCTCACATTAAAGAAACACTATAGTCCCCAGAACCACTGCAGCTTAATGTAGTTGTTCTGGTGTCTATAGCCTGTCCTTGCAGGCCTTATAATGTAAACACGGCGGCACTGCAGCACTGGCGTTAGTTAACATGGCAAATCATATGGGTGGAGCATTGTGATGTCACATGGGGGGGGTGGCAAACTTTACTTTTGCCTAGGGCGGCAAAAATCCTTGCACCGGCCCTGGCTGTTAATCAACTTTTTTCCCTTTTTAACATCTCATTTCATTATCCATGGGTAGAACTCGGAATCCTAAAGCAAACTAACATGCTTTCTCATCATGCTAGTCGTTGCTTGGCTATCCATCCATATGGCGCTATGAAATATGCCTACAGAGATACGCAATTCGGTGGAACCTTAGATCAGCCTAAGTTCGGACAAATTGAAGTTTGGCTAAAACAAATTCAGAATTCTAGCATAGACCTCTATGCCTACAACTCAGTGACAAGGCAGTTCTCCTGCTCTTTGTCACAGATATAGCTCTAGCGAGTATGTCTTGCCCATTCTGGGAAAACTGGCAATGGTGTGACTGATGTCAATTCTGACACCACTGTGCTGGCAGTGAAATCATCATGGAGGAGGATTGACCTGTTTGGGGAGGTATCCTCACAGGGATAGGCAACCTTCTGCAGCCCAGATGTTGTGAACTACATCCCCCACAATGCTCTCAGACCCATAATACTGGCAAAGCATCATGGGAGGTGTGGTCCAAAACACCTGGAGTGCCGAAGGTTGCCTATGCCTGCTAGCAGGACAAATCACATCAGAAAGTGATGAGAGCAAGACAGAACTGAAGGGTGGTTGTTAAAACCTCGGACAATGACTGCTCTGGCATGCTGGAAATGAGGTTGGTAAAATCATTGCAGCTCGTAAAGCAACTAAATTTATACTTACAATATATTATATATTTACTGCTTTAGGTGTTGCTATAGCTTGTGGTGAACCTGTCAAAACAGGTTCACTTTAAGCTGTGTGAGCAGATTCCCAGAGTGCCTTTGACTGCTACCAAAGCTCTGTAGTATGTTTCTTAAATGTAAAGAGTTACTCTAACCCTTAGAAAATCTATATTTAAAATTGGGGGGAAATACGTTTTTACTCACCTGCAATTTAGCTCCAGGCAAAACACCCAGCGCTGCTCTTCCACATCATGTCCTGAAGTCATCTAAGACTCACGCAGTCCAGGAACAGGCTTCTCATAGTCCCCGGCACACAATTAAAAATTACTCTGAACGTGCAGTGTTTCAAGCAGAAATACTGCACATACAGACTCCTACCACCACACCCACTTCAAATCACTGAAGTGGCCATGGTTTTTGGAGTAATCCTTGTAACATTGTTTCAGTTACTTGCTATCATGCTGTGAATTTGAGTGCCCTGTGCCCAACAATGTAAGTAATCAGACCATTTGCTAACAGTTTGACTGCTTACTTAGGGTCTGCTGGGAGCTGGTCACTTTGTCTATGGAGAGCCGGAAGCTCCTGCATGGAACTTCTGTTAGCTCTCTTGAGATATTTAAGCTAAACCTTGCAGGGCCAGTTTGTTGGCTGAGAGCATCAGCTGACTGCTCTCATCAGGGAGCTAAGCCCTGAACTTCCAGGCTTATCTCAGTGCAGATATTCTTGCAGCTGTCATAGAGGATGTGGCTGGTACCCAGCAGCCCCCGGTAAGTTGTCAAATCATTAGCAAATGGTTTGAGTACAAACACTATAAAAAAAAACTAGAGCACTAGGTAGTGGTTATGGTGTTGAAGTATTCCTTTAAAGAGGCACTCTAGGCATCATAACAATTACAGTGTTCTGTAGTTGTTGTTGTTATGCCAGGAGTCCCCTGATGCCACCTCACTGCTAAGCGTCAAACCATTTGAGCGATGTGACCCCAGATAAAAATATATTTTGTCCTTATAACGTCTCTGTAATGGTTCCTACATTTTATGTTATGAGAGGTATATAGATATCTTCAAAATTTAAAAACAAAACAAAATGTACCTATTAGAACATAATTAATTGGCCGAAAGGGCCAGCTGACACTCTCAGCCAATGAATACTGTCCAGAATTGGTCAAACTGGGATATTAATAAAGAAGTATGGGAACTCCCACTTTAACAATATCAAAGAAGACTGGAAGGACCACAGTCACCCAGGTAAGTGTCAAACCATGGGAAAAAAACTGTTTAACTCCTTTCATGGGGGGGTGGGTGGGGGAGGGGAAAGGCAGAGTCTGACTATATATAAAGTCTGTATGTATTTAGGGTGCACACCCTTGCAATAGGCTGCGCACGCCTATGTTTGTTTGCATGATGTAAAACAGGACTTGTGTAGCAGAATGAGGAGAAACACATCAATAAGAGAATCATCTTCTCTGTCTGTTTACTAAATATAGATAGACATTTTATTACATTCCAGAAAAGGCCGTGTTACATATTATCTCTTTTCATGTACATTTCTCTGTGTAACTATGAGGCAGTGCAAAACAGATATTGAACAATATTTACTACTACAAACTTCCATTTTGCCGTCGTAGCCACTCAACCTTTGAGATAGTTCATCTGAAATTCATTTTGTGTCAAAGGTAAATCGCAGGAGTTCTCCTTTGTTTCGGATGTCATTGATTCTGTAGCCTTCAGAATATCTGAATCCTTTGGACAGGGACTTGGAACCATGTTGCTGTTGTTGCATTGAAGGGGTGATAATACATCCGTTGGCTGGTCTGTTGACACTTGGGCAGTGGATGGCATGGGTCCCGTTATTGGAAGATTCGCCATGTGAAATATGTTTCCCAAACGGCACGAGATCTACAGAGAACAAATAAGATTGACAGTCAATCTGAGAGCCTCTACTTTGGCAGCATTCTTTTCTGCATGTTATAAGAATTATATCCTTTAGTTCAGGCTTCCCCAAACTCTGGCCCTCCAGATGTTGCTAAACTACAACTCCCATTATTCTATTAATTAAATAGATAGGCTGAGAATCATGGGAGTTGTAGTTCAGCAACATCTGGAGGGCCGGAGTTTGGGGAAGCCTGCTTTAGTTGAATGTAATGTGTTGCAGTATTAGAGTATCCAACCCTACTGATCCAGAATTTTAAACTACTATGCATTTACTAATTTTGAGAATCACTGCTTGTTTGTTGTTGCAATATAGTTTTTCAAGATTTTTTTTCAAAGGGACACTGTAGTCTTCAGAACCACTACAGCTTAATGTAGCTGGCTTAGGGTATATAGCCTGCAGTCTCAGCAGTGTAAACACTGCCTTTTCCGAGAAATGGCACTGTTTACATGGCTGCCTAAGTTCACCCCAGTGACAAATCCGAGGACTGACATTCAGCATTTCCACGCTCTGCATGGAGATGCTCAACGTTCCCCATAGATATGCAATGGGGAAGCATTGGATTGGCTGACCTGATTAAGATTGATGATCTCAGCCAGGGAGACTGGATGGCAGCACAGAGACCAGGGCTAAAAGATAAGTCAATCTGATAAATAGTAGAACACTATAACGTTAGTAGAACACGTTTGTATTCCTAACGCTACAGTGTTCTTTTTAAAAAATCTTGCAGGTCTTTTTGATAGCACTAGAGTAGCATTTATGTAATATATTTAGATTTTATTTCCAGTTACTTTTATGACTGTAATGCTATAAAAACTTTGGATGGAAATACTGAGTAAAAATATATATATAATTAGGAACCTGGTTCCTCAATCACAAGGAAACGGATGATGAGTAATAAATATGGGATGGTGACAACTAAGTTGGAAATCCTTAAGGGAAAACTGGGTGGTCTGTTCTATATTCAAGCCAAAAGAAACAAAACAGTTAGTTTACAGAAAAGTACTTACACTTGACTCTGTGACAGATATATTTTTTAAAAATTGAATCACAGTTTATGTACTCCTAGAAATAATATCAAGTGTGTAAGGAATGGGGAAAAAATAGGGCAGTTTTCATGATTAAGTTCATGTTGTATTATATAAATCTCATTATAATAAATATATCAGGGCTTAAATTTCCAAGTTACTATCCAGACTAGCCAGACCTAAAGGTTTCTTGCCAGTGGAAGCATCTTGTACTGTGTGATCTGTGAGAGTGGACAGGGTAGCATCATTTGTAGCTGTCCTACTCGAACATGACCTTAGATTAGTTCATTGTAGTGAAGTTAAGAAACCAGTACATTATTAAACTTGCTTTAAGTGTTCCTGCATTACTATATATGTGAAGAGGAATTGGAAATCTATTATGCAGGAAGGAAGGAATACAGGCTGCACGGTGTCTGAGTTGTCGGATGGCTTCTACAGAGCTTTAAAGGACCACTATAGACACCCAGACCACTTCAGCTCATTGAAGTGGTCCGGGTGCAGTGCCCATGTCCCCTTAATCCTGCAATTGTAATTATTGCAGTTATTGAGAAACTGCAATAATTACAATGCTTCTGGGTCCTTAGCGGACTTTTGGTCAACTAATTGACGCTGGACGTCCACATGCTCTTCATGAGGACATCCACTTCACACAAAACCCGATAGGAAAGCATTGATTCAATGGTTTCCAATGGGGCTGTCCTAATGCAATTGAGAATCACAGTAACTACTTAGTAACTTGTATGTATATCTCGTGTATGTCTTCTGTGCAAGGTTAGAGCCCCTAACTATGTGGAGATAATCTATACATTGTTATAAAATTCAATATGAAAAAATTATTGCAAGAATGACATCACCAGTGTGCAGTACTGAATAAAAAACATGATCTGCCCCTCTAAGTAAACGACAGGTAATGTGAAATATAAAAGAAACTAAGAGGATTGCACTAACCTGAACATGCATATATTATAGGGGAGCTGCTGGGCCAATTCATGCAACATGTGTCTAGCAAGTAAATGGATTACTCTCATAAGAGCAGGTATTAGGTTGCTAGGATAGGACCTGCCAAAATGGGGTACATTGACGCTATGGCAGGCTTATGCAATGTATGAGTATATGCTGTAACTAAACCCCATTATTTTTGCCTAGATTAGGTGTTTTTACAAAAAAAAACTATTACATTCTATGAGTTTTTAAATTGCTCTTTAGTGAATGAGTGAGTGTGCTGGATCTTGTATGATATTTATCTGCATCATGAATGGTGACAAAATTAAAGCAATTATACCCCCTAATAACTGTAACTTTCACATTACCTTAATATGTACACCAACCTTATCTGTATCCCATGATCTACTATAACAATAACCCTTAACCCAGTTCAGTACCCTAACATTACTTGTATTCTTTAACTGTTATGGTAGCCTAATACACGTCCGCTAGCCGTGATGCTAACCCTAACCCAAACACAAACTCTAAAGCATAAAAATGTAATATTGTGGTGTATTGATATGCCCGAACAACCACTGTGGTATCTTTTTCCTTTAGTTCACCATTACAAACCATTCCATCAGGCACATACCCAAAATGTTCCCTCACGCTCTGATTCCTGACATAAAAGTTTGAGTCTTAGCTATGTGCAGTCAATTTTGTGCTATTCTTTTGACACACTATTTAACACTATTTAATATATCTTTAGGATGTTATGACACACTATAACATGGCTAATTATGGCTGTTATGGTAAAACTCTACTGGTATAGTCATGTCAGCTTTTGTCAAACTGTTTTCAAAAGAGTTTACCAAAAACACCCTCAGTTTAGGACATTATATGAGGTCACTCACTAGTATGCATCCAAAACATTTGTATTGGTAAGCAGTATTTGGCCATGCTAAATCACATTTAACTCTTTAAGTCAGTTTGTCAGTGCCAAATGGTAAAAAGCATGGTGAATCCCAACTATATAAATATTGTGATTATATATTGAGGAAATTTCCTCATAAGACCCCAAGATGAGGGCACTGGCTTTTAGTGCCAGTTAATTTTCTATTTCTTTTCAAGCTGCCTAAAAATAGTTTTGCAAAAATAAGAGAGACTGCACACTAACCAAAGCAATAAGCTGTAATGATTATGGTCCTTGAAGTGCCAGTTTCAATATGTGTGTTTTTGTGTTAAACCTTGTTAGTACTGTTCATACCAACTCGGGACTATTAACAACCCAGCTTATTGAGCACTGGAACCAATACCTGTGAACGGATTTTGAGTGCTGGTCCAAGCTTTAAACCCATTGTATCCAAGAGATGTTCCTCAGTCAGTAAGGGTAGTGTTACTCCATCAATATCATGGTCCTTAAAAACCTGTATTCATTAAAAACATTGAGTCAAATTGAATCTACTAAAAACCTTGATTAAGTCTCAATATAGATTTTTTCTATCTCCGTAATAGACTTGAATCAGGCATCTGGTCCCCCAAAAGTTGATGGCTCGCAACTCACATAATTCTTTGAAAGCAGAAGATGGCCAGTGAATCATGGGAATTGTAGTCCAGCAACATCTGGGGGGTGGGTTAAGGCTGAGATTCCTGCAGATGAGACAATCCAGATCAAATAACCATTTAGAGGGGGCATAGGGTGAACTGGCACTCCAGGACTAAACTATAAAGTGCTCCTAGTTACCCACCTTCCTATCCCCAACTGATTAAAGTGAGGGACCCTCAATGCTATGTGCTTGTTACATTCCTGTTGATTTTCCTTATTTATATTTCCTCATCGGAATCTGACCTGACCCACTGCATCCCGCTCTCCTCATAACATCAACAGAGGCGCCTCTTGGGGGATTAATCCCATTTTTCTTTTCAGTCTTATAAGCATGTTTTATTATACATATCTGTATGTCAAGGCGACTTCCTTAGATTATAGACCTTGTATCTTTTTGACATGCTTACTCAGCTAATTATGTAGCCTGTAACTCTTGTATTGTTGTTTTCTTGCTTTTAAAAAAAAAAAGTTCAGCACCTCATGACTACTCACAACTATACCATGTTAAATTAACTCATGCTATACGTCATATTGGTAACATGTATTTGAATCTGCACTTTAAAAATAAAGAATTATAAATAAAGAAATAACCATTTAGAAGTAATTGGCCCTTTAACAGTTATACAGATAATTTGAGACATTTACTTTTGCATATCCCCAATAATTGTGTTTCATAAATCATATTTAAATAGACCATGATCACAAAATGAATACCAGGACTCATCATAGTAGTGTATTTTGCACCCCAGGTATTGACATTCCATACGTTTCTCTTGTTTGCAGGTTTATAAAACAATAGTTCTTATGAACTAGTGAATTGGTTAATATACCATCTGCATCCTCTGTCTGGGAAAATATGGCAAATGCACCTGTCACAATGTACCAGCATGTGTCTGGGGAGGCAAAACATGTACTGCCCTTGGAGTATGCCTGTAATTTTACAGTAATTGTCTGTTATCGTATTATTCTGCTTACTTTCATCGCAATCTACTGTCAGTGTCTCTTTGTATTGCTGTGTGCTGCAACTATTATACTGCTGATAATTCGTTAAAATGTGCCACTCAATGTTGTGGACACATTACCAGGTCATATGTATTACAGGTAAACTGATTTGGGAAAAGACTTTGAGATTTCTTTTTGCATTTACTGAGATGAAGATACCTGCAGACAGCAATATGAGGAATTGTACTTTGAATGCCCCTTCCATTGCCACTGTCTATATGAAGATTCATATTGGCAGAGTATCTGGTGATGTATTTTATTTCAAAAACATTTTTTTTTCTTTCTTTTTTTTTCCCCTTCAAATTAAAAAGTTGGCTCAGTTACGTGCAATTATAATTTTAACTGCTAGGAAACAGTGTAAAATAAAAAAATACTGGAAAAAATCCCACTGTCCTTTATATGGCAAGATGTCATAAATCAGCTAATGTTTCAAATCAAAATGGAGGTAAATATTACTAGGGTTCAAGGTCACAAGTCTAAGTCTTTTTTTAATTTTGGAGGAACGGTCACAAAAATGAGGTTTACATGATAAAACTTGGCCTTGCATTGTTGATAAGAGAATTTGGCCTCCACCTGTACCTTTGAACGCCCATGGTCTCTCCTTTCGGCATTGGATGTATCTGTTTTATAAACATGAAACTACCAGGAATTGGAATAATTTTGTTTTTGTTTATTTTCTTTGATGTTTGTAATGTTTATTTTAATGTATATGTCTATTGTCCTAAAGTCAATAATTAGGAGAAACTCCTGTGATGTAGTAAATACCTCATAAGAATGTAAAACCTTATCAGGACTGCTGTATTAGTCTATATGTTATAATAAATGAAAATCAATAAAATACTTGAAACAAAAAAAAAGTTGTCTTAGGCTTTTTATGAACGTCTCTTTCAATCGCAGTAAGTTAAGCATGTGTGTGTATTTTCTGACGACTCTGAAAACGGTGTTGGTAAATATAAAAATTATTTTAATTTCAGGTAAGTTTATAGAAAATGTTTATTTGGTGAGACTAGATGATAAGCACCTTAAATCACAATACAGGGAATGGGGGTATTAGCTCTATTAAACACCCACACTTGGTGGGCTAGGATAAGTCTTAACTTATTACGTTATTCCACTGCTGTTTCAGGGATCCTATAGACATGGAGTTTAAAAAAACACTCACCACCATAAGCACTATTGAATGCTGTAGTGGTTGTTGTACCAGAAGTGCCCTAGCGACCCCCAATGTAAGTGGTATAATGGTTTGCTAATGATTTGGCTTGTTATCCGGGGTCTGCTGGGGGCTATCCCTGACCCTTTCCTCCTGGTCTAAGTGGCGGTAGCTCCTGCCAGAAGCTTCTGTTAGCTCTCCAGAGCTAAGCCCGTTAGTGACCAATTGTTCCCTCCTGCTAATAAGGAGTCCTGGAGAATCCCTGCTCATTTTATTTAGTAAAGTAACCAGCTGCCTTGTATATCTGAATTCTTAATTTGGGGAATTGTTCAGGAGTTAATTCCAAAGTAGTTCTAATTCATGCTACTTGGCCCCAATTTTGGTCCTATTCAAATATAATCAAAAATGGTTTCTTCTATTGACATGAAAGTAAATATAGTAAATATCAGCCAAAGTGAATCTTCTGAATTGCCATGAATTATTCTTTCAATAGATAAACATCTGACAGATGATTGATAGAGTACAGACTGCAGTTCACAGTTAGAGCCCGGGAAGACTTGCAGACATATCAAGTAAAGTTGCAGATACATTTGGTACACTGTTAGACTGTAAAACAGCAAATGGCGTTCTCTGATCACAGCCAGAGCTGCTGGCTACTGAAATCATGCAGTGTGATTCTGCACACAGTATGAATACAAAGTGGATGACTTCTATACAAACATACTTATTGCTGATTCAGAACTGATGTGTAGATGAAACCAACAAATTCATGAAGAGCGAGTACCTGTGCGTAATTTGAACAGCCTGGCAGGTTACTTATAAAATTATATACATCTTGAGAGGTCCATTTACGGATATCCTGAAGTGCTGGTATATCTTCTCTGTTGAAAAATATACTGTGTTCTTTTTTAGGAAAATAAACAGAAATAATAATACCATTAGCAATAATAGTTAACCATACATTTATTTTTGTGTACAACAGTAATATATATTCATATATAAAGTACTCTGAGCACCACAAGCGCTACAGCTTACTATAATGGTTCTAATTTAAGGAATCTTTGTGTGAATTTGCCACATTATTTGTCAACCCATTTAAACTAACGGCACCCAAAGCTCGCCCCTCCTTATCACCTACTGCCTTTGGATGATAATGATAAAGTATGAGTTCTGTTCTTAGTCACCCTCAGTGCTCACATAATATCATTGCTAGGCTGGACTATAGTGAACAAACAACACAGTAAAGAAAAAGCAAGTACATGTGCAGCAGCAGCAGGAGGACAGGGGGTTTAGGTCCTGGGAGAGGCCAGTTTTTGTCAAACCATTTAAAAAATTGTTTGAGAAAAATAACAATTAAAAAACCACCTGTAAGCTGTAGTGGTTATGGAGCTTAAAGTGAGCATTGTCCCCATCACTACTTCATCCCTGGATAATATTTTCTCTCTATACTTGTTTTTTTTTACCCAGCTCTGTGGAATATTTGGTACTATAAATAAAATTGCTAACACAAATACTATCCTGTCTCTATTGTGATAACCCTCCAGATTAAAAAGCCTACTGTCCAATTATTACATTTTTAATTTACTGAATTAATTGTTTTAGGTTTTTCTTGTGGTGCTGTGCTGTGGTGAAAGTCATCATCGATAGACCTAATGTATCGGATATAAGTCAAAGCTCAGTTGCAACAATTTACTGTACAAGGATACATGAAAAAAAAATATATATATATACATACATACATACATATATGCACACAAAGAAATCTCAAAGTGGCCTACAACATCTTGGCTAAATCAACATCTCATTATAAAATATAGGGAATGCTGAGTACCTCACCAGAACATACCTGAAATTATTGGGGAGTTAATAGACACTGGAAAACTGTATGGTGTTGCTGATAGATGAACTGGAGGCTGGTAGATGTATCTGTCTTCAAATGCTGTACTTGTATTACCTAACTCCTTGTCGTTCCCATTGCAGCTACTGTTCCTCTCTCTGGTCATGTTGTTATTGCTATTATTTTTATCTTGGTTTTCATGGAGTTCCATAGAGTTTTTGTCCATCGTAGGATCTACAGCTACTTTGCTTTGGTCGATTTTGCCAAATATCTCGGTTTCCTCCTCTTTCTTGTCATCTTTGTCATCCTCGGTAGTCACAGGTGGCGACTGGAGCTTGCTATCGGCCTGAATTTTGGAGACACATATAGTGCTATCTGCAGTCTTTTGGTTAGTGGTTCTTCTAGCAGGTCTGCGGACTCTTTCTCTATGGAGGTGGTTTATGTTCGGATATGGGCTTGAGGGTTTCAACATTGTATTGCCATGTATACTCTCCAAGGCGTTGCGGTAGACAAGTACATCTGAGTGTAGATGACCTTCTGGAATCATTTGTCTCCCTCTGAAGGCTACAGGATTTGCAATTCCGTGGTAGAGGAATGGTGACTCCATTTCCACAAATCCCTTCCTGTGTGCTTTGTCGATTTCTCGTGGTTGATAAATGGCATTCATTTCCATTTCCATTCTGACAATTCAAATAAACATATCTTGTCAAGTCAACTTTAGAACATTTTGTTGATTAAGTAACTTAAAATGGTGCTTAAAGGGACACTATAGTCACCAGAACCACTACAGCTTAATGTAGTGGTTCTGATGTCTACAGCCTGTCCCTGCAGGCATTTTACGGCAAACACTGCCTTTTCAGAGAAATGGCAGTGTTTACCATACTGCCTAGGTACAACTCTAGTGGCAATCACTTAGACAGCTACTAGAGGTGCATTTTAGTCCAGTTCTGCACAATGTACAGAACTGGCATTCAGCGTCTCCACATTCTGAATATTCCCCTTAGATGCACTGATTCACTGCATCTCTCTGAGGAGATGCTGACTGACGCAGCGCTGTATTTTGCCCAGCATGCACAATAGCCTCCCAGTGCTTTTGTATGGGGAAACCATTGGATTGGCTGATGTCATCATATTTGATGATCTCAGCCATGGAGGCGGAGCCCATCGCGGTGAGATCGGCGCGACATGGGAGAAAAGGTAACAGTTTAAACACAGAGGGGCCACCTAAATAATCTATTTTGACACTATAGTGTCAGGAATACATGTGTTCCTGACCTAAAGTGTTTCTTTAAAATAAACATGGTGTAAATTTAGCATTAGAACTGCACTTTATGCTCATAGCAAGAAAGAAAGAACACCTTGTTTCTCTCATATCAGTGAGACCATTTTTAACCCATTACTGTTACAGGTTGCCTCCTGCAGATTTACGTATCTCACGGTGAGGATTTCTCTATGGTTGGTGCTTAGCTGTAGATATGAGTTATTTATTCCAGACTGTAATAAATTCCATACATTTACAGGGATATTTACTAAAGTGAGAATTCAAAGTCAATTTCAAATTTAAGGCCAGAATTACTGCAATGAAAGCATAGTTGACTTAGAGATTTTTTTCCAGTTTGGCTATTTTGACCTTAAATTTGAATTCACTTTGAATTTTCCGTTTGGCAAATAACCACGTTAGAGAAATCATCATAGGGAATTAATTATGTGTCTATATGAAGTCATGAGTGTAACCATAGCAAGCCCAACTCAGGATTGACTATAACTATGGAGAAAGAAAAATAGTTTAGAAAGATGGACTTCGGACGTAAGACTGACTAGACTAACTGGAAGAGGGCCAAGGAGGTGAAAGAGAAGGAAAGCCTGAAAGGTGTTATTACACTAGCTGAACACTAGCTAGGACATGCACACAATAAACACTGAATATAAACACACAGTAGGGATACTGAAAACACAAAATGCCATTGGGAAAAGCGTAGTTTCAGCTGTTATAGGCCAAATTCTGCACAGTCGAAAGCTGCCCCAGCAGTATCAGTAGATAGTGGAGCACAGAGGGAGTGAACAGAATATGAAGTGATGCTAGATGTAAGTTCCGCCATGGTATGATATGACTGAGCAGAATACTATCCAGAGGAAAGATCACTACTGTACAAGCTGACCTTAGGGTTCCTGGTCAAAATAGTTCCGGTTTATGGGGAGACCAGAATGAGATTAACATGATTTATTTATGATTGCCACTCAAATGGACAGCATAGCAGCAGACAACAAATGGCTGTATTTTAAGTTCATTGTGTTTCTAACATTACCATGTCATGCAAAAAAAGAAAACCAAAACAAAATGCATGTCTTTTCTGTTTGCATCTGAAATAATCCAACATGCAGCTAATGCAATATAGACTATTACCAACAAAACAGCATCTTCTTGCTGGTTTATATTGTAATTACATGTTAAACATGTCTTCACTTTGTCAATTGTGCCATTAGACACAAAGAGCAGTGTATATGTCTTATATCAGGACCAGATTGGGACAAAAACTCAGCAGAGGCAGGTCAAGGCAGAGAAGCCCAATAGGAGGGGCTGGACCAGAAAGGAGGGGTGCTATGTCACCACCTATAACAAGCATGCCCACCCCCAGCCCCCCAAAAAAGAGTATGTCAGTGTGATGCTTGTCTTGTGTTTCTGCACAATGCAAGCAAATTTACTGACATGCATGTGCTGTGATTTTCCCCAATATTGGAATACCAGCGGACAAAAGTGGAACAGGGCTGTTGTGCATGTGTGAGGTTGCTCTCTATGGCATTGTAGTGTTTCTTGGTTGTAAAGTGTGTGTGTGTGTGTGTGTGTGTGTGCACGAGTTTATAGGCCCTGTAGAGTGTGTGCGCTTAGGGGGTGGTGTTGTGCATGTAGAGGCTGTACTGTGTCTGTGTGTGTCTGGGGTTGAAGTGAGTTGCATTGTGTGTGTATCTAGGAGCTTTAGTGTTTGTATTTGTATAGTAGTTGTAGTGCATATGTGTGTGTATCAGTAGCAAAACTACCGCCGGTGCGACTGTAACCAGTGCCCACACACTCAGGGGGCCCATAGGGTGGCCCATGCATTTTTGGCCACGCAAAGAGCCTCTGTCATCAGGGGACTAGTCGTGCACTTTGGCGCTTTAACAGTGCAACCGGGCCCCTCTCATACTGGCAACCTGTGAGGAGGTGAGAGCCTGTCACTTACTCCCAGGTAACACAGACACTGAGCCACAAGGAAGAGGGAGAAGAGGAGTGGGCGCAAATAGCTATAGCCAGCCTCTGACTCCCAAAGGCCTCAGCCAGCCTCTGCACCCAACAAGTAGGAAACTGAAACTAGAAAAAGCACTAGCAAAAGTCCAGAGACGAGCTACAAAATTGATAAAAGGAATGGAGCATTTTAGTCATGAAGAAAGGTTAAAAAAATTAAATCTGTTTACTTTGGAAAAACGGTGCCTGAGAGGGGATATGATAACATTATACAAATATATTTGGGGCCAGTACAAACCTTTATCTGGAAATCTATTCATAAACAGGGCTATACATAGGACACAAGGTCACACATTTAGGCTGGAAGAAAGGAGATTTCATCTAAGGCAAAGAAAAGTTTTTTTTACAGTAAGAGCAAAAAGGATATGGAATTCTCTGCCTGAAGAGGTGTTTTGTCAGAGTCACTACAGAGGTTTAAACTGCAATTGGATAAATACTTACAAAAACACAACATACAGGGATATAATTTCTAATTAGTGGGGTAATAGCTGCTTGATCCAAGGAAATATCTGACTGCTATTTTGGGGTCAAGAAGGAATTTTTTCCTAGTTTGTGGCATTGGAAGCGTTTCAGACTAGGTATTTTGCCTTCTTTTGGATTGAAATTGGAAGCGTTTCAGACTAGGTATTTTGCCTTCTTTTGGATCAACAGCAACAACATATGTGAGGAAGGCTGAACTTGATGGACGCAAGTCTCTTTTCAGCTATGTAACTATGTAACTATGAAGGGAGGATAAAAGTTTGACCACTATCTGTGTCATTTTGTGTTTCTTTGTGTCTGTAAGTCTGGGAATCTGTTTTTCATTGTGTTTCTTTATTTGTGTCAGTGTATGTATATTTGTGCCTATCTATCTGTATGTGTGTCAGTGTGCGAATCTGTGTATCTGTATGTATATTATTGTATGTCTTTGAATCTGTATGTGTGTCTTTGTGTGTATGTGTATCATTGTGTGTTTTTGTGTATCTGTATGTGTCAGTGTCTGTATATGTGGGTGTCTCTCTGTATGGGTGTAGCTGTGTATCTGTATGAGTGTCTGTGTATCTGCATGTGTCTCAGTGTGTTATTATTGTGTTTGTGTATCTGTATCAGTTAGACATGTGCAATTCGTTTCGTTCTGAATGTACATTCGTACGAATTTCATGCCATTCGGACATTCAGATGCTTACGATTAATCAGAGAGGCAGCACAGAGACCTAAGGTAACCCTGAAGGAGCTGCAGAGTTCCACATCAGAGACTGGAGTATCTGTACATAGGATGACAATAAGCCGTACACTCCATAGAGCTGGGCTTTAAGGCAGAGTGGCCAGAAGAAAGCCATTACTTTCAGCAAAAAACAAAATGGCACGTTGTGAGTTTGTGAAAAGGCATGTGGGAGACTCCCAAAATGTATGAAGGAAGGTGCTCTGGTCTGATGAGACTAAAGTTGAACTTTTCGGACATCAAAGAAAACGCTATGTCATGCACAAACCCAGCACAACACATCACGCAAAGAACACCATCCCATGGTGGTGGCAGCATCATGCTGTGGGGATGTTTTTCAGCAGTCGTGACTGGGAAACTGGTCAGAGTTGAGTTAAAGATGGATGGTGCTAAATACAGGGATATTCTTGAGCAAAACCTGTACCACTCTGTGCATGATTTGAGGCTAGGACAGAGGTTCACCTTCCAGCAGGACAATGACCCCAAACACACTGCTAAAGCAACACTTGGGTGGTTTAAAGGGACACTATAGTCACCTGAACAACTTTAGCTTAATGAAGCAGTTTTGGTGTATAGAACATGCCCCTGCAGCCTCACTGCTCAATCCTCTGCCATTTAGGAGTTAAATCCCTTTGTTTATGAACCCTAGTCATACCTCCCTGCATGTGACTTGCACAGCCTTTCATAAACACTTCCTGTAAAGAGAGCCCTATTTAGGCTTTCTTTATTGCAAGTTCTGTTTAATTAAGCTTTTCTTATCCCCTGCTATGTTAATAGCTTGCTAGACCCTGCAAGAGCCTCCTTTATGTGATTAAAGTTCAATTTAGAGATTGAAATACAGTTATTTAAGGTAAATTACATCTGTTTGAAAGTGAAACCAGTTTTTTTTTCATGCAGGCTCTGTCAATCATAGCCAGGGGAGGTGTGGCTAGGGCTGCATAAACAGAAACAAAGTGATTTAACTCCTAAATGACAGTGAATTGAGCAGTGAAATTGCAAAGGAATGATCTATACACTAAAACTGCTTTATTTAGCTAAAGTAATTTAGGTGACTAAAGTGTTCCTTTAAGGGGAAACATGTAAATGTGTTGGAATGGCCTAGTTAAAGCCAAGACCTAAATTCAATAGAAAATCTGTGGTCAGACTTAAAGATTGCTGTTCACAAGCGCAAACCATCCAACTTGAAGGAGCGGGAGCAGTTTTGCAATGAGGAATGGACAAAGATCCCAGTGGTAAGATGTGGCAAGCTCATAGAGACTTATCCAAAGCGACTTGGAGCTGTGATTGCCGCAAAAGGTGGCTCTACAAAGTATTGACTTTAGGGGGGTGAACAGTTATGCACATTGACTTTTTCTGTTATTTTGTCCTATTTATTTGCTTCACAAAAAAAACCATCTTCAAAGTTGTGGGCATGTTTTGTAACTTAAATGATGCAAATCCTCAAAAAATCCATGTTAATTCCAGGTTGTGAGGCAACAAAACATGAAAAATGCCAAGGGGGTGAATACTTTTGCAAGGCACTGTATCTGTGCATGTGTGTGCAGCAGTGTTTGTGTATATGTGCATGCATCTCATCATTCAAAAACAAACACTACAATCACACCCCTAGATTCACTCACACATACTCCATACAAAAACATGCTCACATTCAAACACACAAACGCTGCTCAGTGCTAATTACAACCCTACAAGGATGGGCAAATGGTAGTTGGACAACAGATGGGATCACCGAGGGCCGGACAGGGAGAAAAATTCGGCCCGGGCATTTTTTTTATCACAGCGGCCCAGTAAGAAGGGAGCGGGGCAGAGAGGGTGTGTTTTGTCATCACCAATGACAAACACGCCCCCTCTCAAAGTGAGCATGTTGGTTCAATGCTCTACCAGGGCAGACCATGCGCAGAACTCTGCGGCGCGCGAGAGAGCTGAGCAGTCAGCTCAGAGGAAGTGCTCCCTCGCCAGCCGCCCGCCCAGCACCCAGTAGGCAGCCCATCAGCCTGACCAGCAGCCACTGGACCACCAGGGAGAAAGAGGAACCCCCCCAGCATTCCCAAAGGTAAGGAGGCTGGGGGGGGGGGGTTAAATTAAAAAAAAAAGTGTTAATGTGAGTGATTGTGTGTGTGTGTGTGTCTGACTGTGACTGTGTGTGTGTGTCTGACTGTGTGTCTGACTGTGTGTGTGTGTGTCTGACTGTGTGTGTGTGTCTGACTGTGTGTGTTTGTATCTGACTGTGTGTGTCTGTGTGTGTGTTTGTGTCTGTCTGTCTGTGTGTGTGTATCTGACTGTGTGTGTGTGTGTTTGTGTCTGACTGTGTGTGTGTCTGACTGTGTGTGTGTGTGTGACTGTGTGTGTGTGTCTGACTGTTTGTGTGTGTGTATTTAGAAGGTGGGCGGGGAGGGTTGGGTGGGGGTGGCGCGGGGGGAGGGGGTGCCTGAGTTTTGTCCTGCCTAGGGCAGCACAAAACCAGGATACACCACTGCATAGGGGTATAGTGTGTGTGCGTGTATGCATAGAGGGTATAGTTATAGCGGATATAGGGTGTATCTGGATGCAGGGACAGTAGTGTGTGTATAATGGATTAGATAGGGGCTTTAATAATTAATAAGTTAATGTAAATAATTACTTTGGAGGGAAGGGGGCCTGCTGATCCAGTGGGCGGGCTTTTTGGTCCGACAATATCAGAGGTCACGAGAATACAGATGAAGGCTGCCTGGCTCACTTACCCAGTAACCTAATCTGCTCTCTGGCCCATGAAGGGACAGATCTCACATTGGGCCAGTGCCACCCTGCATGATCTCCTTTGTCAGCCTTGGCCCATGCCCATCGCAGCCCACCAGGCATTTGCTGGGTTTGCCCAATGACAAGTTCGGTCCTGGAAATAATTTAAAATGCCATACAGTAAAAAGAACAATTAAAACTATATATATTCTATTTTGAAATGTAACAAGATCACCTAGCTAATTCAATAAATAACAAAAACTGTGAAACAATGGCCATAGATTTTTATAAGTGTTTGTCTTTGGAAAAGGAAACGCATTCAGTGTTTCTCTAGGACTTTTTATTTTTAGCTTTTCTCCCCCTCTTCTATCCGGTGCAAAGACTGGTTTTTTTTTGTGTGTGTTTGTCTCTGCTTCTATTTTGGTCGGATCATGCCATGCATGCACTATTTCTAATAATTCGGCACAGCATGGAATGCTATGTTTTATTTGTTCTGAGTCTTCAGAGAGCAATGTATGGTTAACATTTATCACTTCATAGAATTTTAGAACTATAACCATTATATTGAGCCATTGAGTTGTAGTGGTTATGGTCCTAAGAGGACCCCTTTTTACAGTTTATCAGTAACTTTAAAGCGGAACTTTAATTTCCCAGGATTTGTAATGTTATGCCTACTTATCCCTAAATTTAATAAAATAAATATTTGTGAGGTCCACAAAATAAAAGTCAATGTATTCTATTCTATTTTCCTCTTTATTAGAAATACATGCCCTTGCTTTGCTGGATTATGATCATTTTCTACATCGTCAATAAAATAAAAAAATAAAAAAAACAGCATTGTTGAAAAAAAACAAAAGAAAAAGTTAAAGGACATTTTTGAGAAGTAACAGTTACTCTTTAAGAATAATATTTAATTTACTCATAAAATAATTGTTTATATATTGTGATATATGTTTTAAAAATGCAATAAATGTAATGTATTTAATGAAATAAAAACTTAACATGTTAGAGTATCCTCACCTGACAGAATACAAAAAGAATGTCTGCTGCTTACCGGGTCACATTTTGTTTCTGTAAGAGTTCCTGCCTCCTTGCCACAAAATCTAATGGCTCTGTCTGTAAGTAACTGTACCCTGAAATAGGTACAAGAATGGTTAATGTGCATAGAAATCCATACAATAAAAAGTATAAAAAATCTGGTGTGCTTTAAAAATTACATATAGAAAAATAAAAATTAGTGTAACCTTTCCAAAAATTATCAAAATAACACTGTCGATGTCCATATTTGAGCCCTGCTCTATATTTAGTTATTTAACGTGAAAGAGCGCTTTATATAGATTAACAAATAATACAATAATTGATAATAACATGTTGATACGATAATTGAGTTGTAATGTAATTAGGTAAAACAACAAAGTCAACATTACATTACATTAAACTTTGGTATATATGTGTGTTTCACAAAAAGTAACATTGTAGCCCCTTAAATGTTCGTAGTACAGTAACTGGATTGGATACAATGGGGTTTTGGTAAAAACTTGGATGGATCCCAGATTATCTCTCATTTCATGATATGGATTCCTTATAGCTACCAATTTTAGATGATTCCTTTTGCCTGCTAGTCTCGGGAACACTGCATGATCTATAAAGCGTGGGCATCAATAGTTTTTATATGTACCAATGGCAAGAAGGGCTCAAAGCATATACACACTAGTTTTACATAAAATGTAATTTAATATAACAATAGCAGGATAATAAATAAACTGATCTGTTTAACATTACTGTATTGTCTGCGTTACCTTGGCCTGAAAATGCTCTGTTTGCTAGAAGACCTGCGTGTGTTGGAAGTGAAGCCATATGAACTTGTCTTGAGTCATTAGGGATAATTAGATCAGTTGATGGCAGCAAATCTCTAACCAAACAGTACAAAAACAGTGTTTATTTAATAAGGAACTAGCTGAGGGCTCTTATATTGTTTACATAATGTGAATGGAACAAAGAATAAAGAGTGTATGTATGTTAAACAAACTTTACAGGACTTTCATTCTGCAATTTCCAACTTGCACGGCTCTATTTCCTGTATTTTTTTATTTTGTTTGCAAATGTCACATTATTTTTTCATAAAAGTTATTAAAAATGTTGGCTTTGTTCTATTAGTCATGTGACATAATAACGTACCACTGATAAGGCTGTCTACTCAATTACCTTGTGATACATCAATATATCTTGCAAAGACTATTATCTCTCTTATCCTACAGATTAAATTATTTCAGTCTCCACCAACCATGCAATATTCTTCACCATTGGTGATGTCCCAAACGGTTTGCCGAACGGTCAGCAGACACATTCCAGCCAATCAGCAGCAGACCCTCCCTCCCAGATCCTCCCACCTCCTGGACAGCATCCATTTTGAAGCTGCATTCTTAGTGAGCTGTCCAGGAGGTGGGAGGGTCTGTGAGGGAGGGTCTGCTGCTGATTGGCTGGAATGTGTCTGCTGACTGTGAGGTAGAGGGTCAAAGTTTACTCAATGATGAGTCCGTGGCGAACCGTTCGTGGAGAACCGTTCGCGAACCGTTCGGCGAACCGTTCGGGACATCACTATTCACCAACCATGCAATATCACTTTTCTTGCATCTTTGTGGCAGGTGGTTATGTGGCATTTTATTATGTTTTTTCTTTCTTAATGGTAAGGTTCATGTTCTCAAAGGATATTGAATGACAAATTTCATGATTCTCAAAGGTTGCATTACTGTGTCTAATCATACTGTTTTTCTTTCTGTATTTCTTTCGGAAATACATTCATTCATACAAACATTCATTTGATGGTTTATCTTTAGGACTAATCTATAATTTTGTTGATGACCCACACACCCGACACAAGTGGTAATTGGTAATGCTGACTGGCACCCAATACAATGCTGGGAGTTGGGTGGCAGAGACGGGAACAGTGCAAAGTCAGATGAACAGAATCAGCAACTGGAGTATCTCATACAGGGAGTATGCTAGTCGTATTCTGGAATAGGCTGCGTCAAGAACTCGAATTGAACAGACACTTGCTATAGAGTCTCTTTCCAGATGTTTGAATGTGCTGTAATGCCCCATTCTCTAAGATCCATCATGCTGTTATACCTCATTACCCAGGATCCCACATGCCCCATTGGTTATTATCTCACCTCCAGTCCTATAGTACGCTGATCACATTCCTTGTATTGAGCACCCAACCACTAAACTCCCAGCTGCCCCTTTAGAAATGATGAATATAAAGAATCAATTTAAGAATCACCTCTGGACGAGATTTAAGTTTTGCAATTAATATGTTTATAACCCCTCTATATTGGGGTACTTTGTAAACAATAGTGGGTTTAAATGTGGTATGTTATGGATACATAGTTTAACTAAATCCTCATATGTGCTTGCTTAAGATAGGTGACTCTAATTATCCTGGTATACTTGAAACTATCTTTGAAACCTGTTGGTCCATTCTTAATGATCTCACTTGCTTAATTCTCTATTTCTTGTGATCTCATAGTTACATAGTTACACAGCTGAAAAAAGACTTGTGTCCATCAAGTTCAGCCTTCCTCGTATATGTTTTTGCTGTTGATCCAAAAGAAGGGGAAAAAAAACTAGTCTGAAGTGCTTCCAATTTTGCAACAAAGTAGGAAAAAATTCTTTCTTGACCCCAAAATGGCAGTCAAATGTCTTCTTGGATCAAGCAGCTATTACCCCACTAATTTGAAATTATATCCCTGTATGTTATGTTTTTGCAAGTATTTATCCAATTGCAGTTTTAACATCTGTATAGACTCTGACAAAACCACCTCTTCAGGCAGAGAATTCCATATCCTTATTGCTCTTACTGTAAAAAAAACCTTTTCTTTGCCTTAGATGAAATCTCCTTTCTTCCAGCCTAAATGCGTGACCTCGTGTCCTATACATAGCCCTGTTTATGAATAGATTTCCAGATAAAGATTTGTACTGGCCCCGAATATATTTGTATAATGTTATCATATCTCTCAGGTGCCATTTTTCCAAACTAAACAGATTTAAATTTTTTAACCTTTCTTCATAACTAAAATGCTCCATTCCTTTTATCAATTTTGTAGCTCGTCTTCGGACTTCTTCTAGTGCCATGATTTCTTTCTTTAGAACAGGTGCCCAAAATTGCACAGCATATTCAAGGTGTGGTGTAATGCTAAGTTCTCCATAAGGTCTCCTGCTGTGGTGTTATAAAACATCTAACAAATCTCAAAGCCACACTAACTCCTCTCACGGACTGCATTGCTATGGTCACCTTATATCCATAGGTTTTAAAAGGACCATGCAATCTCAACAAACCTTCCCTTCCAACGTATCTAATAATCATTAAAAACCCACTTTTTAAGATCAATTAAATTGTTAATAGCTCCCGACTGATTCCTCTCTTGCAACTGTCACTAGTTTAATACAATCCTTACCATTTGTGTCATTTTACCCCACTCCCTCTAGCATGTAAGCTCATTGAGCAGGGCCCTCAACCCCTCTGTTCCTGTGTATCAAACTTGTCTGGTTACAACTACATGTTTGTTCGTTCACCCACTGTAAAGCGCTGAGGAATTTGTTGGTGCTATTTAAATAATAACATAATAATAATATTCATAGATATGATACATAATACCCTTTTTATTTATTTTCTCAGACTATGTTCCTATTGGTTCTTGATCGGACACATCTATGAAACTATTTGGTTGAATTAGTCATTTCATGTTTGCTGCACCTGCAGTCTTTAAAATGAAAACATACAGAGAACTAGCACTGTTTACATTTTGCCATACGCATGCCTCTAGTGGCTTTGGACTAAAATAGATTCAATAATTGTAGCTATTTTTCATGCGTGTGTCAGCATACTTTGCATGCAGTAGCTGGATGCGGGCTGTGCTACATTGGATTCAATACTTCTCATACCAATGCTTTATATCAGAATCAATGCTTCTCATATCTGTGCTTCATATTCTCCTACAGAAGCACTGAGCTGGCAAATTACAGCTATTACAGCTAACACATGTGTGGTATGTAAACAATCTTCACCAAGTGAGTAATCTGCCTTGGCCCTATAAATACAGGTATGTTTCAAGGTGATTTTTAAACGTTTTAAATTAGAATTTTTTTAAGTGTAGCCATTAATCTAACATTATAAAGAAACTCAGTGGACCTTAAAAAAAAAAACAACGTTGCCCGGCTCATTCTGGCACCTGCTGGAGATTCGGGGAGGAGGAGGGCAGTCTGCTCCATATTTGGTGGCATTGTAAGGGATGAAGGTTTATGAGGTCTTCAATACATAGGGAAGACGTTCAGATGTTTAAAAACACGCATAAGGGAACATATATACAACATCAGAAGAAAATACAAAAAAAACAGTGGTGATCCCAGTGGACTTAATTTTATAGGTATTGATAAGAGTAAGGTCCATTGCAGAGGAGAAGATAAGGATAACCTCCTTGGCAAGTCGGAAATGAGGTAGATATTCAATATGGAAACCCTAAAACCATATGGCCTTAATGTGGATTTTAAAATGAATTCTTTTATGTAATTGTAATTTTTGTTTTCTTATTTCTCCCAATATAGGTCTATTTGATCTTTAATTTTTGTCTTTTATTTTAAGATATTAATAAAATGTATTTATGTATTTAATAACTTTCTTATGGTATTTTTAATTATAATTGATGATTTATATATTCTCCCAATATGGGTTCTTTTTCTCTGCTTTAAGATATATATATGTATATTTATATATCCAAGATATTTCCTTATGTATATGCATGAAAATCTATTTTACTAGGTAAATTATGTTTTTAATTGATTGATTCTCTCTCTAAATGTGTTTTTTATTTAAATATCTTTATTCAAGTTGATTATATGCATATAAATAAGACTCCAGAGTTATGGTGGATGGAGCCCAAATTCATTAGGAATTTTTGGCTCTGGTGTATAACACATGGACCCCTTTTTTTTCCCCCTGCTTTGATCCCTAAATTACTATTATGCTGGACTGATGCATAGTGGCTGTGCACGGAGTACGTGCAAGCAAGTATCCAGTCACTTACATCGAGACGTGTAGATAATCAAAGGGGAAGAGCATAATAGATGCTTATGGACAGTAGACATCATAACATTATCAATGTGCGCACTCTGGAACGAGCGCAGGCCCAACGTCATAATTGTGCATCATGGAAGATCCCTATAGATGCTTCACAAACAAAGGACATCTTGAGATCATCAATATGCACCTGTAACAAGCGCACGTTTGACGTCATATTTGCACAACCAGGAAGAAGACAGCTGTAGATGACAAAAGGTGCCAAATTGATTTAAAAGTCAAGGGATGGAAGATGGAAGCACACAGACACTTTTGAAAAGGGCTTATTGCCGAAACGTGTAAAGTGAGGTGGACTTTTATATTGTATATTTCTTTTATCAAGATTTTGTTTTTTTAAGTGGATAAATTGTTAGCCCTGCATGCATCTGGTATCCTGAAGTTTTGTAAGCTTACAAGGAACACCAAGACAAGAGGGGGACCGGGTACTACACTTTAACCACCTCTAAAGAAATATCTACCTCATCCTTCCATTTTCTACAAGGCTCTACAGTCTGAGCCAGCTTTTTTCTTTTTAAGAACCATGTGAGTGAGACCATCTAGAGTTTTATAAGAATAAGTTATTGTAACTATACTACTCTATGGTTTCTCTTTTAATATATTTTACAGGTATATTCAACCAATAACATGTGGTTATTTATTTATTATTATTTTTTTTTATAAATTGAGTGCTCTCACTGTTTTTATATTGTTTATGAGGTGATAAGAAAGATCTTGGATAGCCCACCCCCCTTTCGCCCTGAGGCGATTCTCTTACACCATAATAAACTTTATACAGGTGCATATAGTCCCTAACTATACACACAGTCCCTAAACACAGAAAAGGCACCAATTCCATTGTTCTGGAGAAGACAGATGCACAAACCCCCCCTTGGTCTTATAGGTGGCCAGTGTTGATGAAGTAAGACAGATGGACATAATGGTGCAGATATTCCCAAGAAGCAGGAAGCCTGTGTTAGACGCTGGTATTATTGGCTAGACTTCTTTCCTCTCCCGTGGTTCAGGATTATAGGAGTCAGGAGAGCAGATAGGGGAGGAAAGTTCCGCTGCTACATCTAAATTAAAATTGTGATTTTTGTTTTTTGTTTTTTTCTTTTCCCTCTCTACTTATTCCCCTCTACTTTCATAGCTCCTTTATCACTTTTCATTTGAGAACACTATGGATACTGTTGACAACCCTTTTTTTAAACATAAGGCATCGGATGGAGAACCAATGGCTATGGTGAATCAGCAGTGTTTATAGGAATGCACTAACATATAGTAGCTTACATATATAGATACTCCAGTTGCAGAATTCTTGGGGTTGTTTGCTTATACGCATAGATACAAGGGGATATTTGTGTCTTATATTACGACTGTTTTCTTTTTTATACTTACTTGCCCCAATGAAAGTTTCAATAAATATTTATTAAATATGTGGAAAAAAAATCTTTATTCCATTAAATAGAATTCAGCTATTTAAATACATCTTTAAAGTTACACAGACATCTTATATTCAGTGATAATTATGGAATGAAGAGGAACAATGCTTTTTGCCATGCCCAATAATTTCAACTTTTATTTTGGATAGGGGTTGAATATTATACTTTTCCTTTGGAGGCTTCCTATCAGACTATTACCCCTAGACCATTACCATCTGCAGTAAACATACAGAAAGAAATAAGAAGGAAGTATACCTTTCCAGCAAACGAGGGTCAAACTGTGATGGTATTAGAGGCGTTCTCTGCTGGGCTGACATCATAACCTGTGGGTTTACAGACATCATTTGATTCCTCATTATCATTTCTTGCCTTTGACGTATTTCTAATTATGGAAGAAAAACACAAAATATTACTAAATACAGATTACCAACGTAAAAAGGATATGAAGCATCCCAAGCTTGCGTTCCTTCTCCCCATCACCCTATTAAACATAGAAACATAGAATGTGATAAAAAAATGTAATTATGCAGCCCTATTCCAGGGTTTGCACTATCCATTCAAGTATTCTTTATTAAGGTAGAGATTACTCTATACTTGTCTACCTGGAATTAGGAAACCAAGTAGGGCATTGGTGGCTGGTATGCATTAAAAGAAAGCTGTACTGAAATGCAAATAAATTAATTATTAAACAGAATATTGAAACAATATTCTACCAAGAGATGAAAACCCTCAAACAGTGCAGTAAACAAAGCATTTGGTCAAAATGTATATAAATAATAATAATAATAATTTGAAAAAAATGCTGGTTTGATTACAAAGTATATATTTGTCACTATATAATTTTTCCTCACTTTACTCATTACGAATATATATATATAGTATATATTCTTAAAAATCTATTTGTGCAAATTTCACTTAACTACTTTGATAGCATTCATTCAAACTCTTCATTTCTTTACCTGCCACAGACATACATCCAGGCAGTTGATACAGGTGCTTTCCTTCCAAATTTGCTTGGTCACCAACTATTGACATCTTTTGGAGGTGTCCTCGTGGGTCCATGCCAAAAGAAAACAGTGGTGTATTATACTAAACAAAATAAAGAAAAAAAAGAAAAAAAAGAAAAGAACATGCGTAAGGACTTAACCAACATTGGCATACAATGTTTTGCAACTACAGACCAACATCGCAGCTGAGCTTAATATATAATATATATTATAAAACATTTATAAGAAAACAAACTTAACGGTAATCCACTACTGCATCCACAGAGAAGCATACTTACGGCACATAAGCAGCAATAGCCGCATACCACCAGAAGTTCCAAAGAATATTCATTTTATGTTTTGTATGAATTTCTAAAATAAACATTAAAAAAATGTATGTATAAAACTTAGTTGGAATGGTGCGTGATGACGTGAGGTGTGCACGTGTACACGCTCTGAGGGAAAGACCGGCTTTCGACACGGTGATGGCTTTGTTTCCTCTCCGGCCAAAATACTGACCAATCTACCGCAATATCTCTGTCTGTTATATGCAAGAGACTCCTTCCCCTGCCTACTCCCCTGCTCCCCTCCTCTCTATTTCAATTACTCACGGAAGAAAACTTACGGACAGACAGCTTACACCCAAGTGGATAGAGCTGACAACAGAACATGAGGCAGCACGACGGGATCAGAGACTGGATGTGTCTGCCGAGCACGCTGAGCTGCCTGGAAATTTACGCCTGAAAATTTGCACTTGAGCAGACCTGTATTGTAGCGGGACAATAGGCATGGAGACTTAGTGGCAAGATGTGTGTGCTTAGTTGGAAAAAAAAAATCTACTTCATAGAAAACAGTTTCTATGAAAAGAGTTTCTCATCGCTATTATTTATTATTTTATTGAGACGTTTAAGCAGCATAGATGCACTGAATTTGGGATCTATGGTGCCATCTAGTGTATCACTAGATATCTCAGGCTATAGCCAGCAGTTGGAGGTCATTAAAAAAAAACTATGAAAATGAAAATTCTCACTTTGTGCTATTAATTATTGCTAACAGTACAATTTTCACTTGATCTGTGAATAATATCTACATTTAGTTGCTATCCCCTAAGCATCCATAATCGTTTTTCCAATCAATCATCTCTTTTTGTTTTACACCACGGGTGGAATTACAAATTAAGAATCAAAAGAAACTCTTTGTCCACTGGCTATTTTGGTTGTTTCGTGATACATCCATAGAGCGTTACAGAAATTAGACCACCCGGCAATCGCATACAAATCATACAAAGTCATTTGAAACCAAGTCTATGGGCAATATTTAATTAATAATAACAATAAAGTACCTACTAGATGCAACATTTACAGAATCAAAAGAACTACACTGTCCTAATTCTATTTGTGTAATTTTAAAGATATGCCGCCAGATATCGTTAGTCATGGTTTTAATGGTAGTTTGAGGAAACAATTAGTTTGATGTTACCAACCTACAGCCTAGGGCACCACTTACCACTGCCCTATATAATTCTGAGAATGTACCACTATGAAGGGAGCATTATCACGTGTTTTAGTATTGTGCATTCATGTATATTACAGAACAACAGTTGTTTGCTGAAACATATTTGTACAAGCTGGTAGCTATGCACCACCATCTCTCTAGGTTTGTTGAGTGAAGGCAGGCCCGGACTGGCCATCGGGCACAGCGGGCAAATGCCCGGTGGGCCGCGGTGGCCGTGGGGCCGAGGCCGGCAGGGGAGGTCCCAGGATCTCCCCTGCCGGTCTATGCAGGGCCGGCACTATCCGAGCGCCGGCCCCGCTGTCTTCCATGGAGGGCCGATGGGGAGATCAAAGAGCTCCCTCACCGGCCCATTTAAACAGACCTGTGGCTGGGGAGGGAGGGAGAGGACCCGGCGGAGCTCTATCTTGCAGCTCCGCCGGGTTCATCTCGCGAGATCGGGAGCGTTGCCAGGGCAACACCCCGATCTCGCGAGAGTGTTCACTCACCACTGGACCGCCAGGGATCGTGTACGAGTGCCTGTGCCCCCCCCCATCCCAGCTACCACGGGCCTGCCCCCCCCAGGCTAAAGGTAAGAAGGGAGGGGGGGATTTAGTTGTTTTTTTTTTGCTTAGTTTTTTTATTGTTTATTTTTTTGTTTATTTTTTTTTTATTGTTTATTTCCCCCACTTAATTTTTTATTTATTTACCCCCAACACACAACATTTATACACAACACTCTCACACACTTCACACACATCATACACAGCACTCTCACACCCAGCACTCAGCACTCTCACACACATCACACTCAGCACTCACACACATCATACACAGCACTCTCACACACATCACACTCAGCACTCACACACATCATACACAGCACTCTCACACCCAGCACTCACACACATCATACACAGCACTATCACACCCAGCACTCAGCACTCTCACACACATCACACTCAGCACTCACACACATCATACACAGCACTATCACACTCAGCACTCACACACATCATACACAGCACTATCACACTCAGCACTCACACACATCATACACAGCACTATCACACTCAGCACTCACACACATCACACACAACACTCACACACATCATACACAGCACTATCACACTCAACACTCACACACATCATACACAGCACTATCACACCCAGCACTCACACACATCATACACAGCACTATCACACCCAGCACTCAGCACTCTCACACACATCACACTCAGCACTCACACACATCATACACAGCACTATCACACTCAGCACTCACACACATCATACACAGCACTATCACACTCAGCACTCACACACATCATACACAGCACTATCACACTCAGCACTCACACACATCACACACATACATCATACACAGCACTATCACACTCAACACTCACACACATCATACACAGCACTATCACACCCAGCACTCACACACATCATACACAGCACTATCACACCCAGCACTCAGCACTCTCACACACATCACACTCAGCACTCACACACATCATACACAGCACTATCACACTCAGCACTCACACACATCATACACAGCACTATCACACTCAGCACTCACACACATCATACACAGCACTATCACACTCAGCACTCACACACATCACACACAACACTCACATACATCATACACAGCACCATCACACTCAACACTCACACACATCATACACAGCACTATCACACTCAGCACTCACACACATCATACACAGCACTATCACACTCAGCACTCACACACATCACACACAACACTCACATACATCATACACAGCACTATCACACTCAACACTCACACACATCATACACAGCACTATCACACTCAGCACTCACACACATCATACACAGCACTATCACACTCAGCACTCACACACATCATACACAGCACTATCACACTCAGCACTCACACACATCACACACAACACTCACATACATCATACACAGCACTATCACACTCAACACTCACACACATCATACACAGCACTATCACACTCAGCACTCACACACATCATACACAGCACTATCACACTCAGCATTCACACACATCATACACAGCACTATCACACTCAGCACTCACACACATCACACACAACACTCACACACATCATACACAGCACTATCACACTCAACACTCACACACATCATACACAGCACTATCACACTCAACACTCACACACATCACACACAACACTCTCACACACATCATACACAGCACCCACACTCACAGCACCCTCACACAAATCAATCACATACAGCACCCTCACACACACAGCACACACATCACACCTCACACACAGCATCCATCACACACACATACTGCACCCCACACATACACACACAGCCCCCTGATACACTGCATCACACACATACACAATACTTCCAAACATATTTATATAAACTATATATATATATATATATATATATACACATACACACAACACCCCTCACACACACACAGCACCCCTCACACACACACTGCACCCCTAAACACATTACATTCCAGACACACACTAGATCCTTTAGCCAACTCTGGATCATATACACACATACACACACTAGATCACTATATACACTCTGAATCCGTTATATACGCACGCTCACTAGATCTCCTATACATAGTCTGGGTCCTTCAAACACACATAAGACTCATATATATATATATACATATATATATATATATATATATATACACACACACACACACACACACTCTGGATCCCCTATATGCACACTAGATTCCTTGTAAGCAAACACATACTACATTCCCTGAACACACACTCTCTACAAACACTACATCACCTATACACACACACACACACACACTATAGCCTATATGCACACACTTGCTATATCCCCTATACACACATTCTCTACAGCCCCTAGCCACATATGCATTACATTACACCACAAACACAACACGACTAAAACCGACCTTATTACACAATACCACACCACGACCAGCTCACTCTGCACACACGCAATACCACAAGCAGGCTCCAAACACATGCACAATACTCTTTCCTGGCCCTTTTGTCTCCTGGTATCCATTTATAGAGACACCAGAGACAAGTTGCAAGGAAACACAGTGCAAGCATGTTATTAAATTTGCTTGCACTGTGCAGAACAAATACAGGGCTTTTTTCTCATGCTAGAGCTCTTCAGCAGAGCTCTGTGCATGGTCTGCCCTGGAAGAGCATTGAACCAACATGCTCACTTTGAGAGGGGGCGTGTTTGTCATGAGTGATGACAAAACACACCCTCTCTGCCCCGCCCCCTTCTTAGTGGGCCGCTGTGATAAAAAAATGCCCGGGCCGAATTTTTTTCCCAGTCCGGCCCTGAGTGAAGGTCTTCGTTTAAAATATGTTAGAAAGAATTATTATGTGTACAAGTGGAAGGAGACGTGTGTGGAGCAACAGTGAGGAAGAAGATAGATTATTATAGGGAGTGAGGGGGATATATCTGGAGGGAATAGAAATGGGGACAATATGAAAGAGATGGGTGAGTAGACAATACAGAGGGAATGGTTGTGTAGAGAATGTGGAACTGATAGACATGGAGACAATTTGGAGAGGATGGGGGAATAGTCAATGTAAAGACAATATGGAGAAGATAGAGATGGAGACAACGTGGAGAGGATGGGCTTGTAGAACATATGGGGAGGATAGATGTGGAGGGAATGTGAATAGCATGGGCATGGGAACAATTTGGAGAGGGTGGGCTATCTATCACTATAAAGAGGATGGATGTTGAGACAAAATGGAGAGGATAAGCAAGTAGACAACTGGTGAGGAGACAATATAAAGATAATTGGCAAGAAGACAATATGAACAGGAGGAATGAGGAGACAATATAAATTGGATGAAAAGTATATAATTTGAAAGGTATGGAAACAATATAGGTCAGACTGGTGAGATAATAGGTGTTATACATACATAAGAAGAATACAGGAGAGAGACTAAATAAGTATGGCCTGCATGTTAAAAGGGTAATGCCGAATATAAAGAAGATGAGAGAATTACATTTGATAGGCATAGAAATAAATGTGGGAAAGATGGTAGAAATTGATAAATACATTTGGTAGGGTAAAAATCAATGTGGGTAAGCTGGTAGAATTGATAAAAAAAAAATGTGGTAGGTATAGAAATAAATATGGGGAAGTTGAGAGAGAGGTGCAGTTGCAATCAGTCTCTGAATATTTTCTCATTTAACCCCTTAAGGACACAACTTCTGGAATAAAAGGGAATCACGACAGAATATTTCCATCATGTGTCCTTAAGGGGTTAATATAACATACTACAGGTATATAGCTCCTGTAAGGTGTCCATTCACATGCATCACCAACTCAGCATTCCTGATACATTTTAATGGACAAAGCTCCATCAGATGAAAAGAGTCACACAATGCACAAATTTGCAGCCAGTTAATCTACAATTCATTTACATACAGCGACTGGCATACCAGTGCAATATGTGACATCTCTCACACCATCTGCTCAATGTTAGTCTAGGAACGCCTGAGTCTTTTCTGATTCCGTCTTGTAAATCTGCTGCTTCTTGGTATTTTGTAGGGATAAAAAGAAGGTAATCACAGATAAGGGAGTCTTAGCCTCAGAGAACCCTCCTAGCCAAAAACCTGCATTAAATCTCTTAATATCCCTTCACATAAAGTAATGTTCCAGCACCTAATACAAAATGAAGTATGTGGCACACTCGCTAGTTTCCACTGACCTCTTCTGTTTGCCAGAAAGCTTGTGGGAATGTGACCAAATGCAGGCACCCAGCTTTACAAAACTGCTATTGGCTATAAATATTTTCTGGTCTATCTTACATGTCCGTAATAGCGTTTCCTGATATACAGCTGATATACAGCTACTTACTGTATACTTTTACAGTAAGAACAATAAGGATATGGAATTCTCTGCCTGAAGAGGTGGTTTTGTCAGAGTCCATACAGATGTTTAAACTGAAATTGGATAAATACTTACAAAAACATAACATACAGGGATATAATTTCTAATTAGTGGGGTAATAGCTGATTGATCCAAGGAGACATCTGACTGCTATTTTGGGGTCAAGAATGAATTTTTTCCTAGTTTGTGGCAAAATTGGAAGTGCTTCAGACCAGGTTTTTTGCCTTCTTTTGGATCAACAGCAACAACATTTCTGAGGAAGGCTGAACTTGATGGACGCAAGTCTCTTTTCAGCTATGTAACTATGTAACTATGTAACTATGTAACTGTGTATTTAAATATAGATAAAACCACCTAAATCAGAATGGGTCTCTTTGTTGCTAAATTAATTATACTTTAAAGGGTTATTCAATAAAAAGAAATTAGGGTGAAATGACTCAGAATTGCAAAATAGAGACCAGTCTATGAAATGAAATTGGAGAATATTTCAGACTTGGGGATATTGTGGGTAATTTTTGCAAGTTGGATATCAATTCACTTATAAGAAGAAAGCCCTCTATTTGCGTTATTCATATTTTAGTCCAAATTAGCCAAACTGAAAACAAAAGGGAATTGGAGAATGTGAACCTCAGATCTGAAATACACTGTAAATTCCCACAATTCCTGGTAATGCCAGTTTTCACTTTATGAAATTGCAATGAATTGGTCTATAACATATGTGTTCTTAGTTAAGGCCATAGCAATGTTACTAATTATTATAAGAAGTATTATATATGCATAACGATGGATGTACAGCACTTTATAGGTTCCAAAACCTAGGCGATTGTTTAATATTTTTGATAAACTTTTTTAAAACAATTTGTTCAACCTACTAAAATATCAAAAAATATATCAGATATAAAAAAATATAAATTAACCAAAATTTATCAAAATATTACAGCAGTAAAAGATATAATAATATTAAATCAGTTTTAGAAGTTTACCCAAAAATAGTTAGCCGTTTTAAATACTTGTCCAATGTCAAAGTGAAGCCTGAGAAATAGTTTATACTGGATTATTGTGACAAATTGGCTAATACAAGAAAAATAGTGATTAGTGATTAGTGATTTACTGTTATAATGCAGTATATAAAGTTATTGCACATTCTATCCAACAATCACAACGGGACAGTTAAATGGTGCCATTTCATAGTTTTAAAACACATTTATATTATGAAAGGGATTATGGATAGTTGTGGTTTTGGGCTATGGTTAAAGTTACGGGATTTAAGAGAGTCATTATGGGTAGTTTGACATACAGCAGATATATCATTGCATGCCACAGTCTGGAGACTACAGCTACTATCATTCTCAGCCAGGCAGGTCTGTACCATCTAGAGTGTCTGGGGCACTTTTATCACTACACATGCCGTGCAACTACAGTAATACTTAGAATAATCACCTTGTAGGACCAATGGAATAATTTTTCTAACCTTGCAAAAATAATCAGATTTGCATAACAAGTGGGAAAATATGAACATTAATCGTGTAAAATGGGAATGCACATGAATGGTTAAAGTTAGATTTCTCTGTGTGGTATTCACATTAAATAAACATTAACCCCTTAAGGACCAGGACCACCATGTTTACTGGCATTGCAGTCTGTTCTCTCTGCACTTTATGTCAGCTTGGTTTATTCTGGTCATTTAACTTTTGAAGCACTACAAAGCCTTGCATTCTTTAAATCCTTAAGGACACATGACGGAAATATTCTGTCATGATTCCCTTTTATTCCAAAAGTTGTGTCCATAAGGGGTTAAAGGAAAAGGACTTTCCGTTTTGGAATACACACTTTGAATACAAGATTGTTATTAAGGAATGACCATCTTTAGTTTGCAAGTGGCTAAAACATCAAAAATCGAAAAGGCAGTTGCTGTTTTTAGTGATGGTGATGGTAAAGCATGTGCATAGGAAACAACAAAATCTGGTGGGACAGCCTTTCCAATAAACACCCCCCGGGAGCACATGTTAAACTATGCTGCTTTCTGTAGGCAAAATCATTCACTATCAACTGAAAGACTATTAGCAGAATAGGATATTGTACTTAAGCTATGCGGCCTTACCTTTTAATATAGCAAGAAATATGTAATTTCTCACAAAAAATATATATATTTTTAATAAAAGTCTTTCCACTAATATTTGTACATCTTCTTAATGAAATGTAAATATTTTAAAAGCTTTCTGGAGAAAATTACCAACTCCTTCGTAATAATCCTCTGTTCTATTTTTTTCATTATTCTTAATCAATAAAACATTTGATATTAAAAGTTACACCACCATGACTGGGGAAAATGAATAACAACACATAGCATATTATACCGTGTCTGGATTTTTTAAACAAAAATAACGGCAACGTAGAGAAGCCATGTGTGAAGAACTAAGTACACCCTTGCTGCTTCCATAGGAATTAAGAGGCTAAGTAGCAGATAGGTGCTGTTAATAAAATGCCATTGATTAATTGATCATCAGCAAGTGTGACCACGTCCATAAATGCCAAGGTTTTAGCAGTGTGCTGGTCTGGAACATTCAGGTGTGTGTTAACACAATGCTAAGGAGGATAGACATCAGCAAGGATCTTAGAGCAATTGTTGCTGCCTATCAAACTGGGAAGGGTTTTAAGGCCATTTCAAAACCATGTAAACTCCATAATTCTACAGTTAGAAAGATTATTCAAAAGTGGAAAACATTCAAGACAGGTGCCAATAATCCCAGGAATAGATGTCCCAACAAATTCACCCCAAGGTCAGACCATGCAATGTTCAGAGAAAATACAAAAAAATTAACAAGAGTTACATCTCAGACCCTTCATGCCACAGTTAGCATGTTAAAATGTTCATGACAGTACAATTAAAAAAAGACTGAACAAGTATGGCCTGTTTGGAGGGGTTGTTCTCTAAAAAAAACAAAGCAGTATGGCGTAGGTTTGCAAAGTAGCATCTGAACAAACCCCAAGACTTCTAGAACAATGTCAGACGAGACCAAATTAGAGATGTTTGTTCCTACTACACAGGACTACAAGGACCCAACATATCATTATCAGCACAAACACCTCGTACCTACTTCCAAGCAAGGTAGTGGAGGGGTGATGATTTGGGCTTGTTTTGCAGCCACTGGACCTGGGAACTTTGCAGTCATTGAGTCAACCAAAGTATTCTATGGTCAAATGTGAGGCCATGTGTCCCACAGCTAAAGCTTGACTGATATTGGGTCATGCAACAGGACAATGATCCCTACCACATCAACAAATCTACAACAGAATGGCTGAAAAAGAAAATAATCAAGTTGTTGCAATGGCCCAGTCAAAGTCCAGACCGCAACCCAATTGAAATGCCGTGGTGGGACCTTAAGAGGGCTGTACATAAACACATGCCAGCAAACCTCAATGAACTGAAGCAACATTGTAAAGAAGAGTGGGCCACAATTCCTCCACAGTGACGTGAGGTACTGATAAAGTCATACAGAAAAAGATTACTTCAAGTTATTGCTACTAACGGTGGTTCTATAAGATATTGAATCATAATGTGTACTTAGTTTTTTCACACATGGCTTCTCCATTTTGGCTTTATTTTTGTTAAATAAATCATGACATATGCAAATCATATACATAGGACACAAGGTCACTCATTTAGACTGGAAGAAAGTCGATTTAGTTTACAGTAAGAATAATAACGATGTGGAATTCACTGCCTGAAGAGGTGGTTTTATCAGAGTCTATACAGATGTTTAAACAGCAATTGGATAAATACTTGCAAAAACATAATATACAGGGGTAGATCTGACTGCCATTCTGGGGCAAAAAGTATTTTTTTCCTAGTTTGTTGTAAAATTGGAAATCATTTCGGACTGGGTTTATTGCCTTCTTTTGGATCATCAGCAAAAACAAATGTGAGAATGACTGAACTTGATGGATGTATGACTTTTCAGCTATGTAACTATCTAACAAAATCATGAACCATTCAGATTTTAGAAAGATTGCATTTGGACTCCAATCAGGTACTTAAAATATGTTATCCAGCTTATTGTATTAATCCTACACATAAAACAGCTGTTTCCACCCAGGGGAACATACCACCGGAAACCGTGCCTCACTCTACCCTGCCGGCTCTGCACGACCGGAAGGGAGATCAGAGATCTTCCTCTCCAGCCCGCTAGCAGTGTAATGCTGGCAGCTGGCAGGGGAGGGAGAGATGACCTGGGGTAGCTCTAACCTGCAGCTGCGCCAGGTTCTCCTCCTGTGAGCTCGAAGCCTTGCCACAGTTACCACGGTACCTCAGGAACTGCTAGAGTTCACTCTCACCACTGGGACCACCAGGGCTTCTCCACCCCAAAGGATTGTCTTTTACGGCCCTCCTCCACCCCCCCATCTCCCACAGGCAAAGGTAAAAAGGGAGGGAGGATATGAAAATTATTATAATTTTTTTAATTAAAAAAAGTTTATATGTATTAATCTCCTGTCCTACCCCCACAGACCAACAATAATTCCCCCATACACACACAAACTGCCGCCCAAACACACACACACACTGTACCCCCTCACACATACAAAACACCCACACTGTACCCTTCACACACACTGCCCTCATACACACACACTCTACCCCCCACACACACACTGCCCCCCATACGCACAGACTGTACCCCTCACACATACTGCCCCCATACACATGGACTGTACCCCTCACACACACTGCCCCCATACACACGCACAGTACCCCTAACGCACATTGCGCCCACACACACACACTGTCCCCTGAAACACACTCTGTCCCCACACACACACTGTACTCCTAAATACACATACTGTACCTCTCAATAAACATACTGTACCCCTCATGCAAACACTGTACCCCTCATGTACACACTGTACCCCTCGTGCACACACTGCACAACACACACAAGGCACCCCTTACACACAACATCCTTCACACACACACTACATCCATCACAAACACAATACACCCCCCCACACACACTGCACCCATCACACACACTGAACCCCTCACACACACATCTAACCTCCCCCACAGATTGCACCCCTCACACACATACATTGCACCCCTCACACACTACTGCACCTATCCCTTACTATAGCCACATATCCCAAGAGACCCCAGGTAAGTTGTCAAACTGTTCTTAAACAGTTTGACTACTTACCCTGGGAGGGCACCACAGCACTCCTGGCACCATAACAACTACAGAGTTCTGTAGTGGTTATTGTGCCTGGATTGTTTCTTTAAATATTCTACTAGTGCCCTTCCTGAGATTAGGTTAAGGATCTGCCCTTGTCAGGGAAATATTTCTGCTGAACAGTGTATGCCGCAGCGCTGTACATGTATGCAACCTAAAACAAATTTTGACTTGGGGCCCCTTTAAAAAATATTGAAATAATAAGAGTGCCTTGAACCTAAAAAGTTTGGAAACCACTGACTTACAATATTTTAACACTATGCTTTCTGTAGAGGCATACATTTATTTACCTCTTACCTTAAATATTAACTGTATTAATGGGATGCAGACTTTCCACATATTCATATCATAATAAATGTATTTTCTACTATTTGTTGCCTAGCAATTAAATATTGCTAATTTTGTCATAATAGTATCTGTCTCCTGCCTCTGTCTGTCTATCTCACATTATGTGAAAGCATGGGATGGATCTGAAATATGCCTATTTGTAATTTTTTTATTTTTTTGGTTTAATACTTTTCTTATTGATAAACTAAAGACTACACTTTAATGCTGAAAACTTCATATCCCAATCTATATAGGATTCCCTTTTTCAGTGAACTCCATAGTACTGATTGCCAATAGAATAGGCCATGTAGAAGAATTATAGATAAACTATTCCTTTGAATAAAGCACTGATTAGTTCTGTCAGTCTTCCATTATATCAAACTGCCAGTTCTTGAAATGTATTGTAATAACCTTATATTATGAACCTCTTTCTACTTTCTACTCCCTGAGTACATTAGCTTCATTAAAATCTACTTTTGTACTTACGTTTTCAGGGTGCTCGGAGCAGTCGTACTGTACAGCATGTGTTGGAAGTCATCTGTGAAAACACTCTCTTTGGGTTTTAATGTCTCATTACAGGACGAGAAGATTAAGACCATGCCATTCATGGATTAACCAGCAGAAAACAGATTTAAAACCACGATCATCTAAAAGCATGGCTTGGGTTTTCCATAAACCAAAACAACAAATGGATTTTAAGACATCAGCATTATTGTCTAGTCACAGTGCAATATTATTGTAGATCCATATTATATATTAGTTTTAATTACTAAATTGAATTGCATACTTTAGGACAAACCAGAAAAAAATAAAATAAAGAAATAGAAAACTCCAATTCAGCTACTTCATACAGTTCTGATATTTTGACCTAACATTGAAATTCCAATTTCATCATCAAACGGCATCATTTGAATAAATCCACGTATCCCTTATATTAGAGAATCAGTTCATCTCTCTCTTTTTTATGCAAGTAATTGTGTTCTTCTTAGTTTAGGTAATTATTTTGTTCCTAGTAGATTAAAATGGTTATTGGAGGGGGGCGGGGCCTGACAAGCATGATGGCCGGACGTGTTTTCACATAGCTCCGACATTCTACCACATAATCTCAGGCTAAACTGCCTATAAACGACAAGGTGACCCTCCTGGAATAGCGGAGGACAGACACTGCATATACCTGCATCTACCGTAAGCTTGCATTATCCCGGCCTGAAAGGCTGTCACCTAGAACTGGCTCTGCGGCCTACTGTGCCCGGTGTGTGGGGGAGACGGCCGAACTCCAGACCCGGCGAGCGCTCGGCTCAGAAGCCTCTCTACAGCCCCGAACTCCCCCCCCCCGGACCGGTGGGGGTTATCCCGGTCCCCACCGGCGCACCTACTTGCTCACAGCCACAAGACCTTACGAGGTACATGGAGTTGCCGCCCTGCCGCGTGAGCTCCAAGATGGCCGCCGGAGGAAAGCTTGAAGCAAAGCATTCACAGAGAGAGGACCGCATAGCCCAAGCCTTTGAGCTATTCTGGACACAGCTTTGGAGCTTGGTCTGCCCTCAAGCGGAGACACCGGCGCTGACAGGTGAGGCGTCAACAGGCCCTTCCAGATGCCACACCGCAAAGCGACCCATCAAACGAGGCCTGAACAAGGCACCAACAGAGCGGCGGCAAAGGAAGGGAAAGCAAAAGGCTCATGCCCGCCAAAAGCCCCGACCACCACGGAGGCACCTAGCCTGTAAACTCCGCCGGGAAACAGCGCAGCATCCAACAAAGAGAACGCACCCACAAAGCCGAAAATCGCCCGGGAGACAAAACTCTCAAGCAAAGCCCAGGCCCCCAGGACGAATCAGCACGCACCAGCGAACACCAACTACATGGCACCTGTCGCCGGACGGACCACAGGCAGCCCTGCATAAACTGTCTTCACATGGAACCCCACAGCCCAGCAGGGGCATAGGTTGACTGACTACTCGACCATGCTGGCATACCAGGCTGGCTACCATGACAGATCACCCCTCTATTATCAGTGCTGCATGGTTGTGACACATATGTCTTGGTACTATCAGTTGATGTTTAAATGTTTTTGCTAACTCAAGCTTCTGCTCCATTCTAGCCACTTATTTTCACATTTCTCACACATTATAGTAGCTGGGCATTAAGCCTCCCATGCAAGGCTCCGCTACAACTCATTAATGCGAACCCAGCAATGTGACTATTCACACATAGAAGAGGCCTAACTGCTAGAATGTTTTAATCGTTCATTTTCTCTCATAGCAAAGTCAGCTGTTAAACTCTGCCAACCCACTTATGTATAAGCCACCTTGTCTACAATGTGTTCTAGAGATCATAAAAATACAAACAATGTGTGACTAATCTCTAACAGTTTCATATCTTATAATTTTGCAATGTGCTAGCCGTTAAGCAACTATTGTCTGCTCCTCCTATTGTTAGCACAGATAGATCAAAAATACTTAAAAATGTGTGACTAATCTCTAACAGTTTCATATCTTATATTTTGCAATGTGCTAGCCGTTAAGCGACTATTACCTGCTCCTCCTATTGGTAGTACAGATAGATCAAACATGTTTCTATGCCATATGCATATCACTTCTGTTTTATAATATATAAAAATGTGCAGACATATTACTTGCCATGTTTGAAAATGTATGACTTTGCGTGTAACTGCTGTTGTGGCAATACACGCTCGTTGTTAAAACACGCACAACAAAAATAAAGAATTTACAAAAAAAAAAAAATGGTTATTGGAGCTTATCACATGGACAAAAGTAAAAAAATAGGGAAATACATAACGCATGATCAGAAGTACTTTATGTTCAGCGTGTATGCGTAAGTTAGTACCGTTAACTTTACAGAGGCCATGATGAAAAGCAGGCCTTGCTGTCAATGTGAGAAGGGAAATAAGGTCTGGTTGTTCCGCATCTCATTCCTCTCAGTTTATATGTCTGCTTCTTTTATTTGTACTACTGCTTTCACAGTAAAGGGCACCACAGGAAACCTTGGGAAAAATCTAGGGAAACGTGGTGACTAATTATGATGACTAAAGGGACACTGTAAAAAAAAAACCTGTATTTGCTTGTCCCAGTTATTTTCCCTGATCAACCGAACACTGACCACCCCCTGGCTCATTCAACTTCAAAGAAAACCACAAACTTAAGTGCTCTCCCTGTGATTATAACCGAACAAACCATGCGCTGGAAAACGGGGGCCATCTTTTCTCCCGAAAGCAGGCAGCGGTACTTGGTCGTCGAGTGTCTGAAACTCCAAGTCGGACACTCAACTCCGCGAACACTGGTCATTTTGTACAAACGCCCGCTTCATTTCACGACAAGCCAAGAGAGCGCTGTTCAGTAGGATTGTTCACATGAACCAGACGAGCAATCGCTACCTATGAGTCAGGGAAACTGTTCGCCTTTTTGTTCATTTTGGAACTCCCGAAAGTGACCAACATCTACCACTTTTTTCTTTGGAACTATTTTGGGCAGATGCCGTGTGTGCAGTCGGTCACAATTTTACCGTGGTGCCGATTTGGCTGTATTCCTGGGATCTGAACACTATTTGGATATGTTGAGCGCTTAGATCCAGACTATCCGGTGATATAATCTTGTGGGGGTTCCTATGTGTGTTATATATATTTTGTGGTGTTTTATGTTTTATTTTGTGTACCTCTAGAACCTGGGAGATAATTAGTATAGAGACTCCGGGGCGTGTTTTACTATACTTTTGCTGGAGACCCCGTGCTGGGGGTCTGTGTATATAAGTGTGCCCCCTGGCCATAATAAACCATTCCTGTTGTACCCTTCACCAAGTCTGATATTTGGGTATGAGAACGACGAAACGCTTGATTTTTCTCACACCATGCTTGGATTTCGAGAGTGTGCGAACTAACGTATGATACAAAAAACGAGGGTTCGTTACAGACACAATAGTGACAAAAACAGCTTAATGGAGCAGTTTTGCTGTATAGATCATGCCTCTGAGGTTCATTAAGCCTAAATTGTTTTGGTGACTAGAGCTTTAAGCATAACACTGCCGATGTTGGTGAAACATATTCCATATTGCAAAAATACTAAACCAGCCTTAAGATACAGATGTGTGACCAGAGACGCGACTACCAGTTAAATTGTTAGTGACAAAAATAAAAACCAGGTGTTAGATACTTGTATAGTTAATGTACAATACTGGATATTAACGTGTACCAAACATGCCATACGTATTTTGCATTCTGTACAGTTTTATAATGCATCACCTGCAAAAATAAAGAATTATAAAAAAAAAAGATACAGATGTGTGTATAAGGGCCTGCATATAATGTGTGTATGTGAGCTTGTGCATAAAGTCTGTAAGAAAATATTTGTCATTCAGTGAGTGGGTGAATATGACTATGTAGGAGACTGTTTTGACTCCATGCGGCTGTAACAAGGTTCATTAACTAAATGGTGCAGTTGACAGAGCCGGTGAGTTTGGTCAGTGACTGTCAAGAATCCATTGGAATTACAGACAGAACAAACCTGCTTTCAATGGTGCTTCACCTTCGGTGCACTCCATGTGCCCCTTCTTAGCTCACCCTCCAGGGTCACACTGTCAGAACGTCAAACGTATCTATATATGTTGTAGCTCAGCTTGAACATTACTGAAGGAACATAACTTATTTGCAGGGTAGGATTACCCTCTCTGCTGCCCCAAGCCGAGTTTCTTTAATTGTTCTAGATCATCAGTGAGGCTCAGCTGATAGCACTCTAAACACAGTGGGCAAAGGATCTACATCAGGATTACCTTACTAGACTTAAGCAAGCCCTGAGGTAAAAGCTTATGTTTGTCTTCTGACTGGCTCACTAAAAGGCCAGTTGTGGTCATGCTCACTGTGTGATTCCTGATCTTTGTTTTCAATAGACTTGGATATTTGTTTCATTCTGTCTGCAATTTCTTTGAAATTTAGGCAGATTGAGTGATGGTTCGAATTCAGAGCTGGATTAAGGATGTCCAGGGACCTAGGTAGTGTGCCAGATTGTGGCCCCCTCGTAGAGCCCTGAGCTCAGTTTATGTGAGTGACGTGTGTTTAACAGTGTGTGACAGTGTGTATGAGGGTGACAGCTGTAGTGGGTGGAGTGTATCTGTATGTGCTAGTTGAGAGTTGTATGTGTGGTGGCTGAATTGTGTATGTAGGTAAGTTTGAGTGTTGTGTCTGTGTGTGTATGTTTCTCCCCTTCCCGTTTACTTTCCCTGTCAGTCTAGTGGAGTGTGAGCTGGATCCCTGGTATTCCGTTAGGGGAGCTTCTTGATCTTCACCAATATTGAGTGAAGATCAGTTTAACAGTGCTCTCACAGTTCCAGAATTCTAAGTCATCTAGAAACATTGGGAGCCCACTGTAAGTGATCTGTAACTGATATTGGTACATACCACAACTCTCTCTCTGTGAAGTGAGGGAGAGCAAGGAATGCAGGAAGATCTTTTCTTCACACTGCCGGCTCGGGGAGGGCCCGCTCAGTGGGCCCCTGTCTAATCATGTGCCCTAGGCAGCCACCTTGGTCACCTAATGGTAACCAGCTCTGTTACAATTACCAAATGTTGAGCCAATATGTAGCTGTAGCAATTGAAAGTTGCAACAGACACGCATGTTTGTTTTGATTTGTTATTCGAAATTCTGCCTGTGCCATCAAAAACATAAAAAGGTTAGATAAAAGAAGATTATTGATGGCTAGGTGACAGCTCCTATATGTTGATTTTATTCGCAGATTAAGTAGGAAGTGAGTAATAGAGGGGAAAAAGCAGGATCAATAAAAACTATACATTTATATATCATATATTTAATAAATATACAATAATATATGAATATAGATTTTTTTTACTGCTCCTCCTCCTTTTTCCTCTATTGGTTACTAATTCTCACCTGATCTGTGAAAAAAATGGCGGGAACCTTTTTCCGTCAGTGTAGTGCAAAATACAGTGGCAGAACTACCGCTGGTGCAGCAGTGCAGCAGCACAGGGGCACAAAGTCACGAGGGGCCCATTAGGTGGTTCTAGGTGTGTGACCATCTGTGATCAGGGGCCCAATCAATTGCCAGGGCCCTTTAACAGCCCAACAGGGGACTTGGAGATATGAAGCTGTAGTGCTGGGAGGATGTGAGAACAAGTTGCTTCCTCCCAGGATACCAACAAGACCTGGAGAGGATGGAGAGCCTGGACCAGACTCCCACCAGTTTCAACCAGATGCCAATGTATGCCAGAAAAACATCCTCCTGCACCCAAAGGTATGGAAGCAGGGAGGGGGCTAAAAATATGTAGATTATGATCTGTGTGTGTGTCAGTGTGTGTGTGTATATCTCATCTGCATATTAGTGTGTATACATGTGTGTATCTGTGTGTGTATGTGTCAGCGTGTATATGTGTCTGTACATGTATATCTGTGTGTATGTGTTAATGTGTATGTATGCACGTGTGTGTGTGTCAGTGTGTACATGTGTGTATTTGTGTGTATGTGTGTGTATTTCTGTTAGTGTGTATGTCTCACTGTGCCTATCTGTGTATTTGTGTCAGTGTGTGTACAAGTGTGCATCTGTATGTTTCAGTATGTTTCTGTATCTATGTGTGTATGTGTCAGTGTGCATATGTGTATCTGTGTCTACATGTGTGCAGCTGTATGCATTAGTTCTGCCACTGGCAAAATATATACTTAATGTGTATACCAAGTAAACATTTTGCAGTGCAATAGTTTGCCCATTTTTTCCCTTTTGGATCATCTGATTTATTTCTAAAATCAGGTTTTTATTACCAAAATTTGGCTGAGCCAAACCAAACCAACATATGGCTGAAATGTAGCTTCCCTGTAAAAAAAATAAATATATTTTTTAGAAAAAGTGGTGTGCCCAAACAAATTCTAGTTTCCAATGATTTTCTACATTAATAAGACACACTCATCCACTACACCTGTTGAACTCATTGGCTTTTAGAGCAGATTTAATTCAGTATTAACAACGTCTAAAGGATCGCGTTGTCAATTCCTTCCTGTTAAACCATCTTGCCGAACTAATCTTTCTAATGGTATTAATACCTCGGAATGTCTCATATTAAAGAGTCACAATGAGGCAAAGTACCAAAATCCAAGTTAATCTTTTAAGTTTTAACAATAACTGGAAAGCAGGGTAATTATTTAACTACTTTGTTATAATAGGATTGGGTCTATAAATGTATTCACTAATTTCTTCAATTATTAATTATCTGTTAACTTTCCAACGTTAACCAACTGTATCCAGCCATTCTTAGACAATTTTATACTTTTTGTGCATACTGTGCATTAGATTTGCAACAGGATAAGAGAGGAAGCAATACAGAAGAAGGTTTTCATTGGATCGTATTTACTACAATCATCCTGACACACACACACACACACACAGACACACACAGGACTTGTCAGTACAGTTCATTGTAGTGGTTATGGTTTGAGGAGTGTTTGTGTGCAACCTTTACAATAATTAGCTGTGAGCACTGATTTAGTGGCTCAGTTGAAACCAGTTTAACAAACATTAGAAAGATTGCATCCAAAGACACCAAACGGGTTTGTATAGTAAACACCGAATTAAAAAACAAAACAAAAAAAAAAACATGATGACAAAAGTAGCCAAACTGTGACTGTACAGTAGCTATATCTGAGAATATTTCCACAAAAACTTTTTTAACCTTATGATTGCTGTTCAGATTTTAATTCACTACAAGAGTTTATTGAATAATCCTACATTTCCACTACAACACACGCTGCCAAATGTAGATCCCCAGCTGGCAAAGCATCATGGGAACTGTAGTTTAATAACAGCTGCAGTTGTTACTTTTTAGGCCCCCTACATGACAATATACTGTTTCGGTGCTTGAAGTGTCCCTTTAATTAATTTATTTATTTATCTTTAACTTTTGCTAAGTTCTGCAACCTGAGCTAACATATGACTCAGCCTCTTACACTAAAAACACATTCTTCTTGCTAATAGGAAGCCAAAGTCCACCTGTGGGACACTTCCTGAATTCACATTTAGCTGAGCTCTGCCTGGCTCTTATGTCACGCATGTTTGTAGGAATGCTATCTGCTGGTTTGGCCACAAGATCACAAACTTGTAATAGGATCTTACCAGCCCTTGAACTGCAACATTTCAAGACACCAAGCATGGAATATTAATATTTATGTATCACTAACCCAGATGGATAATCTACAGGGACAGCAGCCCAGGAAGTACCGATTGTAGAAGTAAGATACCGCTGGGGTCCTAGGACTAACCAGCACCTTGGAGAGGAGATCACATGGCAAGCAAAGGTATGTGATTCATTTTGAGTGATTTCCCCCCACTTGTTTTGAACTGGCTGTGCAGTTTAGATACAAATACCCATTGTGCTCTGATAGCAGATGCTGTAAACGGAAAAAGGCATACATGAATCGTGTGCACTGTGTGCTGTATGACTGAGGAATTTCTACATTCACTTTTAGGCTAGGCACCTGAGGCAACATTTAGTAAATACCTGACAGCCGTCCCAGAGTTCAGTAATGACTTTTAGTATTGTTTTATTGCACCAATTTCTTTCTACAATCTCCAGGTTCACATTAGAGAAGATTACTGCTTGCATGTGTTTTAAATGGAAGGTTGTTATACTCTTGTGCTTTATTTTTACAGTATTTATCAAGCTCCCTTCTGACATCCTATTTTTGTTTTATAATGACATAGTTACATTGTTGCTGTGGAGCAGATCGTTTAAACCCTGACTTGTAACTTGTAGCATTCCTGTTCTGTAAGTCAATTCAATTAGCTAACAAACATTTCCTTCAAGGTTCCTCATTTAATGAATTGATTTAATAACATATATATTGCAGGACAGACATTCCGTGTGTTATTACTCGTGTGAGAGTAAATTGTGGCCATAAAAATATGACAATGGAAAAAATATAGTAAAAATTAAATGCCTTAAAAACATGAAAAAAAATACTTTAGAATAATGAAAGTGGTGAATATATTGCACAGAAGTGAGTAAAAAAATGCAAAACACAGGCCTATATTTATAAAATAAGTAGCATGTTTAACAAATTAACTACAGTATGTTTTGGTTAAATACATTAGATACATTGCCATGTTATTAATATACCAAAAAGTGCTATATTGTGAATATATTTGCAAATTACGATTGTAATAAACCTTCTCCAGTTGATTTATAAAATATTTGACACTAAATGGCAACAAATAGCAGTTATCAATATGTAATTTATATGCAGTATAATTTTACGTGTGGGAAGTATAACTGTAGCGGGAAAAGCATTTTCTAAAAGGTAATAAAAAGGTCAATGAGCTACATCATTAAATGCAACACTGTGCTGGCACAGCCTGGCATCTGATTATAGTTGCCTGATCCACCATGTTTTCACAGATCTCTTATACATATTGATGTAGTATGTAGAATTAAAATGATGCATGTAAGAAATGTATTCATTAATCAAAGAGGAGCCTTGCTGCATGTGAATGCTACATACTACAGGAAAGTGCTACCTGTGTGTGTCCAAGAAAACATGGTAAATTTGGTGCGTTAAATACCCCATAATTCACTAGCTCAGTGATGGCTAACCTTGACACTAAAAGCTAGCTGAGCACCATGGGAAATGTAGTCCAGAAACAATTTATGGTGTCAATGTTAGCCATCACTGCTCTAGCTCAACCCCTGACTGTGTATGTAGGAAATGGTGAATATGATGGCGGGCAAGCAGATGTGAAAGCACAGAGCATCTTGGGAAGATGGCATCCCCTGTGGGCCAGATGTGCAGCTGAAGAATGTTCTATATTTACCTCCCTGCGGTGAAAGCATTAACCAACATAAAGCTGACAATTCCTCTTTGAGAGGAAGTAAAAAAAGAGATTCTGAGGATTCACAATAAAATGTTTTGCCAGTGACCCGTTTTCCCCATGTATAGAAATCCTTGCTATTATTACCATGTTAGACTTTGCTTGCGCATCGCCCGATCAATAAAACTCTTTGCTGAACCTGGTGGTTATTACGCTTACGCTAGGTTACCCACATGCACGGAATGTTTATATGAAATTACTGTTCAGGCCTTTATGAATCACCTTGTATTGACATTTGTTTGGGTAATTACTTTTATCTACTAAGTTTGACCTCATAAAACAATAAAAGGTTTAATTTGCATTGGTATACCTATAACTTTCCCAGTAGCTAGGTGTAATCTTAATAAAGTTCCAGGAGCACTAACCAATGAGTAACAACATAAATGAGCTTTGTCTATGCCACTGAGACAGTGTAGAGGCAGCACATGGGGCCTATTTCTCTGACACAGCACAATACAAAAACAATATTCGGGAATCAGCTAAGCATCTAGAGAGGAAAAAATAAACCAAACATAGTGAAGTATAGTATGATACAACAAGAAATGCGCTTCTTAGAATGCACTCACAATGTGTATGTGAAATTGCACCTTGGGGTGCCTCCGTTGATAAAGGCTGAGGGCTATCACCTTCTTTTAGGTCCTCCTGCTGCGGGTAGAATCCATGATAAATCAGAAGACCAAGATATCTTTCTCTATGCTTCAATATGATTTATTTGGCACAAATTGGTTTTAAAAACAATAAAGTTATATAAAAATTCTGTCCAACACGTTTCTTCCACTTATGTGGACTTCTTCAGGGTCAACAATAAAATAATACAAATATTTCAAACAAAAACACCCATTAGTTGTCAAGCTGTGTAATAACACCTTCCCCCAGGTCCTTTAAATAGGGCTAATCCATTTAAGTCATTGGTGGTTCAATGGGCGTGAGCCCTTTACTTGCTCTTGATTCCTCCAATTCTGATGTTTCCCGAGTTCTTTCTCCATTTTTAATATGATTTATTTGGTACAAATTGGTTTTAAAAACAATAAAAATATATAAAAATTCTGTCCAGTGCGTTTCTACCACTTCAGGGACAACAATAAAATAATACAAATATTTCAAACAAAAACACTCATTAGGTGTCAAACTGCCTAATAACCCCTTCCCTCAAGTCCTTTAACTAGGGCTAATCCCTTTAAATCATTTGTGGTTCATTGGGCGTGAGCCCTTTACTTGCTCTTGATAGGGTGGTATTCCTCCAATGTTTCCTGGGTTCCCACCTCACTCCCAGCTGATTCCTTTTGTGCTTGTTGGAGATTGTGTTCCGGAATGCCATCCTGCGTTCCAGCGCCATTTCGGTTGCATTCCACCACTCCATCTAATTTGCAATCAAATGTTCTCATGCATCCACAAGCTTTAAATTAAAAGTACAATAACTGGGCAAGAATTTCTGATTAAATCAGCTGTAGATTGACGCACGGACTTTGTGGTATATTTACTGGAATGTCCGTGCGGCAAACAATATGTGGGAAGGACAAAAAGAGTTTAGAAGGTGAGGGTATTGGAGCATATCAACACTATAAAGAAAGGCCTGTTGACCCACTCTGTTCTGGTGCACTGTAGTCTATGCCCCTCCTTCAACTGGAATACTTCACTATGTTTGGTTTATTTTTTCGTTAACCTGTGAAGAATTCCTGGTCCCTAGGCAGCTGCTTAATGTCTGCTAATCCCTCAAAAGAAAATACATGTCTTTGATTGCTTGCACAAACACACTTTATTAGGTTCCCCTGCTATCCTCCTGAGTATATGGCTTTCTGGTACTGTTTGGTGTTTTATAATTTTTATGTGATCAATTATCACCCAGAGACGCAATAAAAAAGCATGCACACTACCCACAATTGTCCTCCTGCATGCATGCTGTGCATGTACATGTATTTACAGGAAACCACATATATATGCATACACATTCACATGCAACACAAATACACCAACTGTATTGCTGCCTGTAAAATAGGATATTAAAATGTATTCTTGCATTAAACTGCACATGCCAGGGGCTTCATTTTGCCCGAAGGAGTACTGTACTGGTAAGCATTCCTGCTTGTAACTGGTATGTAGTTGACGAGCAGGTTACCTGTGATCCTGACACAGGTCTTGTGTGCGCAGGTTGTAGTACAGGTTGTTCAGTATAATATCCCAGCTCTGTGAGCCTCAGCTAGCAGAGTGTGCTGAACAATGAGCAGAGAAGATAGAGGTCTGTACCATAGCACTCCATATTCTTTGCACTCAATTCACCTGCTGATTTTTTTTTAGATAACAGGGAATAAAGCCATTTGCCTTTTTTACTTTATCTTAAATTTTATCTCCCTCAAGGAGAAACGGGGGAGGGAGGAGAGGAGTTAGGATAATTAAATATGAGGAAAGGGAAAAAATTTCTCTGAGTAGAGTTTCACACACCAAAATTAAGCCCAGGGTTGTGGATTTTGTTCTTTACTGGAATATAGCACAAGCTAAGAACCCTGTTCTCAACTCATACTCTTCAACAAAGGTATTTAATGTTTTCGGTTCGGTTCTTAATTTTCTGTTGTGTTCCTTTGCATCCCTCTGAAGTATATGCAGGTTAGCCTTTTGTCCTAAGTCATACAGTGTGGTCCTACAGTCCGTCCACATATCATATAGTTAATAGATTGGATGGTTTTGGTTTCTGTGTCTTACATGAGTAGTATGCTAAAATATTTTAAAGTTATATTAAGTTCCTGTTGTCTACATTACTGTTCACTAATAATCTGTTCCATGTCGGCTTCATCTTTACTTAAAACTACAGCTTAGAAGCTGAAGCCTAAACATTTAAGTGATGTGACCATGCTCAAAATAACAAAAGCTGTTTACCCCCTGAAGTGATATTCTTATGGATCATGCTCCTGTGTTCATTTTCTGTTGTGAGCAAGATTGCATATACATGTAGTGCTTACATATTTGTCTTCTATAGACTTGCACACATTGCCTGCAAATCTGATGAGTTTAGTTGTGTGAATTTAGTGTATCAATGATCAGCCTAAGAATCACTATGGAAATCAAAGGGGAATTGCTTCACCAACTCAATTTTGAGTTGGTGGTAAAAATTGGGTAAACCGACAAGTAGTGTAGAAAAGTTACTGGTTTTGTTCATTATACAAATTAAATGAGATGCTAAAATTGGTAACTGTTCTTTTTTTCTATTAAGGAAAGCAAGAGTCTGAAAAGGTAAAAGAGGGGGAACAGAAAAGATCTGCCTTTGATCTGTTTTTTAACCCATTGCAAAGAAAGAAAAATGATAATCCCGAGAAGACGAAAAATAATATTTTCCAAGTAAACAGATTCTTCAGGGGATTTGACAGAAAATCTTCAAAAACTGACAAGGAAAATGAACCACCAGAAGAGAGTGCACCATCGGTTGATCCCACACCTGACAATGTGAATGTGAATCCTGATGCAGGTACATGCAATTAGCATGAAGTTTACAAAGTAAAACTCTGCTTGCTCTGCGTGGTCTGGTTAAGACATATTTTATTTAAATTCACGGTACAGTAGTGTCACTTGGGTAAAGATGGAAGCTCTAAGTGCAGGACACTGGGAAATAAGGGTAAGGTCCGTTCCAAGGCCAAAGGTCCAAAATGAGCAGTAGGTCTGAAGCATATAAACATATGGGTAAATCCAAGATACACAGTCAAGGTATAAAAACCAAAGGCTATAACAGGCACGCAACACAGAATAATTGTGAAATATTTTACACTAACGGAGAGCACAGAACGTCTGAGCAACTTGCTCAGGTCACTCTGTGCTCTTGAAGTGAGAATCGTCATTCCTGTACTGCTCCAAACTCCCAAGGTGAGCCAGGACTCCAACAATAGCCTGGGTGCTGAGAATGTACCAGTCTGGGTGCAGGGTCCTAGGGAAGTATGCTGCCCCAGATGGAGAAATGGATCGTTGCTACAGGTCCACGGACAACTGGTGAGGACAGTGTCTGATTCCGACCTGTCCTGATCGGCATTGAGGTACCTCCAACATCCCGTCTCCTTTTCAGCGCAAAGTTGATTTGGTTTGATAGATTAAGTTATTGAGGTGGAAGCGATAACGGACATGGAAAATATAGTTTTCCTCCTGGTTAGTGTAATACAACAGGGTTTTTTTGGTTGAACCCTTTTATTTGTGTTCCCTATTGTGTTCTCAAAAAATGTACAACAAATTCTGTTTAAACTAGAGGTGTACTTATGTACCCCATACACCATTGTCATTGTCTTCAGGAGAAGTTTAGGTCAGACCACTGGTCGTTTAAATGGGTCTATTGAGAGATACATCTTTTTAAAAGGGGCTGTGGGTACTGAGAATCCAGAAAAAGAGAGAGTGAACAAACCTGGCTGGGTCTTTTTAAATATGACACTTTGAGCATTGAATTAAGATTGCCCATCTAAAACACGAATAGTCCTTTTTCTGTGAAGAATAGGAAAAACCTGTCTGTTAGGTCAGCGGCTGTCCTTTTTATTCTTTTAGAGAACTTTCCTGTTCTGTTGTAATGCTACCGTGGTCTGATCAGGAATAGCTGATAATATACATGGTAAAAAGTGTTTAAACATATACGCAATAAGGTTTAATTTACCTTTGTCCTTATATACACTGTCTACATCATTATATCTAGTGGCAGATTGTATGTTTGATGATATTGAAGTCTTATGACATGTTTTTCATGCTATTTTTCTTTCTTCTTCTCTTATTGAATAAAAGAAACAGAACCTGATCCAAAGTTATCCGACTGGTGGAAAGTCGAGCAGTTTATGCAGAAATTCGGAAAAAAAGCAGAAAGCACGTCAATCAACATTAACAACTGTGACCTGACACAAACTGACATGAAAGAACTCAGTAGGTCTAATCACATTCTATAGTTCTATGTCCCTTTAATGAAATGTTTATGAAAGGGCTAGGTGAAAACTCTAATTTCATCCTTGCAGGAATTTAGCAAATAAAGTATATATTGTGGGTGGCTGTCTTATAAGGACTGAAGCATCATCCTCTGCCATCAGGGCCGGACTGGGAAAAAAATTCGGCCCGGGCATTTTTTTATCACAGCGGCCCACTAAGAAGGGGGCGGGGCAGAGAGGGTGTGTTTTGTCATCACTCATGACAAACACGCCCCCTCTCAAAGTGAGCATGTTGGTTCAATGCTCTTCCAGGGCAGACCATGCGCAGAGCTCTGCTGAAGAGCTCTAGCATGAGAAAAAAGCCCTGTATTTGTTCTGCACAGTGCAAGCAAATTTAATAACATGCTTGCACTGTGTTTCCTTGCAACTTGTCTCTGGTGTCTCTATAAATGGATACCAGGAGACAAAAGGGCCAGGAAAGAGTATTGTGCATGTGTTTGGAGCCTGCTTGGGGTATTGCGTGTGTGCAGAGTGAGCTGGTCGTGGTGTGGTATTGTGTAATAAGGTCGGTTTTAGTCGTGTTGTGTTTGTGGTGTAATGTAATGCATATGTGGCTAGGGGCTGTAGAGAATGTGTGTATAGGGGATATAGCAAGTGTGTGCATATAGGCTATAGTGTGTGTGTGTGTGTGTATAGGTGATGTAGTGTTTGTAGAGAGTGTGTGTTCAGGGAATGTAGTATGTGTTTGCTTACAAGGAATCTAGTGTGCATATAGGGGATCCAGAGTGTGTGTGTGTGTGTGTGTGTATATATATATATATATATATATATGTATATATATATATATGAGTCTTATGTGTGTTTGAAGGACCCAGACTATGTATAGGAGATCTAGTGAGCGTGCGTATATAACGGATTCAGAGTGTATATAGTGATCTAGTGTGTGTATGTGTGTATATGATCCAGAGTTGGCTAAAGGATCTAGTGTGTGTCTGGAATGTAATGTGTTTAGGGGTGCAGTGTGTGTGTGAGGGGTGCTGTGTGTGTGTGAGGGGTGTTGTGTGTATGTGTATATATATATATATATATATATATAGTTTATATAAATATGTTTGGAAGTATTGTGTATGTGTGTGATGCAGTGTATCAGGGGGCTGTGTGTGTATGTGTGGGGTGCAGTATGTGTGTGTGATGGATGCTGTGTGTGAGGTGTGATGTGTGTGCTGTGTGTGTGAGGGTGCTGTATGTGATTGATTTGTGTGAGGGTGCTGTGAGTGTGGGTGCTGTGTATGATGTGTGTGAGAGTGTTGTGTGTGATGTGTGTGAGTGCTGAGTGTGATAGTGCTGTGTATGATGTGTGTGAGTGTTGAGTGTGATAGTGCTGTGTATGATGTATGTGAGTGTTGTGTGTGATGTGTGTGAGTGCTGAGTGTGATAGTGCTGTGTATGATGTGTGTGAGTGCTGAGTGTGATAGTGCTGTGTATGATGTGTGTGAGTGCTGAGTGTGATAGTGCTGTGTATGATGTGTGTGAGTGCTGAGTGTGATAGTGCTGTGTATGATGTGTGTGAGTGCTGAGTGTGATAGTGCTGTGTATGATGTGTGTGAGTGTTGAGTGTGATGGTGCTGTGTATGATGTATGTGAGTGTTGTGTGTGATGTGTGTGAGTGCTGAGTGTGATAGTGCTGTGTATGATGTGTGTGAGTGCTGAGTGTGATAGTGCTGTGTATGATGTGTGTGAGTGTTGAGTGTGATAGTGCTGTGTATGATGTATGTGAGTGTTGTGTGTGATGTGTGTGAGTGCTGAGTGTGATAGTGCTGTGTATGATGTGTGTGAGTGCTGAGTGTGATAGTGCTGTGTATGATGTGTGTGAGTGTTGAGTGTGATAGTGCTGTGTATGATGTATGTGAGTGTTGTGTGTGATGTGTGTGAGTGCTGAGTGTGATAGTGCTGTGTATGATGTGTGTGAGTGCTGAGTGTGAGCGCTGTGTGTGAGTGCTGTGTATGATGTGTGTGAGTGCTGAGTGTGATGTGTGAGTGCTGAGTGTGATAGTGCTGTGTATGATGTGTGTGAGTGCTGAGTGTGATGTGTGTGAGAGTGCTGAGTGCTGGGTGTGATAGTGCTGTGTATGATGTGTGTGAGTGCTGGGTGTGATAGTGCTGTGTATGATGTGTGTGAGTGTTGAGTGTGATAGTGCTGTGTATGATGTATGTGAGTGTTGTGTGTGATGTGTGTGAGTGCTGAGTGTGATAGTGCTGTGTATGATGTGTGTGAGTGTTGAGTGTGATAGTGCTGTGTATGATGTGTGTGAGTGCTGGAGTGTGATGGTGCTGTGTGTATGATGTGTGTGAGGTGCTGAGGTGTGATGTGTGTGGGAGTGCTGGAGTGCTGGGTGTGATGGTGCTGTGTATGATGTGTGTGAGGTGCTGGGTGTGATAGTGCTGTGTATGATGTGTGTGAGTGTTGGGTGTGTGATAGTGCTTGTGTATGATGTATGTGAGTGTTGTGTGTGATGTGTGTGAGGTGCTGAATGATAGTGCTGTGTATGATGTGTGTGTAGGTGCTGAGTGTGATAGTTGCTTCCTTGTATGATGTGTGTGAGTGCTGAGTGTGATAGTGCTGTGTATGATGTGTGTGGAGTGCTGAGGTGTGATGTGTGTGCTTGAGGAGTGCTGAGGTGTAAGGTGTGATAGTGCTGTGTATGATGTGTGTGGGTGCTGGGTGTGAGGAGTGCTGTGTGTGTATGATGTGTGTGAGTGCTGAGTGCTGGGTGTGATAGTGCTGTGTATGATGTGTGTGAGTGCTGAGTGCTGGGTGTGATAGTGCTGTGTATGATGTGTGAGAGTGCTGAGTGCTGGGTGTGAGAGTGCTGTGTATGATGTGTGTGAAGTGTGTGAGAGTGTTGTGTATAAATGTTGTGTGTTGGGGGTAAATAAATAAAAAATTAAGTGGGGGAAATAAACAATAAAAAAAAAATAAACAAAAAAATAAACAATAAAAAAACTAAGCAAAAAAAAAACAACTAAATCCCCCCCTCCCTTCTTACCTTTAGCCTGGGGGGGGCAGGCCCGTGGTAGCTGGGATGGGGGGGGGCACAGGCACTCGTACACGATCCCTGGCGGTCCAGTGGTGAGTGAACACTCTCGCGAGATCGGGGTGTTGCCCTGGCAACGCTCCCGATCTCGCGAGATGAACCCGGCGGAGCTGCAAGATAGAGCTCCGCCGGGTCCTCTCCCTCCCTCCCCAGCCACAGGTCTGTTTAAATGGGCCGGTGAGGGAGCTCTTTGATCTCCCCATCGGCCCTCCATGGAAGACAGCGGGGCCGGCGCTCGGATAGTGCCGGCCCTGCATAGACCGGCAGGGGAGATCCTGGGACCTCCCCTGCCGGCCTCGGCCCCACGGCCACCGCGGCCCACCGGGCATTTGCCCGCTGTGCCCGATGGCCAGTCCGGGCCTGTCTGCCATATTGCTTTGTTTATGAACATCTTTATCACATGCTGGTCTATCTACTGGTCTATATGAACACGTGAATATATATATCTACAATTATGTTGATCTAACCACATTGCTATTTCATGCCTCCCAAGTGTCCCTATTTAGGAAGTATAGTTCATATTTTGAGCCAAATACCTCTGTCTCTTTTATTATTGTAATCTACCTCTTTTTAGGAGCTCCATATTGCAGGAGTTTTTGAATGTGTAACAGAGCTCCACATAAATAATACTCCCAGTAATGTGCCTTTAAACTACAATAAATGCTTTTAGAAATCAGTAAGAGTCATTGATTTTTTTAAATTACATTTAAAGTAAGTTACATAAAACTTCTCAAAAGAGCCCACCCCTGGCCACACTCACACCCATAAACTTAAATTGTCCCTCTTTGTCCATCCGAAATGTTTGGAGGTATGATATTTGAGCCGCTAAATCGGTATATGTTTAAGAAAGCTGTGACCCTTGGGTTAATCCCCCTCCCCGCAGCCCCCCTCCAATGCTCTTTGGGTACTGTTGGATTGGAATAATTTTTTACATTTGGAAATGCAGAGTTATGAATGCAATGGGTGTTGGCCTCCCCTGGTTTAAGAAAATTATCCAAAATGGTTTGACAGAAAACTGTGAGGACAGTGCCCATATAGACATCACACCATAACTATTAGACCGTCCTGCAGTGATTATGGTACTTTGAAGGCTCCATTAAGAATCACAGTCTGAGTCCTCTTGTTTTAACTCCACACTCATCAGGTTTATTGATAAGCTGATACAGTATGTTCCTTTTGAGTGGCACACACTAATTATTATTCTCTGCTTTTCTTAGGCTTACTGGTCTCTTTTCTTCCCGATGCGGAAGAAATTGACCTTTCTTGGAATGATTTGATTGGTGGATCAATACATTTACTGACCTCCCAATTCCAACATGTCTGCAATCTGAAAATACTGAGTTTAAGTAACTGCAGTCTTACAGAGAAGGACTTCACTGCCTTAGGTAAAATGCCTTGATCTCCTGTCTGACTGCATTTTGTCACTTAGATTCCATTCTATAGAATTGGGAAACATTAATAAAATTATGGTGAGAACTTTGTTCAGGAAACTAATTTTGAGCGTTAATAACACCGAATCTTCAGTGTATGGGATCTCTAGCTTATTGTGAATTGTGGAACTGAGCTGACCACACCCACTGCGCTAAGCAACTTTATAATAAATATATCTGGAATAAGTAACATCCATGGGACTACTCTTTTCAATAAAAATTGTCAAGAAAAATAAAACTTTGTATTAAATAAATTGGAATGCAGCTATGATTTAATAAGGAATAGTAATAATAATAATTATTATTATTATAATGAGAGACAAAAAGGCTGTATCCACTAAACTTGGAATTGGATATGATTGACAAAGGAGAATTGCCTTGTTAATCCACCACAATTCACGGTTTTATGGATAATCCTCAAATTGCAATCTAATGCATCAGTTCTTCTACCTTGGAACGGGGATTGACATTGCTGGTTCCCTTTGAGCATGGCACATGGTCACATATATGAACCAAGACGAAAAGGAGAAAATATAGGGATAGTCATTAATGTCAGAACTGTAATGGATTAACAAGGAGATTGCAAACCAAAAATCAGAACAGCAAAACTGCAGAAATTTCTAAATCCTTTTTTTTTTTTTCAGCTGACTTTTTATTTATTTTTTGCTTAATAATTACAATCACCACGTTATTACAATTGCCAGACTACTTAATAGATTGTAAATTTGTTTGGACAGGGCCCTCTTCACCTTCTGTTTCGTTATGCAATTCATGTTTTCTTAGACTTTAATGTTTGTTTTGTTTAGCTGCGGACTATGTTGGCACTATATAAATAATTGTAACGGTAAACCATGTTGCTCTCTCTCCGTACTTGGGGTTGCACTTTACAGCTTACTACCCCAGTAGAATTCTTATGATCCAAGAATCCAACACAGGGACTTTCTCAATTGCCTTAATCTGCCCTGATGCACATGTAGGTCCCACAATTATGCTAAACATTACATATTATTCTTTTTACATTTGTTTACATTTAAGGTGCGGGAGAAATATCATCCCTAATGCTGTATTGCTGTAGGAATTTCACTGCCTACACCGCCTCCCTAAAGATAAATATGAGACTGTATAATGCAATATAATTTGCACTTGTCCATTTACATTGGGTGGATTGGTTGTATCTAGGAAGGCTGCCAGGCTTCACATAAGCTTTTAAAGGGACCGCACATTTCAAAAACGAATTGCTGTGTATCTGGGTAGCTAAACACAAAGTTTCTTAATTTGATAAGTCTACTACATTCCCTATCAAATATGTAAACCCACACTTGTCATCAGTGAATTGAACCCATGCTTCAAACTATGGGAAAATGTACACTAACAATTTAGCATTCCAACAGATTTTAAAAAGAAGAAATAAGGGGAAGGGAATAAAATGAATGGGTCAAATGTACAATTAAATAAAGCATTAATCATGCTACTTTGTTAATGTGCACATTGCATTTGCTGATAAAGTATTCAAATAAAACACTATTTCAGAAATGTAAGTCTAGAACAGTGATCTGTATTCCTTGCACTCAATCTGGTTTTAGTCACGTGCAATGATGAGGAAATATTTTAGTAAATGCTTTATATCTCAGACTGGGCATGTGGCAGACTTGTCAGATCGACAAAATAATGTTATTAAATTAAGCCATCTTTACTGCTATTTTTAGCTATAGTATAATAAAGAAACAAAAACAAATTACACAAAAATAGACAAATTGCTGATAAAAATGTCAGATAGGAGTAGATCATTTTACATGATGCATTTAAGTTTATGATAGCCAGTTGGCATAACTGTTTTGCTTTATTTTAGGTGAGTCCTTTAACTTGATTCCTCATTTAGAAAGTTTGGATTTATCATGGAACAGTAACCTAGGATGCAGTCTGTTCAGAATCTCTCAACATGTACCAGGTCAATCCAGTATAAGGACCTTGAACCTAACAGAATGTAACCTCAAATTAGCCGATGGAGACTCTCTAGGTAAGACATCTTTGTGTATTTGTGCGTGAACCTTACAGGTTAGTTTTGTTTTTCTGTGCTCTTATAATAAATGTTAATGTAATTTTTAAGACTGAGAGAAATGTTCTATATAAAGGTTGTGTCTGACCCATGATACATATTATTATATTTAGTTATAAAGCGCCAACAAATTTTGCTTTGTTATACAATAGCTGTACTAACTAACAAGTAGTTGCAACTGGACAAGTCAGACATACAGGCACTGAGAGCCCTGCTTAAGCTTACATTCATGAGGCATTGGTATAAAATGACATAATAGGCAAAAGTAATATGTATTTCATGTAATGAAAAAGTAGGTTGCTAGGTCTATTACAATGAAGGTCTAGTTTATTTGCAGGAGAGAAGAGGGGTTAGTGAGGCATGTGAAGGGAAAGTTGTTAACAGTTTAAAAAAATTTAGTTTTCACTGCATTATTTTGATGGATCTGAGACTGGGTGAGAGTCTCAAGGAGCGGGGAATGGTATTTCATAGGAACAATGCAGCCCTAGGGATGTCTTGATGGCTAGAGTCAAAGGTGTGAATACGAACAGAGGATAGGGGACTGGATGGGACACACTTGTGTATTAGTATGGATAGACAGGAGCAGAAGAGATTTGTAAGCGAAAACCAGAATTTTAAATTGAGACTTGAATCTTATGGGAAGCTAATGTATGGACTGACAGAGGGGGAGAGGTGTAGTTGGTTCAGACTATGAGCATTCATTACAGACTCTAGCAGAGAGAGCTGGGACCAATGAGAAGCAGATTGCAGTAATCAAGGCAGGAGATTATAGCAGCATGGAAAAGCATCTCAGCTGCATTCGGTGTTAAGTAGGGCCAGATACAAAATGTTTTTGAGATGGAATTAAAAGGATTTGGAGACTGACTGCATATGAACGATGAAGGATAGGATGGAATTGAAGTCAACTCTAAGGAAGCAGTCTGTGAGATAGGGTCATCCAGGGCCAGATTAAGAGCCCAGTGGGCCTGGTGCTGACAATTATGACGGGCCTAATTACAGAATCATATCGACCAAAAACAGTAAAACACTCCCAAGCATCATGTATCTGATGGAGATGGTGCTGGAGAGAAAGAAAACAGCAGCTATAAGAAAACACATACCCTAGGCTAATCTCTCACTAATTTATGTTTTCATCTTTCAAGTAAATCCATAACCCCTAACAGCAGTGTCCAGTCAAGTAGGAAGTCAATGGGCATGGTAAAAGGGTGTGCCACTGACACAAATCACATAACCTGCCAAAAGGGGCGAACATGCCCAAAAAGAGGACATGTCTGCTCAAAGAATTAGAAGACCAGCCTGGCATGTCAGGCTGCCTGCCAATCATGCAGCTGGCCAACTAAGGGCATACTATGCAGACAGCACCCTGAGCTTGGCATAAATGCATCTAATGATGCGCTCACTCAACGCTTTCTAAGGACTGTCCCCTAGCACTCGCTGGTCCACTTGTCTCCTTACCTTCTTACTAGCAGGCAGAAGCTCCTGGTATATGGTCCGGGACAGAGAAAAGCTGTATGTAGTGAGTGTAGAAGAAAGGGAACATGCCACAGTGTTAGAGAGACCAAAGTCAGCATTACCACAAGCATGAATTCATGACCCTATAGTGTTAACACCACCATCTAGCCCCCCTGGGCCCCTCATGCCTCCATAAATATAGCAAAATCCTACTATATTCAAGCCTGAAGCTTTAACTCTGCATGCTGTTAGACTCATAAAAACAAGCAGTCTGCTGACATCATTAGAAGTGGTGGCCTGATCCAATCACAGTGCTTCCCCATAGGATTGGCTGAGACTGACAAAGAGGCAGATCAGGGTCAGAGCCAGCATGATTTAAACACAGCCCTGGCCAATCAGCATCTCCTTATATAGATGAATTTAATTAATGAATCTCTATGAGGAAAGTTCAGTGTCTACATGCAGAGGGAGGAGACACTGAATGTTTGGATGCATTTTAGGCAGCCATGACCCAGGAAGGATCTCTAACAGTCACCTAAGGAGTGGCCAGTGAAGTTATCACTAGGATGTAATGTAAACACAGCATTTTCTCTGAAAAGACCATGCTTACAGCAAACAGCCTGATGGTAATGATTCTACTCACCAGAACAAATTCAATAAGCTGTAGTTGTTCTGGTGACTATAGTGTCCCTTTAACTATATTCATTGTCAGCTAGTCCACACAAGTTTACATCCCTCTTAAGTTTCCATACTTAAGTAAGAGTATGTGAAAAGTAGTTAGGGTTGCCACCTTTCTTGGAAAAACAATTTGCATAAATAAATATGTATGGGTGACATCACATGATGTAAATCACAAGGAGTGACATAAGAGAAAATGCTGTAAAATCACCAAAAAACTATTTAGTTTAAATCTGCTGTAAAGATGGATTCCTCCCAGTGCCCCCATATGTCGATTACTCCAGTCCTCAGTGTTCCTATGTATCAGTGTCTCAGTGCCCCATGTCTCCCAGTGTCCCAAGTGTCGTGTCCCCAGGCCTCCTTTTTTGCCTTCCCTATGTATCAGTGTCTCAATGCCCTATGTCTCCCTGTGTCCCCATGTATCCCAGGGTCCCCATGTCACTAGGACACTAGGAAGACGGGGAGACCTGGGGACACGGGGAGACCTAGAGACACGGAGACACCAGTGACACTGGGAGACTAGGGGACTCTGGCTGGGACACATGGGGACAATGGGAAAATAGGGGACACTTGAAGACATGGGGACACAGACACCAGGGACAAAGATACTAGAGACACTGGCTGGGGACATGGGGACATTGAGACATGGGGGCACTGGGAGACATGGGGACACTGAGACACCAGGGCCACAGACACTAGGGACACTAGCTTGGGACATTGTGACACTTGAGGCACTGAGAGACATGGAGGCACTAGGAGACATGGGGACAGTGAGACACTGGCAGACTGGGGGCACTGGGAGACTAGGGGTCACTGGAAGACTAGAGGCACTGAGACACCAGGAACACTGGCTGGGAGACATGTGTCCCCATGTGTCTGTGTCATAATGTCTCCCAATGTCCCTTAGTGTCTCAGTGTCTGCCATAATGTCTCCCAATGTCCCTTAGTGTCTCAGTGTATGTCTCCCTGCTGCCTTTCCCCCCATCCCTTACTTCCCTGAGCTGTAGGCTGTCTCTGCAGGGTGGGAGTTGCTGTCTGGACTCTCTGTAGCTGCACCCCTGCAGATCAGTGAGTATAGATAGGCAGGGAGGGATATGCTGGAACTTCCTATACCTGCCTGTCTCCACATGCAGCGACCCCTACTGGCCAGTGCTGGTATTGCATAGTAATTTCCATTTATACTGAGAAAAATACCAGCATTTATATTGCCAGTATCACTGCAATATTGGCACCAGCCAGGCAGCCTCAAATACTGGCTGTGCCAATAAAATACAAGCCAGGTGGAATCCCTAAGAGTAGTGTGTAAAAAAAAAAAATGTAAAAAAAAAAATTATTATTTTTTTTTTTAAATCAATGGGCCTATTCCATGGGCCTGGGCCTGGAGCTGCAGCTCCATCAGCCCCTATGTTAATCCGGCCCTGGGGTCATCCAGTTATAAATAGCATTGATGCAGTTGGAGTCATGATTCATGAGGGATGGAGAAAAATCAGAAGAAGACTTGTCTGCCATCAGTCATACTGGAATCCATAAAAATTAATTAGTTTACCAAGGGAGGCAGTATAGATTAAAAGTATTAGAACACCAAGGACAGAACCTGGGGGAATGCCACCAAAGTGGGGTTGTGGAGTAGAGGAACAACAAGAAAAGGAGACACTGAAAGAGCGCTGGGAGAGGTAGGAGGAGAACCATGAAAGAGCAGATTAGAGAGAGACCTGGGTTTAAACAGGCCTGCAATAATGCTGAAGTGTGGATGATATATGCACAAATGGGGTTAATCAAGAGTTAGTCAAGCAAATACAAACAACTGGGTAAGTATCAATAAAATAATGGTGGATGTGTGAAAAATTATTAAAGGTAAGTAAGTGAGCCAAAAATATATATAGAGTAAGGCTGGTTATACTATTAAAAACATATAAGGACTATCTATTTCTAGAATCCTAGATTTTAGGCGCAATGACCCAAATTTCAACAAAAATCTACTTTATATATATTTCAGAATTAAATGCTTTGCATGTGTATTAGGAGTATTTGTCGGATAACACGGATAGAGAAATGGATAATATTTGACTTTCATGTTTGTCAATGTGTCCAATGACTTTTTAAATGGGTTTTGTTTTCTAGCACAGGCTGTAAGTAAGATGCCAAAACTGGAAGTGTTGGACCTTTCTGCAAATTCCGAGTTTGGAGTTTATGTCTACAAATTTATAGATGATTTGAAGAGGTGCTCTTATCTGAGGGAATTGAAACTTCATGGCACTGGATTACAGCAGGACAGCATCCAATGTTTAAGTCAGTAATGACCTAATACTGTACTTTTACTAACACTCTGTGGATAAACGTCACCCTTAGAAGATGATAGATTTTCATTAATCTTCATAGTACAAACATGACGGGCACAGTCGGCACACTGAATCTATGTAACCACCCTATATCAACAGTATATTCAGTATTCAGCTCACTATTACATATGTGACTGTATCTGCAGCATTCCTCTTTTAATCATTTGATTTTCATAAATATTAACTCCTTGCTTTGACAAACGGTTCCATTATGTGTCTGTTTGCCTTTTGGAGATATTTCTTGAACAGTGAAATGTGTGGGAATTTGCTGAAGATTTTACACGGTTATTAAAGCGGATAAAACGTTGCATGTCTTTCTGATTAACGAACTTGTCTCAAATCTTGAAAAGCAGGACAAACCAGTTTCTTGTAATAATTCAGTTTGATTGTTCTTTGGTATTTTTGCTGTAAGACAGAGCCTTGGGGAAGGCAGGTTTATTCATTATGCTTTTTTGACCTGTATCGCTTTTGTTTTATCACGCTGTGTTCCTGCCTAGTTTTTAGACATTATATTGTGTAGCATGCAGTCCAGACCTCGCGCATGTGGATTTATTAGCTATCTGTAGAAGAATAGTTCATTCTCCATAGTATCTGCAACTTACACTTGCACAATTAAAGATACATGTTTCTCACTGAATCAATGCCAAGAGTCGAAGTAAAGGCCTAAAGGTAACTCCAAGTAATCTCAGTCAGCACTGTCACAGACATGTCCCAGTGCTGCCCTAACTGTAAACATTTCCCCTTAGCCCTATCCTACAAGCACAATAACCACTAGATCAACAAGTAGTGGTTATGGTGCTACAACCGTGTCAAGAAATATGTTTTTCATAATTTGAGTTAAAATTGGAAATCAGTTAAAGTTGGGTTATTCGTCTTTTTTTAGATCAACAGCAGTAATACAAATGTGTAAAAAGGCTGGACTAGATACAATTGAGTCTTTTTCTAGCCTAAATTGCTATGTAACTGTATAAACCAGTGGTTTCTAAACCAGTCCTGAAGGCACGCCTACCTGTCCAGGATTTAGGGATTACCCGGATGTGGTAAAAACACCTTAAACACAACTGGGTAATCCCTAAATTCTGGACTGCTAGGCGTGCCTTTGGGACTGGTTTGGAAATAACTGGTATAAACCATACACTTCCCCTACTAATACCCAAACACCTATACTTACCTTAACAGTAACCTGAACTTCAACCCTGACACACTAACCTTAGCCTAAAAATATTATGTAATGACATTATGTAAATAACACATGAACATGTTGGATGGTTTACTTATATGTATTTGAGAATTATTGACACCTGCCCTTGCATGTTTATCATTCTTCGAAGTTATTGTTGTTTATAGAGTAATACTGTCTCTGTTCCTCCAAGGTTCTGCATTTCAATACTGGCCATATCTGCGGAAGCTGGACCTGTCCTGTAATAAGAAAGCGGGGGGAGGATTCCAAGAAGCAACTGCTGGGCTAACGTCTTTCAAACACCTGGACCTCTTGGATATTCACCAGTGTTGCCTTTCCAGAGATGATGTTGCAGCCCTGAGTAATATGGTTTTCTCAATATAGTTTCTGCTGCTAATTGCTCGTGCGATTATTGGATGTTGCTATTTAAATTTTAGTGTATGTGACAGGTCTGTAGCGAGGAAGATGCATGTTGCATGCTGTCTGTTACTTAACTGGAAGTATTTTTAAAAATTAAACACATGGATACCAAATGTAATTCTTACGTTTAATAAATATGGCATATATTTTAGATTTTTATAAAGAATATATCTCTTATCATTAAATCAACTTTATCTTTTTAAGTTGCCGAATAATGCACAGATTGTTATAGCCAGAACAGTCTTAATTGTGTACAGGAGAGGAAAATGGCAATGGAAATTCATGGTGCAGTGGGATAGTCAATCCCAGTGCCTATTCTTGAGACACTACATGTTCATCATGTCCAGAGACTCACAGGTAGAAAAGTGTATCCATAATGATAGGCCTCTTGGTGGCTGGATGGAGTGGGGCTGACATTAGGCCCTGGGCAAAATGTAGTAGTGAAGCCACCCAAAATTCACACACCATTATTATCATTTTTTAATATTAACAGTTGTAGAAGCCATTTCTGACATGACAGTCTATCTCTCTCAGACACACTTACACTGATCAGCTACAACATTTAAACCACCTGCCAATATCATGTAGTTCCCCCCTTCCACCGAATATAACACTGCCTCCACTGGCCTGCCTTCTTCCCCTAGTGCTTCCTGCTGCCATCTCTTCCCCAGGTAAAGATACACACACATTGGGCCATCTACCTGATCTAAAAGAAAGCATGATTCATTAGACCAGGAAACATTCCTCCATTGTTCCAAGGTCCAGTTCAAATTGTTCACATTGAAAGCATTTTCTGACATGGATATGGGTCATCATGGGCACTCGGACTGACTTGCATACTGAGCACTTCATGTTGTACCCCATTTGATTGCAGTTCCTTCTCTAGTACAAATTCAATAGGGACTGTATTCAAATGGCTGCATCAGTTTACCAAGCACTGTAAAAAGGAAACTATTCTGACATCATCTACATAGTTATCAGTTGGTTCCTGTCTATTTTTATTTATTTGGGGTGGAGGGGTAAGTTGTGCTCTGTCCCTTTAATTCCCTATGGAAAGCATACTCAAAAACAGACAAAATCTGTAAAGCAGTACTAATTGACTGACTGTACACACATACTGTTGTCTTTTTATTAAAAGTACTTTGTGTTTTTCAAGCCCAGGTCATACCCTTGCTCTCCGATCTCAAAGTGCTGAATATATCATCGAATAAAATGATTGGTCAGTCTCCTGAACATCTTTTCAGCCGACTTCGCTTTTTGCCAAAACTCAGGTCTGTGATAGCCAGCAATTGTGCCTTAACCAAAGAATCTTTTGCCGCACTAGGTAAGTGTTGTATGTTTGTTATATAGTATATGAAAAATATAGTGTATAAGTCACAAAGCAAAGAAAACAGATAATTACTATCTAAATCAGTGGGTCAAAACATTTTCAATTCAGTGTAATTTGGTATTTAGTGAATAATCCTTCACTATGAATTTGTTGATGCAGCTGATTTTTATTTTTGAATTTGTTGATAAGCCAAATATACTTTAAAGTTTTATCTCAATGATGCTAATTACTTTTTATCCTCTTTATAAAACTCAAGAGGTCTCGTATGCTGGAGGCTCCAATCACGTTTGAGTGGCTACATAATCTATTATCCTTTATAGATAAAAGAGCTAACCTAAAGAAATGGCATAGAGAACTCCACAAAAACCAAAAATACATTTTCTAACATTATACGAAAATGGGCCAAGAAAATAAATGTTATGATTTTATTTTATAATTCATAATTAATTTTCTTTTTGCAAGCACAAGTGACCGATTCATATAATTCTAGCTGAAGCATCTCGTTATCTGTTGGATCTTGAAATCTTGGATCTTTCCTGGAATAAATGTGTAGGCGGTAACCTCCAATTGATGTCAGGTTCTCTGAAATATACAACTGCTCTGCACAGCCTGATCCTTAGTAGCTGTAACCTGGTGACTCATGACCTGGCTGTTTTAGGTATGTGTAAAAATGTTTTTTTAATAGGGATATCTAACCCATCTGTGAGAGATGCTTCCTGACATATTCAAAGGCACCGTGAGCTTTATAGTATTAATAATGTAACCATTGATCATGGTTTGGACCTAGAATACTCTGTGCAGAACTTGCATAGATTGTGAACATTTGTAGACTCTTAAAACTTTGTTTTTCTGTTTGTTTTGTAAAATACAGCTAAAATTCTGGTATTTTAAAAATGATGGAAAAACTGAATGCAGGGAAGCCATTTTAACAACATGTTGCTAGAATATTATTTAATTTCATCACCTTGTTTAAGACCACCAGTCTTTCTCTGTTTTATTTTTGTATTGCATTAAAGACCAACACGATATGCATTTACATAACCTGAATAATTAATCATTTATAATAGCAAAACAATGGTGCAATAACATGGGGATTACAAAAAAGAAGATTACCTGTAGGAGAGTATAAGTATCTCAATATGAAACCATTAAGACTTGATTAATGGAGACTATCTAAACCACGTAGAATGCCAATAAGCGATTAAAATTAGTGTCAGATCCATGACTTGTCCTCTATTGACAGTGTACAGTTAGTACAGCTGGGTCTTTTTTTACCGACTTAACTATATCTATCCTACACCAAGATATATAGTGCATTCAGACTCCTGTATTTTTTCACATTTGTTTTAGCCTTATGCTACAATTGTTTAAATACATTTTTTTTCTCATCAGTCTACCCTCAATACCCCAAAATGACAAAGCAACAAAAAAACATATTTTTGACACTATTGCAAAATATTAAACATAATAATGGAAATATATCATATTGGCATTGGCAGGTTTTCACACCCTTAATTCCATAATTAGTTGAAGCACCTTTGGCAGCGACTACAACCTCAACTGCCATTCTGGGGTCAAGAAGGAATTTTTTTCCTAGCTTGTTGCAAAATTGTGCTTCAAACTGGGTTTTTTTGCCTTCTTTTGGATCAACAGCAAAAAACAAATGTGAGGAAGGCTGAACTTGATGGACGCAAGTCTCTTTTCAGCTATGTAACTATGTAACTATGTAACTCTTTTTAGAAATTGTGTACTTGGATTTGCAGAGTTTCTGCCATCTGCCATATCTGCAGATGCTCTCAACCTCTGTCAGCTTGGATAGAGACCATCAGTGGACAGCCATTTTTAGGTATCTCCAGAGCTGTTTGATTGTGTTCAAGTCTGAATTCTGGCTGGGCCGCTCAAGGACATTCACAGAGTTGTCCCTAAGCCACTCTTGCATTGTCTTGAATGTGTGATTAGGGTCACTGTCCTGTTAGGATGTGAACTGTCAGTCCAGTCTGAGTGCTCTGGACCAGGTTTTCCGTAAGGGTATATCTGTATTTTGCTTTTTACATCTTTCCCTAAACCTAAAATAGTTCCTGCTGCTGAAAGACACCCAAAAACTATGAGGCCACCACCATCACCACAGTGCTTCACTGTTGTGATGGTATTGCACGTGTAATGAGTGGTGCCTGGTTTCCTCCAGACACAATCCTTTGAATTGAGGCTCTTGTTTCTCACAGTCTTAGAGTCTTTTAGTTGCTTTTTTGAAAAATCCAAGCAAGCTTTCATGTGTCTTCTAGTGAAAAGAGCATTCTGTCTGGCTAGTGTTGCAGTGATGTTCTCTTTCCACAAGTTTCTTACATGTCAATACATGATCTCCAAAGACAATGTCACCAGTGGATTTTTAGTAGCCTCTCTTGCCAAGGTCCTGTTTGCTCCAGGCAGCTCTGCCAGCAGCTTTAGGAAGATTCCTGGTTGTTCCAAAATGCTTCCATTTATGAATTATGGAGGTCACTGTGCACTTTGGAATTGTCAAACTTTATGCAACCTTTCCCAGATCTATGTCTTGACACAATCCTGTCTCTGAGTTCGGAAGAAAGTTCCTTTGACCTTATTGCTTGGTTTTTGTTCTGATATGACTTCACAACTGTGAGACCTTACTTTGACAGGTGTATGCCTTTTCATATCATGACTGATCAATTGAATTTGATACAGGTGTGACAGTGTAGAAATATCTAAAAGTTTATCCAGATAAATGGAATACATCTGAGCTAAATTTCAATTGTTATAGCATTTGTCAATGTGATAATTTAGTTATTTATTTTTAATAAACTTGGAAGATTTTCAAAAAGCTGCTTTTTGCTTTGTCTTTATGGTGTATTGAGTGTAGATTGATGTAAAAAAAAAGACAATTGTAGCAAGTCAGAACATAAAAAATAAAATGAAAAATGGGTCTAAATACTTTCTGAATGTTTTGGTAATGACATCTACTCCTCCAGGGATATCCTGATTTCATTTACCATATTCTCATTATTAGGAGTTCTAGAATCTTAACATTTAATACAATCAACATGTGGCCTTTTCATCGGGCCAATGCAATGCTTGCAATTATGATATAATTAGATTATTAAAGAAGATTAGTCATGGGTTTTGTTTTTTGTTATAGATTCAATTAATGTTTTGTTTGTCTTAAGAATGATGGTACATATTTTAAATAAGGCATTCTTATGTACATGTACATACCATTTCACCTAATGGGCATTTTGTTTTGGAAAATATGCCCATTAGCTTAAATAGTTCCTCTATCTATTAAAATAACAATAATTTTCAGTATTTAAACTAGAAATGTTTAACTATGCAAAAACTCATTGACAAAGATGCTTGTATGAAAGTATAACACTGTAATTATCCAAAATCCCTATTGAATTATCAGTGGCTTACAAATTTTTTTTAGCCTTACAAATTTTGCATTATAATAAAATTAACCTGTTTTATGTAATTGGATACAATGCATGTAATTAGCTAAAGAATTTGCAATTTATTTTAGCATCCACACTACAAGATGGACACCTACAGAGATTGCTTCAACTGGATCTTGCATACAATGACACGATTCCCGATGAGGGATGGGGTCTCCTTTTTGAGAGTATAGGTGCTCTAAAGAACATTACTGAATTGGATATTAGTCTACGTCCTGCTTCCAGACGTAACTGTGGTCCTTGGTTCATTCATTTCTTGTCAAGCTTATTGAAATTACCTAAACTCAAAGAGGTGGGAATGCAGCGATGGGTGCTCTCCCCAGCAGAACAGCAGCAACTGGACCGTGTTTGTAAAGACAACCTCATTCATGTTATTTTCGACTGACCCGACACATTTTTAAAAAACATTCCTTACAGGGACAGTGACAATTGAAAATGAGAAAGCATTGGAAGCATTCAGATATAATGCACTCCTGTCTCTATAGAGGTCCACAAATATAGTTAGAAATATACTATTGTTAATAAAGTTTTTAATGTCCATGAATGTCTATTCAAGAAAGTTGACTATGTATGTAAAGCAATAATGCATTGTGGTTTAGAACTTTTTTAATTAACAGAACATATTTGCTATAATTCCTGATATTGTCACAAATAGTGCAGCAAATTTGTTTATTGCAACTGTTTTTTGACAAATAAAGTTTTAACGCAAAAAATGTACTGTATTTTTGTATACTGTAAAACAATTAAGGCACAGCAGGGCTGTGCTTTAGAACATTGATATTACTGTTTAAGATGGAGTTCACCAATGTTTTTGTCCATTATCATTGTGACTCCATGAATAAATTATTTACAATAGAAGTACTGAAACTTTTCTGAACCTTTATCAGTAATGGTGGTCTATTATATGTTGGTAGTTTCCCTTTAACATCAGTGTATGTTATGGGAATATCCTTGAATGTAGAAGAAAAAGCTTGGGCTATAGGAGTAGTATGTTAGTAATACTTAGATGATACTTAAAGGGACACAGCTTATTGTATTTGTTCTGGTGAGTATAATCAGTCCCTTCATGCTTTTTGCAGTAAATACTGTCTTTTCAGAGAAAAGGCAGAGTTTACATTCCAGTCTAGGGATACCTCCACTGGCAACTCCTCAGATGGCTACTAGAGGTACTTCCTGGGGCAGTACTGCACAATGTGCAGCACTAACATTCAGTGTATCCACCCTCTGCATGGAGACAATGAACTTTCCTCATAGAGATGCACTGATTCAATGGATCTCTATAAGGAGATGCTGATTGGCCGGGGCTGTGTTTGGCTAGTGCTGGCTCTCTCCCTGATATGTCTCCTTGACAGTCTCATCCCATCCAATGTTTTCCTAGAGGAAAGAATTGTGATTGGCTCAGATAAACACTTATGATGATGTCAGCCAAGCAGGCAGATCAGGGGCAGAGCCAGCAACAGCAGACTAGAGTAAAGATAAGATTATACTATATTTAAGGAGGGCAAGGGGGGACAGGGTGGCTAAATTGTGTTTTTAACACTATAGGGTCAGGAAAACATGTTTGTTTTCCTGACCCTATAGTGTCCCTTTAATCCGTACCTTAGGGAAATCAAATGTAATCAATGCCCTCCCAATGCATTTCTTGATGATTTTTAAAATTCTTTATTTTATATGGGTGGTACGATACAATTGAGAAAAGCAAAAGACATACGTGATAAACATTGCAATTATACATGGATTGATAGCGTGAGAAGTGACCCATTTTATATTTTATATATATATTTTTTTATATATCTATGTTTTAGCTAATACAGCATAGGAGTTAGAGGATAGTAAAGCTCTTAGGTCATGTTTCTCCGTTTTTTAACTATGATCTGAGCTGTGAGTGTCGGGGGAGATGTAGATTAAGACTCCTATTTGTATGACTGAAAACCCCTAAGCTATGGGGCAATAGGGGGGTGGGGGAGGAATGAAACTTAGTGATACTGCAAATACATGTCAACTTGCTGTTTAAATGGGATCAATAGTGACATTTGTCCGCTAGACCTAGGCTGCATTCAGCAAGGTTTGACATGTCTCCTAGAGGCATTAGTACTAAACAGAAGGCATAATGAAATATTAAGAAAGCAGAACGAAAAATAAAGGACAAACAAAGACTGAATTCCAGTACACTTTCATGTCACTGAGTTGCTGGTTCCCTTGGGTACGAAAGGGTTGATTCTGGAGACGTCCCAGGTATGACTTGTGACCGGTTTGTCGGTCTGTTCCTGCAGGCCTAGTGCTTGGAGGAAGGCCGTTCCCTCTGAGGGTCGTATGGCTTTGATAGTCTTTTCATTTTTGGATGAACGTGAGAGCCCACAGTAAAGTGGCTCTGCTTAAGTCCTGAAAGAATGTGAGTGTTTGCGATTCAAATTGTAGTGGAGTCTTTCCCTTCAGGGCACTGAGGAGCTTTTGCTTATCGGCAAGGGTTTGGAAATACAGGATGATGTTGTGGGGAGCCTTATTCGGTGCCTGTGAGGATTTGGCTAATCATTATACTCTGATGAAGGCAAATTGTTTTGCTGTTTTTGCAGGTAAGACAGAGGAGGCTAGGCGTGTGACGAAGTTCCTCAGGTGGGAGTGAGTCCACCACTTTACGGATCTTAATATTTCTATTCCGCTCTCTGTCCTCCAACTGGGCCATCCGGATACCTTGGTGTGGTTTGAAGTAGTTGCACTGTCTCACTTATGGAAGTCAGTCCTTCAAATCGAGGAGGTCTGCCTCAGTTGCTTGGACCATGTTTGTTACTGCTTGCACCTCTGTTTACACATTCCTTATCTTAGCCGAGAACATTTGCTTGATGTGTACTAGCAAGTTATATATGTCCTGCTTGGTGGACGGTGCATTACCATGGGCTATTGCTGGGGCCTCCGGCACGTAGAGCATCTCTAAATAAGATAATAATTTTTGGAGCGCCCTTCCAATAAAGGAAATTTAGAGATCTATTTAGAGTTGGTATGATTTAAAGTTGCTGCTACAAAACACTCTAAATGTGATGCCCTCAAACACACTTAATGTACATAAAAGAAAAGAGTAAATAAGGGTGGAGCAGTGTATCATAAAATAACTATTTAGGTGATATACCCCAAATATATATGCATATGTGAGGAAGTTAAGATCAATAAAAAATAATACTTAATATTCAAAGGATGACTTCCATACAGGAATTACTCAGCACATACAGGAGAAAAATACATAAAAAAACAAATGATGGTGCAGATTGTACAAAATTTGTAATATTATGTGTATTCCCAGAGAGTATACCCAAAAAAAGGGCTAAGGAAATACACTAACAAAGTGTGTTAGCTCAAATAGATTAAGATAAAGAATTTATTACAATAACCAAACAGGTATTAAAAGTTTCAAACACTTGTGCACATTAACAAACTGACTTTTACAAAAAAGAGTGGCGAGTTTGGCACGGCTTCCGCCGCTACTCACTGCCCAGCTTGTTCAGATATGGTGCTGGAGATGCTGAATTACGGCTTCACAAAGCTGGATTTCAGCTTAGTTCAAGCTACAGATGTCTCCGCCCTTTTAATACCTATTTGGTTATCGTAAAAAAATTCTTTATCTTAATTTATTTGAGCTAACTCACTTTGTTAGTGTATTTCCTTAGCCCTTTTTTGGGTATACTCTCTGGGAATACACATAATATTACCAATTTTGTACAATCTGCACCATCATTTGTTTTTTATGTATTTTTCTCCTGTATGTGCTGAGGAATTCCTGTATGGAAGTCATCCTTTGAATATTAAGTATTATTTTTGCTTTATCTTAACTTCTTCATATATGCATATATATTTGGGGTATATCACCTAAATAGTTATTTTATGATACACTGCTCCACTCTTATTTACTCTTTTCTTTTATGGAGAGCATCTCTGCATGTGGGTCGCTTGCGGTTTCAGGGCTCAGTGGTGTTGCCCATCTGGTTCTGGAGGTCAGCATTTGGCTGATGTCCTAGCCCTCTCTGGTGGTCGATTGGGTCGGTTTTTGTGATTTGCCCCCCTTTCCACTGCTGGAGAGGTGTGGCTGTGGTATTCAGGGGTTACAGTACCCTCTGGGCCTCCTCCATTCCAGTAAGCTGCAGGCTTACAACGTGGTAGGCTCGAAGACCTCGGCGCTAGTTTTAGCTCTTGCGGGGGAAATGAAGGGCATCCGCCGATTCGCTATCACCTCCCTAACATGTTGGAGGTAGTTGCGTACCGATGTCTCTGGTTTCTGCAGTGTTAGGGGCGATTATGTCGAGATAGTTCTCGGAGCTGCGGGAAGGTGCGTCTGCCTTGAAAGGCTGTGTAGCTCCACCCCCATTTCTTGATGATTTAACCTCTTCTGTTACTAAATGCCAACACATTCAGCATTGGGTCCATGGGATTCCCTGTCTGTGCTTATGGCAAAAGAAATGACATCAGAAACTAAATATTACATTGGCATAACTACCTGATTCATTGTAGCCATAACATTGCCCTCTCATCCATTCTGACTCATACAGTTATTAAACATGGTTTCATATTTCTGATTAGTAATAATTAAAGATCTAATTCATTATGTGCAGGTTTAGGAGTGAATAAAAATGTACATATTGAAATTGAAGGCTACTTCAATGCGTACATGTAAGTGGAACAAATGCAAGGCTAGATATACTATTTCATGAGGTTGAGGTGTATTTCCTAGTTTAAGACTGACATTTTTTAAAATTCCAGGACTCCTATTAGAAAGGAACTATTTTTTCATGTTCACTTCTTCTTTCCTTTCCCTTGAGGTTTCTTTGCTTGCCCCTTTGTTTTCTTGTCCTTTTTTGTTTTCTTTCCTTTTTGATTTATGTTGCGTAAATAGGCGAATGGTCCGAGTCCTTTCCGTACCATTTGTCCTCGCCACCTTGCCTGGATCTGAAGCACATAGTGGGAAAAATCAGTACCTGCCTACAAAAGGATCTTTTACTAAGAGCTAAAAGGTAGCTATATGTACAAATTCACATAGTTCAGCCAATTAGTAAAAAAGTATTTGATCTCCTGCTGATTTTGAATGTTGGCCCACTGACAAAGAAATAATCAGTCTCTATTTTAATGGTAGGTGTATTTTAACAGTGAGAGACAGAATAACAAAACAAAAAAATTCCAGAAAATGCATGTCAAAAAAGTTATACATTGATTTGCATGCTAATGAGCGAAATACGTATTTGATCCCCTATCAATCAGCAAGAGTTCCTGTTCTCATGTGTCTTTTATACAGGTAACGAGCTGAGATTAGGAGCACTCTCTTAAAGGGAGTGCTCCTAATCTCAGCTCGTTACCTGTATAAAAGACACCTGTCCACAGACGCAATCAATCAGATTCCAAACTCTCCACCATGGCCAAGACTAAAGAGCTGTCCAAGGATGTCAGAGACAAGATTGTAGACCTACACAAGGCTGGAATGGGCTACAAGACCATCGCCAAACAGCTTGGTGAGAAGGTGACAACAGTTGGTGCGATTATTTGCAAATGGAAGAAACACAAAATAACTGTCAGTCTCCCTCGGTCTGGTGCTCCATGCAAGATCTCACCTCGTGGAGTTTAATGATCATGAAACCGGTGAGGAATCAGCCCAGAACTACACAGGAGGATCTTGTTAATAATCTCAAGGCAGCTGGGACCATAGTCATCAAGAAAACAATTGGTAACACACTACGCCGTGAAGGACTGAAATCCTGCAGCGCCCGCAAGGTCCGCCTGCTCAAGAAAGCACGTATACAGGCCCGTCTGTTGTTTGTCAGTGAACATCTGAATGATTCAGAGGAGAACTAGGTGAAAATGTTGTGGTCATATGAGACCAAAATGGAGCTCTTTGGCATCAACTTTACTTGCTGTGTTTGGAGGAGGAGGAATGCTGCCTATGACCCCAAGAACATTCCAACCATCAAACATGGAGGAGGAAACATTATGCTTTGGGGATGTTATTCTGCTAAGGGCACAGGACAACTGCACCGCATCATAGGGACGATGGACGGGCCATGCTGGGTATTCTAGCATTACAATGATTCAATACACACAGCCAAGGCAATAAAGTAGTGGCACAAGAAGAAGCACATTAAGGTCCTGGAGTGACCCAATCAATCGCCAGACATTAAACCCATAGAAAATCTGTGGAGGGAGCTGAAGGTTCGAGTTGCCAAATGTCAGCCTCAAAACCTTAATGACTTGGAGAGGATCTGCAAAGAGGAGTGGGACAAAATCCCTCCTGAGATGTGTGCAAACCTGGTGACCAACTACAAGAAACGTCTGACCTCTGTAATTGCCAACAAGGGTTTTTCCACCAAGTACTAAGTCGAATGGGTCAAATACTTAGTTCACTCATTGACAAGCAAATCAATTTATAACTTTTCTGACATGCGTTTTTCTGGATTATTTTTTTTTGTTATTCTGTCTTTAACTGCTAAAGTACACCCACCGTTAAAATTATAGACTGATCATTTCTTTGTCAGTGGGAAATCATTCAAAATCAGCAGGCGATCAAATACATTTTTCCCTAACTGTACAGTTTCTGTTAAAATCAGACACATCTCTCTATTTGGTTATTCACAAAATAACTGTTCAGATATTAAAACCAGTTTCCCTGACAAAAAACACAGAGATTACACCAATAGCATCCAACCCATTTTAGCCGTACATCCGTGACCCAACCCTTAATTCAACACCACCAAGTCCTACTGTTACATTAGCATGTTTTTCTTTTTCTTATAGCAGAAACATGTGATTGCCTTTGACCTGCAAATCTTGTTGCAACACTAAGATCCATTATCTTAAATAGCAAGGACCCATTTGGCTCAGTGTCATTTAAAATCCATAGATAGCGAATAAAGTTACTTTTATCAGCTGAACTGAAGGGAAATAGCGTGAATGAAAATGGACAAATTTTCTGTCAGAAAGTCATATTCTAGTGAAAAAAGAACTTGGTTTAGAAAAATGGTTGAGAAAGTCTGCTCTAAGACATATATTTGCAAATTAAAAATAAATAGCATCATGGTGTCACGATACCTTACCTTGGGTCCCACAAGATGGTGCTCCGGCTGCTGACTCCTCATGGCCTTGACCCGGCATTTTGGACACCGGTTGCTCCACACAAGCCCCCTTTTATGATGCGGTACATGCATTCCGACGTCATAGCGGCCATGCTGTGCAACTTCAAAGTATGCCACACTCCCTGATGTTTTGGGTGCGTGGATTTAAAGCAAAAGATGCTGCCCAATAAAAGAGCGCCTTTTGCTTTAGTTCAGTGCCCTTTTGTAGTTCACTGGTTGTTCCCTCTAGTGCTATATGGCTTCCTGACTGTGCTATTTGGTATTTGACTTGGCTTGTATAATATATTGACTGTTCTGTTTTCTGGTATCCTGACTCGGCTCGCTTTTCTCGTTTATCCTGATTTCTGGTTCCCTGACTTGGCTATTCCTCATCGTTATCCTGATCTCTGGTTTTCCTAGACTTTGGTTATTCCTTGACTATTCTCTTGCTATCCACGTTATACCCGGCCATTCTAAGGTCTGGTAATAAGTTTTCTCATTTTTGGGTTACATTCTGCGTGTTGGGGTCACTTTGTCATGACACATGGTCACACCAATTAATCTAATACCTTTGTGGCCAACACATTTTTACGTCTCTTTTGCTTCAGATATTCCCAAACAGCAGATTTTCCGAGGCTGCACAATTCAATGGGTGGATCAGTCAAGGGATTTTCTTCTAAAAGCAACACCTCGAGCATCTGCAACATGTCCAGGTTGCATGGTACCCCAGGCAGTTGATTGTTATGAAGAAGCAGCTTCTGCAAACCTTTGAACAAAATGACAATATAATTTAGCAGCACAGAATATTACTAAATCAGCCAACTAAATAATTAACCCACATATCCTATTCTACTAACTGTTTTTTCTGGGATAGCTTCCCTTATCTTCTTTTCCTCTTTTTTTTGTTTTTACATTATTTGTTGCATTTTACAATTTTGGCACAAAAAATAATATGAAATGTGATATTAGTTTGTGTAAAAATATATTAATATAATACACAAGCAAACAGTGCTGGCATAGTTACCCACAATGCTTGTATAGGTGGTAAGTGACTGCAGACGTGTATACAATTTGATCATCAGGGACAATAGATCCCAATAAGAGATGACAAATCTGGGGGTTATCAATTACAAATCTGTGAGTTGACAATGATCTGTTAAAATCTGTCTATACAGTATGCAAAATTTACACGAAATAGTGTTAACGAGATGTAAACCATTGAACAAAGAACTGCAGTAGAGAGTCCTTGGCCAAAGAGGTGAATGGGGAATACTACTTGGGAGGAGAGAGATGGACAAGAAGGAGAGATAAAGAATAGAGTGAGTGATAGAAAAGGGTGAAGAGGAAGGGTCTACTGTCTTTCTGCAGGGTTATCTTTTCAAAAAGCTTTACAAAATAAACAGTTTTCTGTACCTTGTAATTGGCAGATTGTCTCTGGTAGTTGTTTGAGAAGGTTATTATGACAATCCAGAACTTGTAAATGTTGCATTTGATTTAAGGTTGACGGAAGAAATTGCAGATTATTGTTTTCAATGTACAATTCTTTCAAATTCTAATTGAATAAAAAGAGAAAATATTTGAATTGCTTAGTTAAGCTATCCATATTAACACAGACACACAGTATTACATTGGTGATTCTTTTTACCTCTGGTTTTGCTTAGGAGGTCTCATTATGCACCATTTTGCATTCTTCACCAGAATTCAAGAAAATATGTGTACACAAAGTTTCCCTATTCTGGATTAATGTCTATGGCCCACAGACCATAAGGCAATTCTAGAATAAACACTTACTCTTCCTTCATAATGGCTATACATGTGTTAGCAGTACTCCAATTAAAGAGTCACTCCTTGCTTGAGTCCACTCAATATATAGATAATGCAATCAAAATATAAAAAACATATGAAATAATAAGAATCTCTTTAAAGTTCCTGCATTTCCTGGAAGATTCCTGGTATTTCCATCTGTTTCTGTAAGCTCTGCCTGACTAGGAAGCGGTTGAGAAAGCTGTAAATTCATCCCAGCACATCTGTTATGCTAACGGAGAGAGATAAGCATATTGCAGAAACACATGATCAGTGTTGGCACAGCTGACAGACACAATGTGGAACACACTACGGTGGGCCTGCCTCTTGAAAAAAATAGACCCACTTATTTCAGACTCTCCCATCTGGACCACTCAGCTGTCTGTTGCATCTCCATATCTCCCATTGTTGGGAGGCAAAAGGATGTATTAATGTGTAGCTCAAGAGTGCATGTTAATGCAGGTGCTTATTTGTATAAAGTTTCTGAATGTATAAATGCAGACTTCTATTTACCCAGTAACACCACTTGTGGATTTGGGCATCAGGCACTCTGTCCAGCCCCTCTCATGGCAGACCATATGTAGATCACTCGTGAAGTGCTCTGCCTATGGTGTTAGTGTTTTGAAGGAACGCAAGCAGCACAACAGCACTATTAAATTCTAATTGAGCACATTTTCCTGTTGTCCTCAGTCCAGATTATATATATCACAGAACAAACCCTAAATTTGGGACAGTTCAGAGGTATGCATCCATGTCTTCTACCATATCGAAACAAAATTCCTACATTCTTAATGAGAATTAACACATGCAAATGCACACTAGTTCTATAAACAACCAGATGCATATGTATGCAATCACTTTGAATATACACATATACACACACGGGTTTTCTGATTGCACACATACTCAAACGCAAATGTATTTTTCAAATACTCGCCCTAACACAATGTACACATAAAACACATATATTCACATAAAAATACATGTTTATAAAAAATATTGCATGAAGCATTTGCTTAAAAGCTTAAAAGGTTACTCTAACTAAAAGAATACTGTTTAAATAAACACTGTTTTTGATTAGAGCAACCCTTACTATCCTGGTTTCTGTCTACAAAAAAAAAAAAAAAACAAGAAATAAATCGCTAATAAACAACCTTCTTTTTCAGAGCCGAGGTCAGGTTAGATCCTCCTCTGTTGACATCATTCCCCTCTCGCTGGAGAGGGATGGATGACAGGGAGGGCACGGCTGAAGGGAGGACAGTGGCGGCACAGAGGGACTTGTCGCCAGCATGCTGTGTGTATACTGAATATAGGTATTTGAAATACACATAAATTAATACTTTTGTTCCAGGCTGGATAATGGCACCCTAATGATGCTGCAGGAGTCGGCATTACACCCCCAGCAGCAGAGGGGTTAAACTCTGCATGTGCAGCATTTCATAGCAAAACACTGCAAATACAGACTCCAGGCACCATGCCCACTTCAAGGATCTAATTTTGATCTCAGCCCATCCACACTTTTGTGTGAATTAACAGTCTGTCAGGTATGGTGTAAAACCACTCCATATAAGTTTTTTGTTTTTTTAAATCATGTTAAAAAAAAATGAGTGCCTGGACCAAGTTACAACTTTCACAGTTATGTACAGAATTGACAGCATTTCTAATCTTACCTTTAGGAGAGATATACTTTCTGGTAATTTGGAAAGTCTGATGCCCTGATCTTGTCCTAAGTACAATTTCTCCAAGGATTCAATCCCACATATTTGCTCTGGGAAAGCAATAAACCTGTTTCCACTTAGTCCCAGGAAATTAAGTTTGGTAAGCAACTTCACCTCTGGTGGAATCTGGAAAACCCAACATGTTCCAAATATGAATGATGCATAAATATATATGTGCAATAAAAGAAACATTAAACATTGCTGATGATATTGCTGACGTCTTCCAGAATAGTTGGTAATCTGAAATTCTACAGTTTGCAAAATACAATATTCAAGAACCAACACTGAATATGGTAGGATTCTCATTAAATCTACTCATTGTACTGTGGAATTTAGCAGTGCTTTATAAATAATAATAGTGTATGTTACATTCTTCTTCTTACTTTCTAAATAAATGAATAGCATTTATTTATTTTACTTTTGTTAGTCATCAGTTTAAGGCATGCTTTCATTTATATTTTCAAATTTAAAATCCTCAAAAATACCTTTGACTCTCTTTTTGAATCACAAGATTTACAATATATGTCCCCAAATTATCTATTAGTACAATATGTTTACATTACAACTCATACATTCCTCTGTAATACAGAGTGTTAAAGGGGTACTATACTATTAGGAATACAAATCTATATTCCTAACACTATAGTTCCTCTTCCTACCCCCTCCCTTGAACCCCTCTGCCCCTCCCCTGCCAATAAAGGGTTAAAACCCTTTTTTCCACTTCCCTGATTCCAGCAACAATCTCCCTCAGTGCTGGATTGGTGCTCCACCTACTCCGACGTCAGCCGACAGGGGGCTAACGCACATAAGGCCCTCCCCATAGGAAAGCATTGAGTCAATGCTTTCCTATGAGGTTTTCACTGACGCTGCATATCCTCAAGCAGGGCGTACCCATACCACTTCAATGACCTGAAGTGATCTAGATGCCTATAGTGTCCTATTAAGAATGATTTGTGATGGTTCATATGACAATCCAAAATGGATTTGCTCTTTAATTTACTTGGTTGTCCTGCATGGAATTATCTGTTACTGGGGTATAAAATGACACTTGGGTTTGCTCACCTAATTCTTCTTACTTTTTGTATTTCGGTTCTGGTTTCTGCTTACTCCCTTTGCTATTTCATTTGACCTGTATTTTTATCTTTATTTATCTCAGATATCTTTTCTTTTACTACTCCATCCTTCTTTCCCTCCTCCTTCTATTATGCTCCAGTACATATATCCGCCTCTGTAACATAAACAATCCATACTGACCTATACATTTGGCATTTGGATTATATTGCTCTGTGTATTGTTATTTAAGATATTCAGTATAATCCAGCCAAGACCTGACATTGTATTGAGACTTATTCTGTAACTTTAACACTTTATGATAAATACATATTGCATTTGAAAAGTCAGATGAATACATGCTGACACAAATTAAATTTCAGAAAAAGCAGGAAATGAGAACAGCAGGGACATTCTCATTAGCTGTTTGGTGCTTCCAGCGTTTAATATAATCATAATTTAAAACATAGTAATTGACCAGAACATACACAAAACAAATACAAATAATGCCAAACCAATAGCAGCGCCCTGTCCGCTAATAAAGGAAATCTGTTATGGAAAAAAACAACTTTAGCTATTTTAAAAGAGCTTGAAATTCCATCTATATATTGTGCTAGCAAATGTATAGATTTGGAAAAAAACATATTTAAAAATATTTTTTTCTCCCATCTGTCTCTCAGTTTCTTGGCAGACACTCAATGACAAGAAACTGAGAGACAGAGAGAAGAGACTCTGCTCACCACCTATAGCAACCACAATGCATGCACTATGGTAATTCCCCAGCCAGCGCTCCGATCGCTATCTAGGAAGTATAGGAACAGTGTGACATCACTCCGTTCAGATGCCGGCACTCTGCCAATAACGCCAGTGTATCAGCGTCATGTTTTTTTTTACAAACCTGAAGGTTGATTTAAACGTCTGTTCAGTTAGACTGCAATTCAATTTGGAAACCGAATCATGGCAACCAATTAAATATACACAAATATAATAATGTGCATTTATTTTGCAGTATACTGATAGGAGCATTTTCCCACCATTTGATTCACAGATCAAATGATAAAAAGTAACCAACAGAGGGAAAAAAAGAGTAAAAAAGAATCTATATTTATATATTATATATTTATTACATATACAATATTTACTCCTTCTATTGCTCACTTCTCATTTGATCTGTGAATACAATCAACATTTAGTGACTGTCCCCAAGCTATCAATCATCCTTTTTCCCTCATAAATCATCTTTCTTTTTTTGGCGCCACTGGTGGAAGTCAGATTATTGACCTCTCCCCTCCCCCCCAAAAATAACATTTTGGCATTTTCAGACATTAGGGTACATTAAATATTTTCAGAATTTGATTGTTCACCCAAACTGCAGATTGGTCCAAAATGAATCTCCTAGTGTTCCATAAAGGTCCTCTTAAATGGACACACCACACACCTAAAGCACTCCAGCTTGCTAAAGTTCTTTATGCGTGAACAGTGTTTCCCTTATTTGTTTTACAAAAAGTGCTGATTTCAACAGAAATTTGCACTTTTATAAAATAACTTTGTTACATCCCATGGCAGTCAGCCAACTGGTCCTGATACCTCTTAGTTGTTAAGCTCAGTGAAGCTAAACTCAAAAGGCAGGCAATTGCTCAAAGCACCTGCTTTGCAAAAACTTCTCATTGAGCTCTTTGGGAAGTCTGTGATTGGACAGCTACAGCAAGTCTGAATGAGTTTAGAAGGGGATAGCTTGCAAAGGCTGCAGAGAACTGCAGCTTTTTTTTTATTTATTTCTTTTTAGAAATGCCTGAAGTAAAAAAAATGCATTAAATTAAATTGGGGGCACATCTCCTAAATTGTTAAAAGAAAATAAAAAAATCTATTGGAGTGCTCCTTTAAGCAATACTGTAGCGTTATTGTCTCCTACAATATTTACTGTCTCAATACATATTTCTTTGTATTTTATTCCTTTGTAGAATATTCCTTCGCACTAATATATGCGAAGTTTTGCGCTATTTGAAAAGAAGGACATTAAGGAAAAAAGGTACAGGTCAATTTCGGCCTTAAATGAAGCCTCTCAGTACAAAGAAGGGACATGTGAGCTTTGTGATAATGAACTTATTCTACATATTCACAAAAGCAGTTTTAGAAATCAATGTTTCTAACTGGTAAAAAAGTTTAAACTTACCATACTTATTAAATTGTCATCCAGAGACAGCATCTGAAGATTCTTTAGCATACAGATTGCAGTGGGGAAATCTGTTAGCTTGTTTTGACTTAGATCTAGAATCTGGATAGATTTCATGTCACTAATAGCTGGTGGTAATGTCTTTAGGCATGAATTTTTAATGTATAGAACGCAGAGAGAATTCACTTGGCACAATGGCGATGGAAATATCTTAATTTCATTATGTGACAGAGACAACTCGTTCAGATCTTTCAGATCAGAGAAATTATGAGGAAGCTTTCTGAGGTTGTGGTTATTAGACAGGTCAATCACAGACAACCTTGTACAATGACAGAGGGACTTTGGTATGGACGAAATGTTATTAGAGCCTACAAAAAGTTTCTGAAGACTTGTTAAAGAACCAATTTGAACAGGTATTGACGTTAGTGAATTTCTTTCAAGGTCAACAACTTCTAGATTAGAAAGGGAGCAGATCGGTACCGGAAAATCCTCAAATGTATTGTTTTTCAAATAAATTTCTTTCAGATGTATAAGATTAGTGATTTCTGGTGGGAGGCACTTTAAATAGTTGCTAGACAGTCCAAGGAGTTGCAGGTGATGAAGTTTTTTGCATATCTCCAATGGAAACTCTTCCAGGTTTATATTGTAAAGTCTAAGTTCCCGGAGGTAATGTACTTTGCTAATGATGTTTAATGTCTTATAATAGAGGGGATTGCTGCTGAGATCCAGGCTGTAGAGATGCTGCAGTTCTCCTAGCTCGTCACATATATGCGTGATGTTATTATTATTCAGGTAGAGAACCTTAATATTTTGAAGATGGCTAATCTCTTTTGGGATGGATTCAATTTTGTTCTTCTCCAAGTGAAGCTCTTCAAGTTCTTCCAAAAGTAAAACAGAGGTAGGGATTTTGTTATGGTCTTTTTGTGCTGAATCCAGGAAGTGTACACGAAGTTGCAGCTGCCTTGGTAACTCATCCTTTGGCTCCGAATCTTGTTTGATTTGAATTGTCTCCAAAAACTGCTCATTAGTATCCACCAAAATCGATGTGACAGCATTTGAAAAGCGAACATTCAGCATCTTGTGAGAGGTGTTTTGACTAGACTGAGGCATTCTAGCAGATATATTTTAGAGGCAATCTTTAAATAAGAAAAATGACATATGTAATAAGCATGCATTGAATGGAGTGTATATATTATTTGGGAAATGGGGAGGGTCAGCATTTATTTAAAAGAAAATGCATTTTTAAGGTCACTTATAAAAAAATACATAAATGAATACTTTTAATACTACTAAACAAGTTTTAAAAATGCAATCTGCGTAAGAGGTGTTTGTTTTTATTCATTTTAAAAAAAATAATTCTTTTTATGTCCAAAACAAATAAAACAACTACCTCAGAATCCCAAATGTATTTTAGGTGTCACAGCAGTTACCCACAATGCACCAGCTTGTTGACCTGTGAAAAAGAAGGTCTGTCAGTAGGGTCCATTATAGGGCCCTGTCCTCTGTTGTTTCACAATGGTCCATGTAAGCCCTGTTGCTTGATTAGGCCCCTAAATGGAGTACTGGCTGATCGCAACCCTGTTTGGAAATAAAATTAGTCGCCCTATCACTTTATCACAAGAAGAGTTATTCACTAAAGCATGAATTATCAGGAAATATCCACCTAACCTCACATTTTATGCCAAAATAGCACAAATGGAAATATTATACAAGTCAGTTATGACTCCAGATTAGTTAAATTTAAAAAGAGAATTCCTGCAAATGTCTACCTACATGCCAGCATTACAGGTCTAAAAAAAATAAATTCCAAGCTTTTTTTTTTTTTGCATAGTTAGACATTCACATATCAACAAAGGCACATCTAATATTCAGCATTGCTCCAGATTAGAGTACTGGTAGAGGTAGGCCTATTCATATGTATTACCACTCCCAACAAATTTAAAAGTGAAACAGATTACTAATATTAACAATATGAGAATAACTAATATAGCAGTCTGACTCCCTGACAATAACTATCCTAGCCCTGAGTAGCATTAAATCTTAATACAGTATCACTGAGATCAACTCCTACCTAATACCCAAGTACCCCAGTAGGTTTTAGTAATTAAGGCAGGCATCTACATAGGTTAACAGGTGTAGTGTAACATGCATAGACCATGCGAACCCCCCTTCCCACAGGAACACTGTATGTGCTGCACTACTCACTGGATAATAATCTATTAATTTACCTGCAGGTGCCCAGATTTCAGTGTTAGAATAGTCAGTGAGAGGAGAAGTTGATACAAAAGTATCAGCTGAGTCCTGGATAGGGAGACTCCATTGCACAGGGGCTGGTGCTGTGCTGTGTCCATGGTAACAGAGAGTCAGCAACATACAAAACCAGAGACAGCTACAGGCTTGTGTTTACAGCAACTAGCAGGCTCTGCTACATAGGTAATAAAATATAATGTGATAAAGAACGAGTGAGTGACAATACTACGTTAATTAATAATTACATGTATTTTTTGTATGTCTGTATTTTCTACATTGGTACATGTGGTGTAACATTTTCTGATTTATCTATTACTGATGTGTTGGGCTTTTCTGTAAACTTTGTACCATGTAAGATATTTCTTAGTCCTTCTTATATAACTATGTGCGAATGACAGGTATATACTACATTAATACTATGTAACTCTAGGTGTATGTATGGATAAACAGTGGCAAATACTTATAATGTAAATGTAAGGGTGATTCAAAATGTGTGTGTGATTGTTTTTATTTTTTTTTATTTTACTTATTTATTTTTGTAATTGGTTAATTGCACACCTTGCAGTGAGAGACATATTGCAAAGTCTCACTGATACTGATAGCAGGAGAGGTATCAGTCTTAGCAAAGCACTAAAACATATGTGCTGTCTCAACTGCCCCTCTCCCAACATTTCAAATGGACAAAGAGGGACACGTTAATTGTAGGGTGTGATTGTGCGTGTGACAAGTGGCGGGATTGTTCTGAGAAATTTTAAGTGACTTAATAACAATTTATGAAACTAAAAAGCAATTTAGAAGAAGAACAATGTGTCTTATTTACACAGACTGATTTCTAAACACATTGTAGTTTAAAGACCCAATACTGCGGAGCTCTGTTATACACTCAGATACAATAATATGGAGCTGTTAGAAAAGAGGGACATCATGATAGAATAGAGCAGGGGTCCTCAAACTCCGGGCCCCCCAGATGTTGCTGAACTACAACTCCCATGATTCTTTGAATTACATAGATAGCCAGAGAATCATGGGAGTTGTAGTTCAGCAACATCTGGGAGGAGTTTGAGGACCCCTGGAATAGAGGGAAAGAGGGATTTAGGGACTGTCCTTCCTAAGTAGGGACAATTGGAAGCTATGCCCTGTCCTGACATATCAGTAACAGAGAGGCAGAGAGTTGCTCTAATTACTTAAGCAACTTTAACACATTGAAATATTAGTGGTGGGGAAAGTACCCTTCATCTCTGCATTCAGAAAATGGCTTATGTTATAACTGTGCTGTCTCCCATAATGCCTGTATCAATTATGAACTAGATGTTTGTGCTACAGACAACCAGAATGAAAAGGTTTGGCAAATCTTTTTTCCCATGCAGGGAAGAGAGAGAGAGAGAGATCTGGGGGCATTTTAGGGTCTCATCCTGTCAAATCCACCCCAATGAAAGCAACATTTTTTAAATATAGAGAATTCACATTTTTAAATTAGGAACCAATATTACCAATTTCTGCTAAAATGAATTGTAGGATATTGTTTTTCAGCTACAAACCTACCTGTGAATTACATAAGGCAGATATGCGATTCTGCTATGAAAATAAAAAAACATTTATGTTTAGCTTAATCCTTCATATTTACATTTTATACTTATGTTTATCCTTGTGTTTATGTTTTTCTCAGATACAAGATCAAAATAGATATGAGACTATTTCCACTTTAATTCTTGCAAAAATTGAAATATTGACTTGCCAGCACTGTGTCTTGTATTAGGGTATTTTAGCAAGCCAAAAAAGTTACTCCCTATAATTGGCAGTGGGTGACTCATTCACTTTGCATGTGCCATATTACTATACATTTATTGTGTCAGTTTTATGTCAGGTAAATATGGAACCAACTTTACTGTGCTCGTGTCTCTTTTAGGGTTGCTTAACACCACCAACACCACCATTTTATAGGATGACCTTCTACCTGCCCATCCCTCCCCCCAAAAAAGAGAAATCTATTTTTAAAGTATATGACATGGAGTATTTCAATATCTTTCATACATTCATTTTACCACCAAAATGTCTTTATTTAAAAAAAGTAAAAATAAAATTATTTAATATTTTTTACATTTTTGCCGATGTTTTTTTTTTGTTGAGATATGTTCCCTGTGTACAGAAATACCCATGCACAAGAGTTTCTTATTTCTCTTGCTACTGGACTAAATGTCAGACAAACCTGTTTTCAAACTGGAAAGGCTAATAAAACCCACCTTTTAAAATTTCCTTATGTTATTTATTTAAAAAAATACCTTAAGGTACTTCACAGGGATATGTTGACACTTTTCAAGTAGTTATATTAATAAACAACATAAAGTGTGTAATTCGGGGGTGCACAAAAAGTAGATCCCCCGATGTTTTAAAACTACAGCTTCCATGATGCTTTGTCATTCAAAAAGCATTCTAAAGGCATGCAAAGCATCATGGGAGTTGTAGCTCTACAACATCTGGGAATCTACCTTTTGGGTACCTCTGGTGAAATGCATTAACTGCTAATCAATGTTTAAAATTACCTTATGCATAGCAACATTGTTTTAAAATTAAAAATTGAAGCATATTGGTAGAACAATATAATGCTGTATTTACTCATCTTGTCTTTTTTAGACACACAAGTACTCCAAACATAGCTCAACTACAATTTTGCCCATCACAAGTTTTTCATTTTAGGTACAAACAGCAAGTCTGACCTGGCCTTCTTTTATTTCATATTAACCCCTTAAGGACACATGACATGTGTGACATGTCATGATTCCCTTTTATTACAGATGTTTGGTCCTTAAGGGATTAAAGGGACACTATAGTCACCAAAACAACTTGAGACTGCAGGGACGATCTTTACACCAAAACTGCTTCATTAAGCTAAAGTTGTTTAGGTGACTATAGTGTTCCTTTAATTATTTATGCAAACTATAAAAGGCTAGTAAATCTATTCAAGCACCTCAAACTAATATCCCAGTTTGTTTATGCAATGAATACAAATAAATTCTCAATTCATAGTGATACCAAGCAATTTGGGTTCCAGGTTAAAAGGACACAGAGTTGTAATCAAAATTATTCAACCCTTATTGAAAATTAGGTTTATTGTCAAAATTTACAGACTTGCAGCTGTTTCAGCTTTTTTGCAATGAACAAGTCTAACAAAAGCAATTGAAATCAGGGACGTATTAGCCGCGAGGCACACAAGGCATTTGCCTTGGGCGGCATTTTCCAGGGGGCGTCAAAAACGCCGCCCCCAAATGCCCAGAGCAAATGCCTTGTTAGCCTGGCGGCTAACAGTCCAGGCAGGCGGTTGTCTGGCAAAAAATCCGGGCAGACGGCGCCATATTCCGGCTCCCGGCATCACTCTGCGGCGCGCGATGGAGCTAAGTAGAGAGCTCACTAATCAGTGCTCCCTTACCAGCGCCGCCCACCCAGCAGCCCCATTAGACCCCAGGGAAAGGGAGAGCCCCCCAGCATTCCCAAAGGTAAGGAGGCTGGGGGGGTTGAATTTAAAAAAAAAAGTGAGTGTGTTAATGTGAGTGTGTGAGTGTGCGGGGCGGGGAGGAGGGTGGGGTGGCGCAGGTGGGGGGGAGGGGGTGCCTGAGTTTTGTCATGCCTAGGGCAGCACAAAACCAGGATACACCACTGATTGAAATAGCTCAACACAGTGAATGCTTCAAGTAATTTCCACAAATTGTACTGAAAATGCAACTTATAATGACTTCTCCAGTCTCAAAACAACTCCTTCATGACAAGCATCTTGTATATAGTATACAGTACTAACCAAGAGTTTGCAGAGATCACTAGTATTCTGTGCTATGATTTGTGTACAGTGCGCCCAGCTTAGAAGTGGTATTGTCCAGCTTACTGACAAACGCAATTTATTTATTAATTTATTTTTCATATTAGAAAACATTGAGGCAAATGTAAATATAGGAACAACACAGCTTCTCACTTTGAATATACAGGTACCTTGGATCACTTAGCTAGCAAATGCATTAAATTATTTATGTAAAATAAAATATAAATGATATGTAAAAATAATTATAATATTAATACTCTAGTTTTTAGCCATGTCCAGAAATCTAAAGCAGCAATATATAGACGCGTGCGCTGAACTGGATCACCCGGTGAACTCATTCATTGCAGAAATGCTTATGCAAGCAGAAGTTTCTGAGTAAGTATATGTCGTCATGGCTGATTAACTGTCCTTGGAGCCAAATGGCCTGTTTACTCAGTGCACCCCTCCATATGTGTGTATGTGTATATATATTTGTCTCTAAGTGTGTGTAGTCTGCTTGTGGTATTGCATGTGGGGGTGGGTTGCTGCTTGTGGTGTTACATGTTTGATGGTAGGCTGCTTGTGTTGTGGTTTTGCTTATTTTGGGGGATGCTGCTTGTGGTGTTGTGTGTGTGGGGGGGGGGATGCTGCTTTTAGGGCTGTATATGGTTCTGTTTGCTGTGTGGCATGTATGTGTTTTATGGGAATGGGGTTGTAGTGAGTAAGTAGTAAATCGTGAGTGTTTGTGGAGTGCTTTAGTGTGTGCTTGGAAGAAGGGGGCTGTAGTGTGTGGGGTAATTGGGGCCGTAGTGTGCCCGTGGGGTTATTGGACCTGCAGTCTATGTATGTGGAGGACTTTTGGTCTGTAGTGTATGTATGCAGGGTTTAGTGTGTGTTTGGGGAGACAGGGGCTGTTGTGTGTGTTTGGTCAAAACGTGGCAGTACTGTGTGTTAAGGGAGTGATAGGGCTGTTGTTTGTGGGGAGATACGTTCTGTACATTGGGTGAGTTAGGAACTGCTTTGCGGACGTGAGGAATAGACCCCCCCACTTCAAAAACACCCTTAAAATAAAAAGTGAAGTTTATACTCCCCTCTCTTTTGCTTATCACAGGCTAGGAAGGGGGGGGGGAATATTAATCCCTGGTGGTCTAGTGGGTGCATGATATGGTCTGCACCATCAGTGTTTGCATACTATTTAAATGACTCCTTCCTGCTGGTGTTACCACAATGCACCACCATTATAGATATAATGGAAATGTGTTTTTTTTATTATTTGTTTGACGGCAGAAGAGAGCCCTAATTTATTGATTGATTACCTCCCCCCAAAGTAGTCATGTATCCAACTATGTTTTTTTTTAATAATAAAGTTACTTTATTTTGGTAGTTTCATATGTGTGACGGTATGAAATTAAGGAAATTCTAAGAACTGTTGATATGCCTCTATCGTTTTATACCTATAGTGTGAGTTCAGGTACTATGTATTCGGATATAGTGTGCTTTGATCGTTTTAAAATTGAAGAAAGGTTGTCACACTAATGCCACCGTCTGAAATGTAACTATTTCTTCTCTGCAGACAGCATATTTCAACCTTGAAGATCTGCGGAAATAATCGCCTAGTGAAAGCTGAAAGAGTTACAGATGAAGATTTCCTTTCTCTTTCTCGTGTTTTAGGTCAAAACACTTTTGTAACAAGTAGGTGTTAGTCCTAACATCTGTTATTGCCAATCTTGGTTTACATTAGAAATCCTGTGTATAGATGTGTAGCATTTAAATAAAATACAGTGTCAGGGTAACATAGAACAGACTTTTTATATTGTGCTTATGTGACAACTCAAATGTTTAGGATTTCTTTAATTAAAGAGACACTAAAGTCACCAAAACAACTTTAGCTTAATGAAGCAGTTTTTGTGTATACATCATGCCCCTACAGTCTCATAGCTCAGTTCTCTGCCATTTAGAAGTTAAATCACTTTGTTTATACAGTCCTAGACACACCTCCCTGCATGTGACTTGCACAGCCTTCCTAAACACTTCCTGTAAAGAGTCATCTAATTTTTACACTTTCTTTATTGCAAATTCTGTTCAGTTTTGATTTTTTTAGCTACTGTCATATTAATACTTTGCTAGACCGTGCAGGAGTGTTTTGTTTGTAATTAAAGTTTAATTTACAGAGCAGAAGATAAAAACTTTTAAAGTAAGTTACATCTCATTGAAAATGAAACCATTATTTTTTGTGCCGGCTGTCTCGGTCACAGCCATGGGAGGTGTGGCTAGGGCTGCATAAAAAGAAACAAAGTAATTTAACTCCTAAATAGCAGAGAATAAACAGTAACACTTCAGATGCATAATCTATACACAAAACCTGCTTCATTAAGCTAATGTTGTTTTTGTGACTATAGTGTCCCTTAAACAAATAATCAAAGGATTGGCATTTAACAACTGAAAAAAGTTTCTAAGTACTAAAATGAGAGAAATGATAGTATCCCAATAGGGAAACTATAGTATTAATGTGTCAGGGACAACCTCATAGGGGATAACCCTTACTTAAATAGAGAATAAAGAAAATTCCAGTGAAAAAAGCTTCTCTCTGGAATAATGGGTAGGAGGTCCCTTTAACCATCAGATGGATAATATAAAATAAAATATACCTTTTATTAGTTAATTTAAAATATATATGTAGAAATGAATAAATGAAAAATAAAACATGTAGACAGGCAGATTTATGAGTATGTTCACTGGTGTGAAAAGATAAGATAACTCAGTCTATTAATATAGAGCAAAGTAATATCAACCAATGAAACATAGAGTCCCCACTCTGGGAGAATGAGAGATGTTAATGAAGTGAGCGAACTAGCAATATTGTGAGTCGCTCACACTGAGTGATTTATACTTGGTTGTAAATCAATACAAAATGTGCTTGAATGATAAACATGGGCCGATTGTGTCAGAGAAAAGGACCATGGTAATCAAGCAAAAAATTAAAGGGTAACAATCAAGGAAGAGAGAGAGATCTCCTGTAATAATAGAGTAAAAAGGACAAATATATAACAGGTGCCTAGGCAATCTGACGTCCTAATTCTAAGGTGTTACAAAAGATCATTAGTTACTTGCTGGATATAAATGGTTTATCTAGAGATGCCTGGAACTACCTAAGGTAGTTCCAGGCATCTCTAGACAGGCAGTTAGAGTTAGAGTCTCCAGATCGCTCTCTCCAAATGTTGGATCGGACTAGTTCTTTACAAGTGCTAGAGCTGTCTCCAGTGGGGGGAACTATCAGGAGTTTTGAGCTGTTTTCAAGTGGGAATTGAAGGGGATCTGTTTCTGCTGTTATTACACCTCCATTTTTGCTCCACGATTTTGGGCTCATATTGATTTAGACAAACCATTTATATCCAGCAAGTAACTAATGATCTTTTGTAACACCTTAGAATTAGGATGTCAGATTGCCTAGGCACCTGTTATATATTTGTCCTTTTTACTCTATTATTACAGGAGATCTCTCTCTCTTCCTTGATTGTTACCCTTTAATTTTTTGCTTGATTACCATGGTCCTTTTCTCTGACACAATCGGCCCATGTTTATCATTCAAGCACATTTTGTATTGATTTACAACCAAGTATAAATCACTCAGTGTGAGCGACTCACAATATTGCTAGTTCGCTCACTTCATTAACATCTCTCATTCTCCCAGAGTGGGGACTCTATGTTTCATTGGTTGATATTACTTTGCTCTATATTAATAGACTGAGTTATCTTATCTTTTCACACCAGTGAACATACTCATAAATCTGCCTGTCTACATGTTTTATTTTTCATTTATTCATTTCTACATATATATTTTAAATTAACTAATAAAAGGTATATTTTATTTTATATTATCCATCTGATGGTTAAAGGGACCTCCTACCCATTATTCCAGAGAGAAGCTTTTTTCACTGGAATTTTCTTTATTAAGTACTAAAATGGAAACCAATTAATAAGGTCTGCTCCCCAGGTCTCTGGTTCAATAGCTGACTCATAGAATGTGAGAGCATCATGCCAGTAACTACGTAGCACTGTATATAAGGAACTATCCAGTTTATTTTTCTAATCCTCCTCTTTAAGGACAGTTACAGCTAATAATGTCATAAATATATTTGTGCAGGTTGTTCCTTAAAATGGAATGAAGATATTCTTTCTAAAATATGCTGCAATCCATTTTTCAGAGGTTTTGTGTGTTGCAAATTAATTTTCTTTTTTACTCTGTGTTTGTGCAATTACTATTAACCATAGGTTAGGGCAGAAGGGCTAAAATAAAAACATATTAAAAATAGAAAAATCTGGATATTAAATTTCATTATAGGAAAGTAATTAAGGGAACACTAAAACCAAATTTTTCAAACCATAGTGTCCCTCTGCCTCCTCCTGGTTAGTAAACAGAAAAACACTTTCTTTCACTTACGTATTTCCAGCGCAAAGGATCGGATTTCTCTTCCTGCCTGCAGGCATTAGTCCTTCCCCATAGGAGAGCACCGAATCAATTATTTCCTATGGGTATTTTCAAGATGCTGATTGTCCTCATTCAAATCCTGAGAAAGCCCAGAATTCTTTCACAGAGTTAAACTCCATGAAAATCCAATGAGAACCTCTATGGTCACCTGGAAGACAGCAGATGGTCTTAATCCAGCAAAATGAACATGAAGGAAATAATGAAAATATGTTTCTCTTTCTTCTCTTCCAAAGCAATGTGTGCCCTGGTTGAGTAAGGACTGAACTGGGTTGTAATGTGAATGGCTAGTATATTTAATAAACCGATCATCATATATATCAAAAAGTACCACAAGTAATAGGTGTTTTCCAATGTTTGTTTAATTAATTAATTTCCAGAGTAGGGATGGATTCTTAAAAAAAGAAATAAAGTGCTAATTGTTGTTTTTTTTTTATTAACCATGAGAATTTTAAAGTAGTAAGTTTATGATCATAAAAAACTAAAGTCTTCCTCTTACAGATCTTGACCTGAGGTATAACAATTTAAGTGATAATGGTGCCATCCACATTGGAAACTTCCTTAAGGTACGTACTTTGTTGTACTTGTATTAACATGGCAATTTCCATGTATGTAAGCTGAAATATGGAAAATAATTCAAGTTAAAAGTGATGTTTTATTTCACTGAAAATTTAGTGGAAAAAACACACATCATTGGTCACAGAGACTGAATGTAAATATTTATGGAGTAGGCACAAGACTGTCCTATATGTAACACAAGGTAATTAACCACGCTGTATATACAGGTAGTACACTAAGCAGACTGGATGGACAAGTGTTTTTTTATTTGCCTATAGAACTAGTTTTTTATTTGCTTCTTCAGCTTTTTGTATGCCACGGTGCTAGCAAAAGAATATTTTAATTTATGTTCTGTTTTCCAGGGTAACACATCTTTACTTAGTTTAAATTTGATGGGAAATGATATTGGCACCGATGGAGCAGCAGAGATTGCTAAAGCCTTATATGTAAGTACAGTGCCATATTAACAGCATCATGGGCCCCCTGGCAAAGCGGTGCTCTGGGACCCTGCTTACACTTTTGTAACAAGTAGGTGTTAGTCCTAACATCTGTTATTGCCAATCTTGGTTTACATTAGAAATCCTGTGTATAGATGTGTAGCTTTTAAATAAAATACAGTGTCAGGGTAACATAGAACAGACTTTTTATATTGTGCTTATGTGACAACTCAAATGTTTAGGATTTCTTTAATTAAAGAGACACTAAAGTCACCAAAACAACTTTAGCTTAATGAAGCAGTTTTTGTGTATACATCATGCCCCTACAGTCTCATAGCTCAGTTCTCTGCCATTTAGAAGTTAAATCACTTTGTTTATACAGTCCTAGACACACCTCCCTGCATGTGACTTGCACAGCCTTCCTAAACACTTCCTGTAAAGAGTCATCTAATTTTTACAAGGAATAAAAATTAAAGTTATCGATAAAATTAAGCTTATATTTATTGGTACCTTCGACATGCAATACATACATACACACCGACTGCCGAATACACGGGCACACTGACTGCCGAATACACGCGCACACCGACTGCCGAATAAACGCGCACACCTACTGCCAAATATACGCACACACCGACTGCCAAATACAAGCACACAGACTGCTGGATACACACAAACAGACTGCTGGATACATACACACAATCCACTGAATACACAAGCACACACACACAGACTGCTGAATACACACAGGCTGCTAAATACACACACACAGACTGCTGCATACACACACACACACTGGTGAATACACAGACCGAGGCTGCCAAATACACCCAGACTGCTGAATACAAACACACACACACACACACACACACACTGCTGTATACACACACACACTGCCGAATACACCCAGACTGCTGAATACACCCAGACTGCAGTAAGGGGTGCGGTGTATGTGTTTGTGTGTGAGGGGTAAAGTGTGAAGGGTACAGTGTGTTTGTGGAGGGTGCTATGTGTGTGTGTGCATGGCCGTCTTTAACGTGGGGCAAACGGAGCAGCTGCCCTGGGCCAAGTAACTCCTGGGGGACCCCAGAGCAGCCTCCCCATTGGCCCCCGCTGCCCAGAATGTATTTGAGCCCCATGAACTTGGTGGTGCAGCTGCACACAAAGGAAGGAGGCCCACCGGGTGGCTCCAAGCCTCCAAGGTGGGACCAATTCTTATTGGGTGCTATGAAGTAGGTCCCCTCCCCTTTCCATTTGCAATAAATTCTGCAAAGGTATAGGTTTTACTTACCTGGAATCCAGGGCCAGGCAAAGCTCCAGGCACTGACTTCCACACCTCCATCTGACACCATATGGGCCTTGCGCAATCCAATCACAGACTGTCACGGTAGTATACCCCAACACGCAAGAATAGTCCAATTAGAGACAAGAAAACAATATACGTCTTACCGGACCTTAGAATGGCGGACTTTGACGTTGACAGGAAAAGACAGAGTCAAGAACAAGCCGAGGTCAAGGGAACAGAGAGACAGCGTAAACAAAAGGACTGGTACACAGGAGTCAGGAAACCGGCGAACAAGACAAAGCAGGGATAAAGAGAAAAACTGAGTCAGGTACAAAGCCAAGGTCAAGCACGAAAAAAACCACTACTACACGAAACAAGCACTAAAGGGAACTGAATCAGAAACCACGATAGGGCAGGTTTAAATACCTGCCCTGAGTATAAATACCTATTAGTTTAATTTGATTGGCCCTTGTCATATCCACGCCCCCAAAACGTGAGTGTATGGGGAATGTGGAATGACATGGGCCAATGGGAGACCTTTTTTATTTTTTGCTGCCACTGTCCCTTTAAAAGCGTCACGTGGCCGCTTCTCGCAGCTCGTCCAGTTGCAGGACCATGTGCGGCGGGGAAGAAGGACCTCGCCCGGCGCCTGGAGAGGATAAGTACCGCTACACAGACTTCTTTATGAGACTCAGAGCACATGTGCACAATCTGAGCCAACATGGGGAGGGGAAAGGAAGGAGTGGAGGGAGAGTGGGAGGGTAGTTTAAAAACAATACAAGAAGCAGAGAAAGGCAGGAGGGAGCAGCCACAGGGAGGGAGGGGAAAACTATCTTCAGGCTTTCTTTCATTCTGTCGTCCTGTCAAAACATGCACGGAATTGACATTGCTAGTCCTAAACAGAGTTATGGGCTGCCAATGTCACATGTGTTGGTGGTGCAACTAGCACACAATTAGCAATAACTCTGTATGTGCAGTGTTTCAAGCAGAAACACTGCACATACATTCTCTTAACACCATAACCACTTCAAATCACTGAAGTGGTCATGGTGGTTAGACTAACCCTTTAAAGATCCAAGCTTTCTAATGCTGGCATGCAGATATACATTTCAGCATTCTTTGCTGTTTGATGATCGTTTCTCTGGAAAGCTTCTATAAATTTTGAAAAGTAAATCTAAAAATATTAAATAATTTGAAATGCTTATCCAACAATATTCAATCGAGGCCTAAATCAGTAATTGTAGATAAATACTCAAATTACTAAACAGATATTTTAATTGTTAATTTGTTTGAAAATTTCCTTCAACTCTTTTGCAGGATAATGAAACTCTTAAGAGCTTGAGGATGACAGGAAATAAAATTGGAAACAAAGGAGGGATGTTCTTTGCCTCCATGTTGCAAATTAATTTAACACTTGAAGAGTTAGACCTCGGGGACTGTGATTTGGTAAGTGTACACTCCTATATAGTGTAAGATTTTTTTTAGGTAGTATTGTATGTTTTTATGTACTGTTTCCATTTGAAAGCAATGGTTTACTTGTGTGTAGTGTTTGCCTTTGAATATAGCCGTGTGTCTGCATGTAACTCGTGTTTTAGTGTTGACAATTGAATGCAGGTGTGTATTTGTGTGTAGTGTTGGCATTTAAAGTCGTATTTACTAAAGTGATAATTCAAAGTGAATTTCAAATTTAAGGCCAGAGTCTTCAGCTATTTTGACCTTAAACTGGAAATTCACTTTGAATTCACCTTGAATTCTCACCATCACAGTTTAGAGGATGGAGAAGTCATTATAAGTTGCATTTTAGTTAAATTTAGGGAAACCACCTAAAGCATTTGTTGTGTTAAGCTATTTCAATTGCTCTTGTTTGATTTGTTCATTGCAAACAGCTGAAACTGTAAATTTTAACAAAAATTTTCAATGGGGGTTGAATATTTTTTATTACAACTGTATATCTTTAAATTCACAGCAAAGATAAGTACGTGTAACATTTTTTTTTCCATCACTTTTTTTTTTTTTTTAAATACAGGGTATTCAAAGTCTTATTGCATTTTCTACTGTACTCAGGCAAAACAGATCCATAAAGTCTATAAATCTGAATCGGCCTTTGTTTTATGCATTACAGGTATGCATCGCAAATCACCACGTTATTTTATTTTGTTGTAATATATTTAAAATGCTGTTGTAAACATTTGTTGCTTCTCATTTTCTTAAATTATATATCATCATAGCCAAATGCAATTTGTAAATACAAACAGAAAATTTATGTTGCCTAAATTATGCCAGACAAATTTATGGCAAATGATTTAGTAAATTTAACCAGGTAACAAAAATATAACCCTCTGTTCTTAAAGGAAGACACTACAATTCACATTTCCATGATGTTAAAAGTAAACGACACTCTTCAGGAACTGCACCTATCTAAACACGAGATGACAGACTTTGGTTTGGAACGTCTTTGTGAAGCATTGCATGAAAATGTCACTCTGAAGTATCTTGATCTCAGCTGGTAACAACCCTTTCAATCTCTTTGAGATGGAATAAATGTAATAAGTATATAGGTTATTAATATTTTATGATAAACTACTCTCTGTAATATTTTATGGTAAACATCTCTCTGTCTACTACAAAGGTATCAAACTTCAAAAGTCAGACATTTCAAATGCGTATAAGAAAAAGAGAATAGAAAGATAATTTAATGGAAATCTATTATATTTTTATGTCCTTTAAGGAACATTCAAACATTAAAAACCACTGTTAGGGGGGGCGGGGCCTGACCGCCAAGCCGAGCGGACGCAACTCACATCGGCTCCTGACCAAGACTCACATTAACGCCCAATTTCACGACTTTATAGCCCCTCCAGGCGCACAACCAACATCCAGAGACTCCTGGGCATCTCTACAAGTAATCAGCAGACCGAGATCTAGCTTTGGCCTGCGATCCTCTGGATCGGACCGGGCATACCGAGGGTGCTACCAGAGCCCTGTACCCCCCCCCGTAGTCCGGTGGGGGTTATCCCGGACCCCACCAAGATAGTGCTCACCCTCGAAACTCACCCAGGCGAACCACGCACAAACAGCTCCGACGCCGTTTGCACAAAATGGCCGACGACATTGCTGCTCCGTCGTATGATGCGACAGAAGCAACCCTAATGAAACTGGACTTACTCTTTGAAGCCTTTTGGCAAAAGATTAGGGAGAGGCAATGCAGCACAGCCTTGAAGCTACACCCACCTCCTGCAGCCCAACGGTCAAAGACCCTTCCGAAGTGGAACGGTGCCACAAACGGGCGCCAGATGAGACCCAGGCAGACCGACACAGGTGCAAAGCAACACTCTGCAAAACTAGCACATCTCTGGCACCACCGGGCCACACGCGGCCCACGCCATCATGTAAAAAGGGAGCCCCAGAAACCACAGAGAAATCACCTTTGTGCAGCGGAGAGGCAGGCGGCAGCGGGACATGGAACCCATAGAGACCCTGACTCTCCTGCCGACCCCGGGCGGGAAATACTAGCTCAAGCCAACGTAAGGAGCCAGAGAGACAAGCTTGAAGATTCATGCCCCCCTATGGTGCGATCTGGACCTGGCCTGACTGCCACGGGCATAGGCTGAGACATCTATATGTGAGAGGACACTGGGTCTGTTAATGGCCTTGTAATACTGCTCTCCAATTGCCATTCTTAACACGTACACTCTCACCACAATATGCACAGCCCTGCTTTACCTGGTTTGTCCACTGCCCTCCAATTTACCTAATCTGTCTCATGTAAAACCATACTCACAAATGTGTCTCCTAATATCTCGTACTTGGTGGTAACATCATTAACAGAACTGTCAGTCAACACAGCATGGCAAATTTCCTGTCTCCCCTTAACTCAATACTGACGTGTTCTTATATATCTATTACTCATGTTATAATCTACTATTATGGCTAACAATAGGTCAGTTACCTAGCTTGTTTCCATTAACACTTATACCAACATACCTACTGACACATTATGTAACACAAAGATTTATTGTATCAAAACTGTAGAAGCGCATATGTAAACTTGCTTAAATATTTAAAAAATGTGCAGTTACTTCCATGCCATGTATGTTCAAAACCTGTTTCTATTTTCATGTTGGACTACGCTGTTGTGGCATTATCAAATGATTGTTAAAAAAAACCAAAAAAAAAACCCCACTGTTAAACTCACTGATATTCCAGCGTCGGACATTCTCACAACCTAATCTAAATACCTTTTCTCTTTTATTTTTTCGTTATTGTGCTAGAATTTTTTCTTTTCTATTAATTTTAATTAAAAGTGACTTCTTATTACTGGTAATTATTGAAGGGAAGCATACACTTGTCTTTATCTGTATTTATAATCTAAACATGTGCTTACACTTTATATTTGTAGCAATAAAATAACTCGAGATGGCATCAAGCATTTGGCAGAAGTATTAAAAACCAACACAGCACTGGAAATTTTAGATCTTGCATCAAACAGAATGGAAGATGATGGAGCAATTTATCTTGCTGAATCCATTGATTTGTATAACCGGAGTCTTAAAGCGTTAGTATCTGTATCAACATACACTTTTTTTCTCATTGAAGCACAGAAACAATATTTGTTCTATTTTTTTTTTTTTTTGGTAAAAGTATACCTACCATTGCTTACTTTCTTATTTATGGAGTTATAGTTTTCAATGTAAATAAACAGATACAATTTGTATCTTGTAATCCTTTTTTTTTTAAATTGGATTAACATAATTTTTTAATGACAAGCTTTCGGGAGAACCTCCCTTTCTGAAGTCTGAAGCATTTCTGAGCAAGACAACACATAGAATTCAAAGTTGAGTTGTGATACAGGGGTTAAAGCGACATGAGTGCAGATAAGACACAGGTTTGATAGAAAATAGACAACATTCTTGCAGAGGGTCGTAAATATCTTTCTGAAAATCAGAGTGAACACTTATACATAGATACAAATACATATACATACATGCACATGAACTCATGTACACAAATATAAATGCACAGTCACATATATAACCATATATGCATAAGAGTATGGGAAAGCATAGGTCTATACATACAGTCAGGTCCATAAATATTGGGACATCAATACAATTCTAATCTAATAAACCCTCAAATTAAAGCGGAAAGTCTGCAGTTACAGCACATCTTGTTTCTTTCATTTCAAGCCCATTGTGTTGGTGTATAGAGCCAAAAAGATTAGAATTGTGTAGATGTCCCAATATTTATGGACCTGACTGTAGTACTTGGTATATTGATAGAATAAGTAAGATAATGCTGGGGGAGTGTTGGTAGTGGGGCAGGAAACCCAAATCAATATTTAGTCCTCTATTCTTGCTTTCTTGGGTATTTTTAAAGCCCCCTTTCGGTACTTTGATTTTATGTCCTTCATTGAGTGGCCAGGCCGGGTAAAGTGGAGTCCCACAGGAGTGCAGTATGATCCTTCTTTGTGGTGTTTAATGGAGTGTCTGTGCATATTCATTCTGCCATTTAATTGCTGGGTGGTTTCCCCAATGTAGCATCCTAGGTGGTATTTGGTGCATTTTTCTTTTTCCCATTTCAGACAATACCAGCCAAAATATTTTTCAGATACATAATTGTTTAAGGCTTTGGTAGAGAGTCATCATCAGTAGTGTATTCCCTCCTCCTGCCTGACTCCACACTGAACTCCACAGGTAACTGTGTGATAGTCAGTGTGAGTGTGACTGTCTGCCTGTGTGTGTGACTGTCTGCCTGTGTGTGACTGTGTGTGTGTCTGTGTCTGTGTATGAATGTCTGCCTGTGTGTGTGTCTGTGTCTGTGTGTGTGTCTGTGTCTGTGTGTGTGTATGTATGTGTGTGACTGTATGCCTGTGTGTATGACTGTCTGTGTGTGTGTCTGTGTGTGTTTGTGTCTGTGTGTATGACTGTCTGCCTGTGTGTTTGTGTGTGTGTGTGACAGTCTGCCTGTGTGTATGTGACTGTGTGTGTGTGCATAACTGTCTGCCTGTGTGTGTGAGTGACTGTCTGCCTGTGTGTGTTTGTGTGCCTGTCTGCCTGTGGGTGACTGCCTTCCTCTGTGTATGTCTTCCTGTGTGTCTGTGTGTGGCTGTCTGCCTCTGTGTGTGTGTGGCTGTCTGCCTGTGTATATGTGTGTGGCTGTCTGCGTGTGTGTGGCTTTGTGTGTGTGTGTGTGGTTGTCTACCTGTGTGGCTGTCTGCGTGTGTGTGGCTGCGTGTTTGTGACTGCCTTCCTCTGTGTATGTCTTCCTGTATGTCTGTGTGTGGCTGTCTGCCTCTGTGTGTGTGTGGCTGTCTGCCTGTGTGTATGTGTGTGGCTGTCTGCGTGTGTGTGGCTTTCTGTGTGTGTGTGTGGTTGTCTGCCTGTGTGGCTGTCTGCGTGTGTGTGTGGCTGTCTGCATGTAAGTATGTGTGTGTAAGACTGTATGTGTGACTGTGTGTGTGTAAAACTGTATGTGTGGCTGTCTGTCTGTAATTGTGAGTGAGTGTGTTCATCTACCTGTAACTGTATGTTTCTGCCTGATCCTGTGTATGTGACTATCTGCCTGCGACTATGTGCATGTGGTGGTTTTGACAGTGTATAGGTATAACTGTGTGCATCTGACTGTGGTACTGTGTGCACATAACTTTGCAAAAATATACACCTGCATTAACACACAGGCCTAAATGCATGTTTTTTTTATCTGAATTAAATAACCATCACACACAGCCAATAAACCCAGCACAAATATCACATTCAACCAATACACGCATATCACACACTGTTAATACAAATATCACACACAGCCAACACATAGCACACACCGTCATCACACCTATCACATACACAGACAACACAAACATTACATCATACATGGATGACAGGGGGGGCACTGTGAAGATTTTTCGCACAGGGTGCCTAAATGCCTAAGGCCGTCCCTGATATTGGTTGTAGGTCTTTGATGATTTTCCGTATTTCCTCAAGAGTGATACTCGTGTAGATATTTTTTTCTCTCTGTATTGTAATAGGCGCGTGCATGGAGTTTTTACAGCAGAGTTGATTTGTTTGGTAATAGTCTTTGGTTCTTCCTACCCTCCTCACTATGATCTTCAGAAAGATATTTACGACGGTGTCTATTTTCTAACAAACCTGTGTCTTATCCGCACTCATGTCACTTTAACCCCTGTATCACAACTCAACTTTGAATTATGTGTCCTCTTGCTCAGAAATGCTTCAGATTTAAGAAAGGAAGGGTTCTCCCTGAAAGCGTGTCATTCAAAAATTCTGTTAGTTCAATAAAAAAGGTATTTAAGATACAAATTTTATTTGTTTTTTAAATCTACATCACTGGACTAATACAATCTCTATTGGAGTTATAGTTTATTAGAAAATAAGTTAGATGAGATTGCCTTACACCCTAACATCATTAACCAAAACAAAAACAATGTATAGTTAGACTGTGACATTCTCAGAACATTAATTACGGTTATCAAAAGAAATAGCTGACCTTTTTAGCTAGGCTGTGATCCATTTGACCTCGAACAGAGGGCCCTATTTCAGGAGTTTTTTGTCCCACCCATGTGACAGGGTAAGAGAAAGTGGGGGAACAAGGTTAGTATGTGCAAGATTAGCTTTAACCCTAGTGGAGGGTACAACTGACAAACCGGTACTCCTATCTTTCCTGGCCACGGTAATACATGTTCCCAGCTGGTATTTAAATTAGTTTCTGGGTTACACAATGTGATATTTAAGACCCCAGTGGCCAATCATAGGTAGAAGGAGAGGGGGAGCTTACAGATAGAGCTTGTTTTTGGCAGTAGCCCAACCCGTCAGCTGCTTGTCAGTCTACTGGTATGCTTTGTCTAGACCTGTGTTTGCTCCTGACATTGGGCCCCGAAGCTCTGATGCACCCTGGTGCCAGAGCTCCTACTGCACTGCCAATAGTTCTGCTCTAGTTTATAAGTAAGTCATTAGCCTTGCCAACTGCTAATAAAGTAACTCTCCCTTACTGATGTGGAGTGGTCTGTCATTCAGTTAATTTCATGAGACTTATGAATATAATACTAGACAGTATTTTTTCTTATTTAAAGTTACTTAGGTTATAGAATTAGCTATGAATAGACCACAAACTGTTAATTTATTGAATGTCAATCTGTTATTTTGCCTATTAGATTATCAATTGTAAGCAACAACATCACAGGAAAAGGTCTAAAGTCTTTGGCAGCTTCCATTAAAGCGAATGATTGTTTGATATTCATCTACATTTGGGGGAATAAGCTTGATGAAGATGCTTGTGTGGTAAGTTATACCTTATATGTCAGCAGCTATATTTATGAATGAAAAGGGTTAGTGTTAAGGCTGATGTAGTGTTAGTGTTGTGTACAGTAAGGGTTGGTGTAGGGTTAGGAATAGTATAAAGCAGCTTCTCCCAATTGGTGTTCCACAGAAGTTGAAAGTTGCATTTGGCCAGTAATTTATCTGGTAAGTTTGGTGATGCAATTTGCATGTACAGTCTGGTAAGTGTTCTTATTAAGCTTGTGCAGAGGCGGCTCTAGACTTTGAGGCCTTAGGCGAAACCGAAACATGAGGCCCCACTAACACCAAAGTTAAAAAATAGAGTTGCAATAAATGCACACATATACACATTGATGCACTGTCTACCTGTGTATGTGCCTGAGAGTGTGTCTGACAGAGAGTATCCTTGTGTGTGTGAATGTATGTCTCTGTGACCATGTTTGCTTTTTGACTGGGACTGTATGTGTATGGGGTAGCTGCTTGAAGTGTGTTGTGTGTATGGGGGTCTGTCTGTGGCCTTTGTGCCTTGTGTTTATGGCAAAGCTAGTTTTCTTGACTGTGTGTATGATGAACGTCTTCAGCTGGTGACTATGACAAGTTGAGTTAAGGGATACCAGTGGCCGGGAGAGCGTGACAGGGCAAAGAGAGTAAAAGGGACATTGTGGGGGATGGGGGGCTGAGAGAATGAGAGAGAGGGAGTAGGACATGGTTTGAGGAGCAAGTGTGACAGGGCGAGTGGAGGTAAGATTTTCCATGTTGCCATCAGCTGCCCTGCTGTGACACTGTACACCTTCCTGCTGGCAGGACACCAGTGGTCTTTTCTGTGTCTTGCATCTGCCACATCCAACTGGTGGCTCTTCTCACTGCACAATTGTATGCCAAAATCAGTACACAGGCAGGATCTTTTACTAAAGAATGTGACAAGCTGTTCTTCTGGAATAGGAGAACCTCAGGTCAAGATCCCACACCGGCAGAGAAACTGTGAAGAATTGAAAGAACCCCCATGTTAATATAATAATCAGGGCCAGTTGGTTAGATATAGGAGATTAATTAATGCAAATCATCAGCATGATGTTGGTTAGTGGCTAGCTTTGAGGCTTGGAGGTACTTGTGAAGCAACAACCAAAACAGTTAATGTGGGGAAAAATTGTGATTGAAAACCCCTTCCACCTGAAGTCCTGTGGATAGTTAATACAATGTTAAACAAAAATCAGCACACCAGTTTTCAATTACAATTTTCCCCCACCATAACTGTTTTGGTTGTTGCTTCACAAGTACCTCCAAGCCTCAAAGCTAGCCAGTAACAAACCTTTGCATCTTAAAATGAATTGTGTTTCAAAACTGTTGTATACAGCAAACACAGACTCAAAGGAATCCATGTTTAAAAAGTAATGAGGCAAAAATTTGATTCTTTGTTGAACTAATTTCCATATGCCCACCCAGAATCTCTTGCGGTAGTAACATTACTGCAATTTTGTGATTTTTTTTAAATATTATATGCCCTTGGTATGCCCTCCACCAGTCTTTTGCATTGCTGTTGGGTGACTTTATGCCACTCCTGGTGCAATAATTCATGCAACTCGTCATTGTTTGATGGCTTGTGACCATCCATCTTCCTCTTGATCACATTCTTGAGGTTTTCAGTGGAGTTAAGGTCTGGAGACTGGGCTGACCAGGAAAGAGTCTTGATCTGGTGGTCATCCATTCACACCTTGATTGGCCTGTCTGTGTGGCATTGAGCATTGTCCTGCTTGAAAAAAAAAAAAAAAATCCTCAGGGTTGAAGGATATTTTTAAGCAAGTTTCTAACAAGATGACCTTGTACGGGGCTTGATTCATGAGTCCTTCACAAAACATAATATGCCTGATTCCAGCCTTGCTGAAGCACCCCCAGGTCATCATGATCCTCCACTAAATTTCACAGTGCATGCGAGAAACAGGGGCTTGTAAGGCCTCTTCAGGTCTCCGTCTAAACATATGTTGACCAGGTAATGGGGAAAGCTGAAAATTGGTGGCGGTCATCCTGGTCAGTGGAGAGTTATTTTTATCCTCTGCTGGTCTGTAGCTTTGTTGCCCACAATGCATGCTGCTTGATCTTATAAACCACAGTCTCTGTTTCTATCCTTGATATCTCAACCAGGTGTTCACTGTTTATCCGCCTGCCAGTAAAGCCAGAATTGAACTAATTTAAGACCTTTTTTGTAACCCCAACTCTTTTGGCATTGTCAATAGTTATTTTTGTATTTTAATTACTTTTTGGGTACTAGTAGCACTGTTTTTAACCATTCAGCTGGTCCTACTGCAAGAATATAGTACTGACCACTGCAGTGGTTTTTATATTTTTCTTCATTAAATTAGATTTGGTTCAGGTGATCACCAATAATAAATCAGTAACTCAAGAGTAGAATGAGTTGTAACTGTGTTGCTTTAATTGCCCCTATAGGTGTGCCCAGCAATTAAAGCTGACCACGTTTATAGCAAATTAATATATGTTTACATACTCTTCAAACTTTTTTTCTTGTGTCATTATGGTTTTAGTTTGTATATTTAAGTGCTTGCTTGCTGATTTAAAAAAGTTGTTAAGTGATGCGTGTCCCTTAAGTGGTATTAAGTATATTCTTGTGTGTATGACATATGTTCATTAAAAGTTGCCTAGTACCTAGAAAATATGTCTAGCCCTGCTCTTTATGAAAGTAAAACTAAAATACTTCTTTAAGTGTCAAAGGGCTGGGTGATGATTGGTTTCCCCTGTATATAACTAAAAGAACATGCTATATTGAATTCACTTTTTATTAATTTTCCAACTGGGAATGTGCAGTGTAAAATTATGGTTAAATTGAATAAATGAAACTGAAGGCTCTGGTTTGTATTGTAGGCATTTTCTGACCTCTTTTCCACTGGTCGCCTAATCCCTTCCTCCACTGATGTGCGACCATACACCGTAGATGGACGTATCTACCTTGCTGAGCTTTTCCATGGACTCAGGAAACATTATTATTGGACACCAAGCTATGGCAAAGCTGAAAACACTGCGTGCAATTCCACATTTGCAATTTTAAATGAGTAAACTATTTTAAGATTCAACTTGTACATATACAGCTAGTGAATTTCTTTGGAAAATTTATGTTAGATTTTATAGATTAAATGTTTCAATATAGTTTTTTTCAGCTGTCCTTACACATCGTTATCCTCTAAAATACAAAATGCCCCAGTCCTGATTAGAAAAGAAATATCCTAATCTATCGTGATTGCAAAATTCAGACATTATTATCAAGATTTACGGATGTACAAAAGTAGGATAAATATAGCCGGAATTCAGGATGTCTCAATGCAACTATATGGATGAAATCTGTAACAGAATTAGAATATAAATAGACTACGTGACACATGTAAAATAGAAAGCACTTTTATTTAAAACAATAAAAATGCAATGAAAACACACAACTACTGAAGAATATCCCTATAATGTTAAAATCCTAAAGTAAAAAGGGAAATAATTTTCCTTGTAGTGATTAACTTAAAATATAAATTACTGCACATTTCCAAAATAGCTTACAAAGAGTAATATTCTGTTTTTTTCTTTAATAAAAAATAAACCAGATGTTGACCAACAATGAGTTAATCAATTGTGCTATTTTATTGGGGTTGGTTCAGAGATATAGAGAATTTACAAAGGAATTCTAAATGTTAGGCCGAAATAGCACAAAATGAAAAATGGCTGAACTGTGAAATTTTTCTAAATCTGTTATTTTCACTTAAAGGAACAGTCCAGTCCAAGCACCATAACAGCCAGGCTCAGCTCTTCCATCTCTCTGAAGAATGTAGTGGAGGTGGGAAGCAGCACCTGATAGATCCCAGATAAGAAGTCAAACTGTTCTAAAACTGACTACTTACAATGGGGAGGTGCTAGCGTGCTGTGATGGTTATGGTATCTTCCTTTAAACTGCCTTTTCCGTGTTGATTCTCTACAATTCCCATTTTTTGTATGATTTCCTTTTTATTTTAATATCTAAATGAGTTATTCACTAACTCATTTAAATTGCCATGAATTGATACTCTTCGGTTAGTGAATCATTCTGAAAGAACTAGAGTGACATTAATACCACTGATAGGATCTTATAAAAAAAGAATTCTAACATAGAAAGTGATTTCCTCTGTCTCTCATTCTTCTAACCTGTACTAAAAAGTATATAAGGCACCAAGAATAAGCTCACTGTAAAATTTAACAGGTTGGAGGGAGAGAGGCACATTGATGTGTTTGGGTAAAAGGCAGGTGAGAAATAACAATAAGATGGCACTTTCAGTCAATGCCATTTAAAAAACACATTTCCACACTGAAATATGTGCCAATGACCAAATCGATTTTTAAACATAGTCCGTAATAAGACATGCTAGTGCTCTCTATAAAACTGCCTAACCCATTCATTGTTTGCAGTTTGTTTTATTACTTCCATGTCAGGCTGCTTGATTAGAACTATTAAAATGTTCCTAACCAGTATGTGTCACTAATCATAAAAGGAGAATGTATGCTATGCCAACAGTATCTACACTATAGGTCTCTGCCACAAACTTTTCCAAAAATGCTAGTAGGAAGTAAAAACCTGGTGTGTAGCATTTCTTTGGGTCGGATGTTCCTTTTCCCCCTGCTACGGATTAACTTTTTTTTTTTTTTTTAAAGACATTTGCATTCCTAGAGTTGCCATTATCTTTACACACTGTGCTTTGAGATGTATCCAGTTAACCTTACATTACTGATGGTTGTTAGTCACTAAAGATCATATTTGAAATGCGTTAAAATTCTGAGCAGTTTTGGCTGCATCTGAAATATAATCTTTAAAAATGGAGTACATTATGGTTACATGTGCATGGTGTAGACCAGGGGTAGGCAACCTTTAGAACTCCATATGATGTGGAGTACATCTCATATAATGCTCTTACAGCCATAATGCTGAAAAAGCATCAGGGCAAATTTAGTCCACATCTTGAGTGCCACAGGTTACCTACCTACCCGTGGTTTAGATCCTGCTACAACTTGGCATGCCTGAAATGAGGTTCTTAATAAGCATGTAAGAATAGGACTTGTCAAACAGCCCCATTCTAACCAATATACCTCTACCATGTTGCAATGCTGGCACACATATAATAATCTGGTAATACTGTTCATGTAAACTTTATTTAGTTAAATTCTGCAGAAAGTCTTAGTTTTGTAGGTAAAACCTTTTACACTATAACTGATATTAAACTATTCTTTTTATTGACATCTAGGGCAGTGTTAGGCAACCTTCGGCACTCCAGATGTGGACTACATCTCCCTTGAGGCTTTGCTATCATTATATGGCTGTAAGAGCACTATGGAAGTCCTCAACATCTGGAGTGCTGAAGCTGGCTTATACTCAACATAGGACACTAAATTTTGTGTCAGTACATCTGCTGTAAGTAAATGTATTGTGGCTCTGAGTAATTGGTTGCTGAGGTCCTCAGCATATTCTCTGAAGTCAAGCTTTGACTATCTGACACAGGAAGCAACATCTGATGGTCTTCAGGACCAATGTGAAGAGTAAGTGGCAGGAACAGTTCTGATGGCTTCAGATCCATGCTGTCTTCCACTGGGCTTTTCTTTGTGAGATCCTCACTATTAAATGTGCTATCCAAAGCGTCGGTTTCCACTGTTTCTTCACTTTCTACAATAAAATTGGTAAATTCTGTTAAACATAACGTTTCATCACCACCAATCTTTTAATAAAACATCACAACATCTCCATCAAACTGAAGGAGCATTACTGCTTCATTCTTTGTGTAGTTAAATGGTTTCTCTATAAGTCCTGGATTCCCCTACTAATAAAAAGCATAAGTATATTGTGATTTATTGTAATGTTGTTGTGTTGTGGGTCCAGACGCTATTATACTTCGCTCCTGGCCTTGCGATTATAATCTGCCTCATCCCGGCTGTCACCAACTCCAAAGACGCCCAACAGTGGCATAAACTTGCAGGGGAGCATCCATGGAGCACACAGATGCCCTTTGTGTTCTGAAAGACTGCCAAATCAGGACACGCAACCCGCCGGAGTTCCAGGCTGAAAAGCCTGAAGGCCACCGCGGAATACGCCAAACTTCGAGAATCCTGTATACATATTCTCCCCTGGACTCACCTCCACCAGCAAGAAACACAGAACCTCCAGAAATGGGCCGAACAAAACCAACGACCCCTGCAGGGGCATCTCATGAGGCAAGAGACATAGGCACACCGCTAAAATAGACACCTAGGGCTAAAACTACAGACCAAGCCGACATGGAGGCCTCCACAGACCTGTCTGAGGATGTGGCAATGCCAACTAGGCCCCGACTACCCGGGCCCACTGACATACAAAACACGAATTTAGCCACTAAAGACGACATTGCCAACCTGCATGGGAAACTCAGGAAACCCTTCGATATTAATATGGCCCTGATGAAAACAGAGGTACAAACAGTTACGGCCCGAGTACAGGCTACGGAAAAAGATGTCATGGAGCTCAAAAGGGGGCAAATTACAGACCCTGCAATGCTCACGCGCCACCACTTCCCTCCAAGTTGACACTATAGAAGATAAAAGTCGGAGGAAGAACGTGAAAATCCGTGGGGTGGCAGACACTGTCTCCCCCGAGGACCTGCCGCACTTTCTGAGATGCCTCATAGCATCAGTGTTACCGGCCAAACAGGTTAAAACCATCGCTATTCACGGGTCATACCGGATAGCTAAATCCCCCCGCCAGCTGACTCCCCAAGAGACGTAATCGTAAGATTCTAGGCTAACACAGATAAATAGAAGATAATACGAAATACGTCCGCAATACGAAACAAAGCACCCCTGGACTTTGAGGCCCATCACCTCACCTTCTACCAGGACCTTACCCGCTCGACCTTGCTATGGCGGAAATCCATGCAACCTATCACAAAACAATTGCTTGTTGCAGGTATTGTGTACCGCCGGTCTGCCTCAAGAACTAACGGCCTTCACTGACCTTCACCGACGATGGAGTCCATAGAGCTAAATCCCTCGCGGATGCCACAGCGTTCCTCACGGCACAGACATAATCGGCTCATCCACCAAAGAATGCACACAGATGGGATGTGCAAAATGTGACACCCTTTGTCCCCAGCTGCAACCGGGAATCATTTACATAAATAGATAAGTGCACCTTGATATGCCAGCTTCTCACCGTAACTGCTTAATATTTTGAGTGTTATGTCATATGTACCTTCTTTTTCTGTTTATTTAGCACACATTAAAACTACAAAACCGTACATTGCCTTTTATGCAACAAACAGTGACACATAATGCATCTACAGCAGGGATCAGGCCACCCGCATACTAGACCTAGTGGTCTTGTATCATCCCCCCTCTCCTCCGCGCTTTCCCCCTTTGGTTAGGGTACCTCAGCACACTGGAAGTGCATACGCACACCCTACACACTACTCATCTCAGGTCATTACTCTGAACCTTCTAATTCAAGCCCTAACCTCCAGTGGCCAGTTCACTCTAAACAGCAAACCCATACTTCGACATGTACTCACACACTTTACGGCAATCCTACTATTTGTCTCCACTCATACTATTAACCATTAAGTTTGCTACGACGTCTCACTACTGTTGAATTGTTGTTAAATGTTCATAAGAATATAAAAAGTGTATTGCTGCAATATAATGTCCATGTGACACATCTGCCGATGCCATTGTACCCCGGGAGCCGATTAAATATATCTCATGATTAACCTATGCACTGTTGTTTTTGGCCTCTTGTGGCAAACACACAATAAAAACAGAATAAAAAATATATATTTATATATATTTTTTTTTTATAATTTTGTACCCTAATGCATGAAAATTTAGATTCCAATTGCTTGGCAATTCATCTAGAAATCTTTATTCCATCTGGATGCTATATTGGATAATTTGATCTAAACTGCACACTTCAACAACTTACAAAATTGTAATGTTACATTTTCTACTTTCTTTACTATTGATCTTATTGACACGGCTACAGATATAATGATCTAAAGGGTCAGTTCACGATAAATAAGTTTACAACAGTCCAGAACTTTATAAACAGAAAAAGAGTAGTCATAAAACAGTGACTAGATGTTTAATTGTTTCAAAGGGGACACATCACTTTTCTGAAAATGGCATCATTGAACATCAAATATCCTGATATATTTCTTCAACAAAATAAAAGGGTTGAGCTATTAAAAATGATAGAGCTTACTGCAGCAGAGTGAATTTTTACTTCTTATTTTTCCGAGCTTAGAAACTTGCTCAATATGGCGGATAAGTAAACATAATATTAAATGTTAAGTAATGGTTCTCCTTTAATGGCCCGTTTTACAGAATTCATATAAGTAAGACTAAACTGTTCTCACCACTGTGCATTTTTAACTTGTGCTTCTTCAAATTTTTGACATCAGTATATGAATTCCCACATAATTCACAGACAAATGGTCTTTCTCCTGAAACAAGGACATTGAAAAACAAAAACAAAATCAAAGTCAATCAATTGTATTTTCATAAATATTGCAATACACTCCCAGAAAGTCTTGCGAAGTTTGGCTATGAGATTATAAAAAAACTGAATGTTTCTGTAATGTCAGAAAAGTAAATATTGTTTTCAAAAGAGATGTGCAAACTCCAAACCAAAGCTTTCTGTTGTAGATTTTGGTGCAAGGCAATTTTCACGCAATTTCACAAAAACTGGAGGTCTTCTCTGCACCCAAAGCTCACCCTCCTTGCCCTAAGTTATTGAGGAAAATGTTTGTTGAGTTTATCAGGATTTTCCCATACTGCCATTAACCTTTTTGGTGCCAATCTGTACATCAAGCATGTTAAACTCGCCCCGCATGCGGCCCACAATGGACATCTTTGTGGCCCGGGGAGCCGCGGGTACATGCTTAGTGTTAGAGCAGAGTAGGCACCTGCTTTCCCTAAATTGCAGGTGCCTACCATGCTAAACTTACCTGGCTCAGTGTTCCTGCTCCCTCGTGCGCGTCGTCTGTAGTGAAGCCGGCATCACTAAACCGCGCGAGGGAGCAGTGAGGAGCAGATAGAAGATCCCCACTGCACCCCAGGGAGAGGACTTACATCGGCTCCCAAAGGTAGGGAACAATAAAGAAAATAATGTGTGTGCAACAATGTGTAAATGTGTGTGTCTGTTAGTGAGCATGTGTGTGTCAGAGAGAGTGTGTGTCGGTCAGTGAGCGTCAGTGTGTGTGCCTGTCAGTGAGTGTCTTTGTGTGTCTGTCTGTGTGTCTGTCAGTGAGTGTGTGTGTCTGTCAGAGTCTGTGTGTGTCAATGCCTATGTGTCTGTCAGTGAGTGTGTCTGTCTGTGGGTGTGTGTGTGTCAGTGAGTGTGTGTGTCTGTGTTTGTGTGTGTGTTTGTCTGTCTGTGAGTGTGTGTGTGTTGGTCAGTGTTGCATTGGCTGCGACTGGACAGTGGAGTACCTGGAGGTGCATGGAGACATGCAATACCACATCACATTCCGACGTGACATCGACATGCTCCACCTTCACAGTGTTTCAAGAAGTAGCGGGAGGATCCGATTTGGCACAGGGTACAGACAGCGCCATTTGGGGGTATACTAGAGGCCGGACTCTGGAGTCGCATACTGGCAGCGGCAATGTGAGTGGAGTCTGCTTGTTGGCAGAGGGGGAGGACTGGGATTTAGTAGAGGGGGCCTGGGATTTAGTGGAGGGTGGTGCTGTGGTTTAGTAGAGGGTGATGCTGGGGATTTTTATACTGTACTTTTCAAAATAAACCTATGTTTCTATGAAAATTGAAGGTGTCTTTTTTTTTTAAAATTCTTTATTTTATTTGTGCATAGAAAATTCACATCTGGCTTACAATGCCACAACAGCTAAGGTAAACATTTTTCAACATAGCATGACTGTAGTTAGGCATTAGTGGGTATAGCACAATTTTGTATATAATAATGTCGCTTATCTAGGTGTTGTTCTATGTTACTGAACAGGAAAGATGAATTACACGATTAGACAGAGCAGGATAAGATATGGTTAATGCTATAAGGTAAGGTGTTGCTATTGCAGAATATGATATTAGGAGGTAGATTAGCAGTTGCCTATACATATCTGCATGTTGGTTGTGTAGCTATCACTAGTGATTATGCTAAATATTTAGAAGCTTCAGGCTTTTAGTACCTCTATAGTTAGTAAATAGAGCTTCAGCTAACACTGCATACGGTTAAATGTGCAGGCTAAACCATCAAAGCAAAAATATATTTATCGCAGATGTTATTATAATGCTTGCCCCCAGTCCGCTCAGCCGAAGCTCCCAGAGGATGAGGCAGCCCTTGGGCAACCGAAGTCCAGCATGTGTGAGCAGGTCGCTCCTTCAAGCCCCTCTGATGCGGTGTGTACCGGAGGTCTATCCTGACCGGTCGCTAGAACTGTAGTGTGTTCTGGTTCTGGCGTCTGGCACCGCTTAGTCCTCCTTCTGCGGGTTGATTGCCGACAGGAGCCCTCCCGGGCAACTCGAGATCCAGGTGAGAGGCAGTTGGTGTGGATGTTGTGCCGTGAATTTGGTGCGCAGATTGCGACGTCCATCTGTGTCTGCACCTCCGCGGTAGCATACGTGGGACACACAGTAGAGGCCGCCTCTGTGCCGTTGTATCCTGCTCTCTTGATTCGCCTGTGTAGCTTTGTTTTGCATGGCTGCGAGGTTTGGAGCTGATTTTGCCGTCTCTCCGTGCGGCATGTCCTGGATGTCTGAGCCGCCTTGAGCGTGAGATGGGAGCAGGTATTCCCTTTACCGTCTGCGCATGTGGCGCCCGCCATTTTAGGTGTGGTGGTTGGGCTCCCCGGCCTCAGTTGCAGTGTCGCGGTCAGGGCCACAGGGTAAGGACCGGGATCACCCCCCCGGTCTAAAAGGGGGGGGGGGAACGGAGCCGAATCCGCGCCGGTCTGTACCCATGGCTGGGTTCCGTGGCGCAGGATAGTGGGGCAGCGGACGTCCGCCTCACTCACCACAGGAGAAGGCCCCGGTTGGGGCAATGTGTTTTTCTCCCCCAGGGGACTGAAGCTCGGTGAGCCAGCCTCTCCCCGGGTCCAGCAGTCTCTCAGTTCGGGGTATCTACTCGGGCGGTCTGATTTTAGGTTGGTGAGACATGAGTTTAGAGAGTAAGTTTCGTTAAATTGCAGGAGCTGCTCAGGCTTGCGACCGTCCAGCTCGGCGGTCCGGCCCCCCCCCTTTTTTGGAGCCCACATAAACTGAAACCTTGTTTATGTGACCCGTGCTAGACTTTGAGTTTGACATGCTTGCTGTACATGAAGCAGTAGGGAGGGGCTTTGAGTGCTAGGGAGACCCCCATTGTATCCTCAAACAACATGAAAAGAGTTTGACAGAGTTTTCTGTAGTCCCATAGCCTACTTGCACTAAACCACAATAAGCTGTAGCGTTTATAGAGCACAGCATGTTCCTTTAAGTTACATTTGCAGAATCAGTGTTAACTAATTAATACAGAATAGTAGAATAATTTTACTTCTCTTCAGAGACAACCCGTTTTAAGTGTGATGCTTACTAAATGAAACTTCTGAAAGAAGAAAATTCACTGACCTGTGTGAGA